AATCGTTGAGTTAGTCAGTTTCCTAAAATCAGATTAGCAAAGAAAGAAATTAGATACCAAGACTGTTGGAAAACAATCAATATAAAACCAAAATAACAGAATAATAAAAACCAACGAATATATTTTATATAGATATAATTGAATCAATACAGCAATAATATAGATTGTAGAATACTGACTTGAATTGTAGATAGAGTCCTGCAGATTTGCAGTGTCCTTTAGACAGTATTTCTCCTCTACCCTTGTGCTTGTAGTTCGATAGGAGTCTGTCCACCAGGATTAAACTATCTTAAATCTAAGCCTAAGCATAGTGGCTTGATTTCTGGCGAACAGTGGTATGAATTCTCTCAGGAAGTGTAAAATGTGAGAATGATGATGCAGTTCAAAAGTATCTTTCTGGTTTGATCGTATTGTCATTATATAGAGGTCTGACACCTCTTCATCCAACAGTTATGTTAACTGTTTTAATTAATTCGAATTTCAGATTTTGGTTTTATCTGAAAAAAACCGAATTTTCACAAATATATATATAATCCAAGCTCAAACCATGTTGAGGCTCAAGTTTGCCTCCACTAGGCCCATACTCTATTTAGTAATTCTAATGTGTTGGTGCTTATAAACTATGGAAGAAAACTACTCTCTTCTAATGTGGGACTACATGCAAGTGTATTTTCCTATACAAACTCTAACAAAGACTACTTCAAACACTCAAGTAATTTCCACCCAACCACTCATAATTAGGTTTCACAATATTCATAAGAGGGTTTTAGTATCGGTTCAATGATAGTCTTCCACATTTGAACATTTATTTTTCAATAAGTATATCCATGATGTATGTAACTATAATTTTAACTGGCAGTCTAATAAGCTAGTATGTTAAATTGCTCACATCTCAAATAATCAAGTTAAATCTTAAGAAAAATTAACTTTGAAAACGCTTTGGTTAATGTTGTTCTAGATTTTTATAGAAACTAAAGTAAAAAAAAGTAATAAATAAGTAAATACTTCTTTTTCTTTGAATTGGTTGTCCTCCTTTCCCATAGGTCAAGCCTTTTTATAATCTATATATATAAAGCAACAAGGCAGAGAATGATGAAACATTCAAAATACTAGAAAATACCCTTAGTTAATTCAAACATTAAGAATTGAAATTATTAATTAAATGAGGATAATATGGTAAATTCATATTTTTTTATATTAAAAAATTAAAATTAAAAACAAAATCAAATTATAGGTCCTACTTTGATGGAACATAACTACCCATGTTATCTTTTCTTAATTCTAAAAATAAAAAAAATAAAATAATAAAATAAAACCAATTGGCACATGCGTGAGCATGTTCCAAGGGGTTAGTAATATGTTAAGGGAGAAACACATGTGTGCAATGAGAATAACATTGTTTTGCTATTCTCGACCAATCATGTTATGCCATGTGTGATAACTTTTTCATTTGGCATAGCGTGATTGGTCGAGTACAGCAAAACAATGTTATCCCCGTTTCATATAAGTTTTTTTGATTTCAAGGTCATCTTCTATAAACCAATTGGATACACACACAAAAAAGAAAAAATAAATAAATAAATAATAATAATTAAAATTGAAGAATTACAATTACCCCTAAATTGTAATGCTGGATGAAATGAAACAATAAACAAGCAGGTGGAGGAAGGAGATGAGCTGGTAATAAATAAATAAAACAATCTAGAAACTACCATTACCAAGAATTTCCATCTCTTTCTTATTTTTTGACCAGAAAAAAAATGAATTTGATGATGTAAGGAATAGAAATATACCCAAAAACGCAATTGCAAAAGTAGAATAAAAATTAAAATGGCTTTTCTGAGGTCAGTGGCCACGACAACTGCCATAGCTGCCTCTGCATTACCTGCGGCTTTTGCCCTTTCTTCACTCTCTTCGTCTTGCTCTTCCTCCCCATCTCAATCTTTTCGGTTCCTAAAGGCCCAAAACCTCTCCTTTCTCTCCTCCACACCATCTCTGAACCCAAATCGTTCCTGCCTCGCTACAAGCTTCACCAACTCGCCGTCAACTATCCGCATGGACGCGCCCACGTCAGAACAAAAGCCATCCCATCAGGTTCGCTGAAAAAAAAAAAAAAAAAAAAAAAAAAAAAAAAAAAAAAAAAAATTTTAATTAATTCTTCTGAGTTTTCATTAATGGGTTGTTAATCTGATTCTTCAATTGACTTCAATTTCGTTGATGGGTTCTATTATAGCTCTTGAATTTATTTAAACTTTCTGTGATCGTTCAAAGCTGAATCTCTAAAGTTCTTTGTTTTTGAACCGCAGAGCGATGCTGCGCCAGAGCTGTTGGTAAGTTTCACCCTTCAAAATTTTATGTTTTTATATTTAGTTCTATTTATTTATTTCATAGATGATGTTTCAGTTACTTTGTTTCTCCTTGTATGATATGATTAAGCTATGAGTTTTCTCAAATGGGGTAAATTTGAAGTATTTATCAGGAAAAAGTTACAAATGTAAATAATTATTAGTGATGAAAATTAAAGGATTATGCTAATTTGGCTGAAAAATTAAATTTTTGGTTTTGATTCGTTATTTAGACGGAGTACATGGTGGATATGAAATGCGAGGGTTGTGTTAACTCTGTCAAGAATAAGCTACAAACTGTTGATGGTAAGCTTTTCTGAGCTAGTGCATTACAAGCAGAGACATTTGCTTCTTTTATGCCCCCTTCTTGTTGGCAATTTATCTTATAATGTCTTGTTCAATTGGTTTTCTTCTAGGGGTCAAAAGTGTAGAGGTGGACCTTAACAGCCAAGTTGTTAGGATTCTAGGTTCAACACCTGTGAAAACCATGACTGAAGCTATGGAGCAGACGGGTCGAAAAGCAAGATTAATTGGGCAAGGGATCCCAGAAGGTTAAATTTTTTTTTTTCTTTCTTTTTCATCAATGCAATGCTGGTTTTATATTATTGTTTTCTCAAATTGTTACTGATTTGTATTCCATTTAGGGTACTCAATTCTTTCTCATTAATTTCTTGTTGCATGACACTATGATGCAGATTGAATAAGGATTCTTATTCAATCAAGTATTCTGTTTTCAGCCAATTATGCGACCAAGTATAGTAGAATCTGAAATGTGAACTAACAGGACTGTGATTCGAGTATGATTTGTGGATAATATACTATATGATACCATCTGTATAAAATTTGTGTTGAAAAATATAAATCACCTCATCTAACAGTTAGCATATACCTATGTTTTGAAAAAAAAACCTTCTTTCTTGTTGCCTGTCGAAGATCTTCTAATTTACATGAGGTTTATTGCAGTCCTGTTTCCATTAAGAAGAATCTAAACATCCTGTTTTTACTGCAGCAGAATTCCTTACTTGTTGAAGTCATAATTTGGTTTGTTGCTGAATATTATTTAGTAATCATTAAATTTTATGTTGATGGCGTAATTCTTATTTTTTTCTTGGTTTACAGATTTCTTGGTTTCTGCGGCTGTTGCTGAATTTAAAGGTCCAGATATTTTTGGTGTGGTTCGTTTGGCTCAGGTGAATATGGAATTGGCTAGGATTGAGGCCAACTTTAGTGGGTTGCCACCTGGAAAACATGGTTGGTCTATCAACGAGTTTGGTGATGTAACAGAAGGTGCTGCAAGCACTGGAAAAGTGTTTAATCCATCAAAGGAAGAAGCAAATGAGGTTTGCTTTGATATAAACCTTCTCTCTGATGTTTATGTTTGTTTTGATTTTCCATGTATTAGTAACTAATTATCTGACTCCTCCAAGTCTCGTAGAATGAGGTAAAATGATATATAATTTGGAATAAATCTTGCCAGTAAATGTTCAGATCAATGTTGTAGAGTTCTTGCTATTGTATTTGAGGCACAAACAAGAAAACTACAATATGTTTAGAAATTATGACTATAATTTGTTTGTTGTATTAATTAAGAACTGTATATGTTTGTTGTATTGCTTGTTCAACAATTGATTGCTCTTGAACAAAATTTGCATGCCTGTATATATTTCCCAAGACGTGTTTTAAGATTTCTTGAGTGGTATAATTTCACTATTTTATATTCATGGTTTATATTTCCCAAGATATGTAATTTCTAGTTCTATTGCTCGCCTGTCTTCACAGTGATGTTCACATTTTATGGCAATCTCTAAGTGGTATGCTGAATTTTTTTCAGCCGCTTGGCGACCTGGGAACATTGGATACTGATGAGAATGGTAATGCCTTCTTCTCCGGCGTCAAAGAGAAGTTGAGAGTAGCTGATCTCATCGGGCGGTCATTAGTGGTATATGGTACTGCAGATAAGTCGGACTCTGGTATCAAAGCCGCTGTAATTGCTAGAAGTGCTGGAGTTGGTGAGAACTACAAAAAGCTTTGCACTTGTGATGGAACCACCATATGGGAAGCAACCGGCAACGACTACGTCACCAGCACGGTCTGATATCTGAAGCAAGCCCTATCTGGGGTCATAGTCTAGTTGAATTTCTTAGGCACAGTGATTGTATTTTTCTCTCTTTGTACTTCATAAAACCTTTGTCCAGTGTAGAAAAAGAAAACGTTTGTTTTATCAAATAAAGGAAATGATTTTAACCAATTTGCATCATCTTGTCAAATATACCGAAATTCCCTATCCCTACAGATCAGAGTTTTAACAATTCTCAACGCCCCATTCACTTTGATGAGAGGGCAACACATACTAGAAGAAGAATTGGAGAAGCTAGACAAAAGAACAGAGTGAACATTCTTTAACTGTTGCTACCAGGGCCGACTGATACAGAAACCATGCTATATGCAAATAATTGTAGCAACATCAACAATCACAGCTTGTAAACCCGGCAAGAAGAACTCTACCGCTCAATAATAAGTAGAACATAACAGAACCAAAAGAGACTTTACAGAGCAGAGAAGAAAATCCGGTCAGGATCTAGCACCAACTGTGCTGGCAAACATCAAAACCCACAAAACCAAAAATAGGATACAGTTGCTACAATAATTAGCAGCTCATGCTTTCAGGTGAGGCAAGAGCCCTTCTTTTTTGGCCATTTCATAGAGCGCAATGGCTGCTAAAACCTTTGCATCCGCTGTCATGCACCAGAGCTTTTCATAGGGAACCACACAAACCTTAATCAACTCCCCATGTTCTCGAAGACCCGTCTCTTTTCCTTGCAGCTGTTCAATAATCTCTTTATTCACCTGCCCTCTGTACAAAAAGAGACTGATTTCTTCATCGCACCCTCCCTAACCATGAAAAAACAAAAAAGAGTGACCCTTTACAGACAGGTTGAACAAAAGAGAAAACACGACTATATTATTTGTATAATACCTGAGTTTATTCAATCTTAAATTACAAACCCTTGGTTTTAAACTTTTAAAATGCAATGTTTTCTGCATCCAAATTAGTTTCATGTTTTTTCTTTTATTGGGCCAAGAGAGAGCATATATTTAACGCAAAATGACTATTGGAGTTATATTTTTGTGAGTTTTATAATGGTTAAAATATATGGGATCTTTCTTTCCTTCAACCAATTCTCACCTGCCTATTTTTATCAATGGGAAGATTTCCTACATTTTTAGTTTCAATTTGGCATTTTGATCCAGAAAATAATTAACACCAACTTACTGGTGAAGGAAAAATTCTGCCCCCAGTAGATTGGTTGAGGAATGCTGTGAGGTCCACCATGTCTTCTTTTTTTAGGCATATGCCAGTCTCCTCTTCAACCTGCCAAAGTGTTATGATAAGAATCATGCATCTTAAGTCTGGGTAAAATTTCAAACCTTGCAATATGTCACAGTTAGTACATTATAGTTGAATATCACAGAAGCTGAAACATGATCAAAGAAAATTTCATAAAATTTTACAAGAAACATTTTTAGGCCTGACAAAAATTCCAAGATAAATTAGCAACAAGAACACATTGGACAATGTTCATTTGCATCAACATAAACAACTAGATGTACCCATGAGTAACAGAAGACAAAGTCCAACCAAGAGTAAGATGAGAAAGAAGCAATACATGATAAATAAAAAATCAGATTTAACAGAAGACATTGTATATAGTAGAAATAATGGAGGACCAGAGTTCATGTGATTGTCATCCCCTATATTTGGGACAAAAGCAAGGATAATGAAGATTAGTTAGAGAAGACTCAGGAGAGATATGGCTTCCAACTGAAGTACAACCAACCACGAAATTATGGAACAATAATCTTCTCGATAAACCAAACTGTAGCTTGATTTATGAGTAAACTAGTTCAATTTTCAGGCATGCCCTTAAAAAATTTTGACTCAAGTTGATATACAGACACATACATGTACATCATATTGTATTTGTACAAACATAGAGAGACCTCACGAATAGCAGTGCCGAGAAAATCGCCCTTCTCGTCGCCCAACATTCCAGCAGGCAACTCCAGTATGACCCTTCCGACAGGGATTCTAACCTTGGACATGCACGGAATTTCAACACAGTTTGAATACATGGGAAGTACAATGCCACCGTTTATTTACGTAATAACTTATTGGGCATATATAATACAATGAGTGGATTTTCACATAAAGTAAAACCTTCAAAACAGATGCTCTAAATACCAAAGTAAAGACCTACCTGTTCAGTAAGAACAGCATAGGTCTTGTCCTCTGAGTCCAAAAGAATAAGCACAGCTACAGCCGGTCCTCGTGCAAACACAATACCTGGAACCTAAGAAAGTTTTACTTCATAATGAAGCAAGAGAAAGAAATCAAGAATTATGGGCACCAATGAAGCCCAAAACAAGAGAAAGCACATCACATGGGCATTATCATCAGATACCTTTTTCCCAGTTTCTTTATCAAACACATCTGCAACAAATTTTAAAAACCCAATGCGCTTTCCAAACATATCCACACCCTGTTACCCACAAAAATTAACCAACCAACTATTAGCAGCGGCCAAAGGGTCGTTTCTACAACAATGTTCATATACCAATTCTTCAAAATTCAATCAAAAAAACCTCAACAAAGCATTGAATTACCTGAATTAGAACTCGTCTAAGAGACAATGCACCGCCGTACAAAACCCCATTTTCACTTTCCATGTTCTTCAGCCACTGCTTGAACAAAGACGAATCGATAGCACTCCTGCAACATTAATTTTAACATTTCCATTACTGCATAATTAGCATCGTAATTATATATTTATGTTTTAAAAAGAAAAAGAAAAAAAGGTGAAAGAAAAGGGTGACTCGCCTGAACTCGGAATGGGAGATATTGGGAGCAGCGACGATCTCGACGGGTTCGGTGAGTTGACTCGGGAGAGTGATGGATTGAGTTAAGGGTTGCGAGTCAGACGACATTTTGCAGCAGAAGGATCGAAGTTGAAGGCGAGTGGAAGAAGAAAGGCTGAGTCTTTTGGACAGAGAGCTCAGGCTCAAAGGCACTGAAGCTTGAAGAAAACGTGTCATCTTCCACAAACCGCGAGCTCTCTGTGTATATGCAGTGTTGTTTAATATGGCAAGTCTGTTGCATAAACGGCACGTCGTTTCCTTCTTTTCTTTTTTTCTTTTTTCTTAAAACTGTTTAGCTCTTTGTAAGAGGCTTCTAGCTCAAGTTGTTAAAGAGTATTTACTATGCACCTAAGATCCTAGGTTCGAGCTCTTATAACATCTTAGTTGTGTGTATGTGTGTAAAAAACTATCCTCCCCATATAGTTTAGACTATAACTTGTACCAAAAGAAAATAAAAAATTCTAGGTTCGATTCCTCCCTCTTCCTAGTGATTGCTATACATGAAATGAAACGGAGACTTGCCGTATATTATCAATTCATCAGTCACTACATTGCCTCTCTCTTTTTTCTTCCTTCTTTTAGAATAGTTAATTAATTTTCTAGTATAATTTGATTCTGTATATCATTGTTTTGTTATAATATTAAGAGACTGACGAATAAATCCATTGGCACATGCATAAGTATCTCAATCTCCATCAAATATTGGAGCCAGATAATTAGTGAATCAAATTGGTCTGATTTGTTGCAAGTCCCCAGCTAAGCTTCTCACCAGCTTTTGGAGACATGCTTATTATTATACATATTTACTTCACCTAAATATAGAAACAAAAACAAAATTGGACACCTTTAGCTAGTTGGACCAGAAGATATCTGATTTCTTTCTGCAATGAAGAATTTTGTACTCAAGTGAATGACACTTCCAATTTCAACTGCCCTTTTCTTCTTTGAGAAAAAAAAGAAGTAGAGTGCAGAGAGAGATAAGAAAAGCAGAAGAAGCAGAAGAAGAAGAGGGAGAAATGGAGTTCTTGAGCAGTTTCCTTTATCTCATCCTCACCTGGACATTGATCCAAACCATCCTCTATTCAATTTCAAGAAGTAAAAAGAGCTAAAGACCAAAGCTTCCACCAGGACCAAAACCATTTCCATTGATTGGAAACCTGCTTCAACTTGGTGACAAGCCCCACAAGTCCCTTGCCAAACTTGCCAAAAAACATGGCCCTCTGATGAGCCTAAAACTAGGCAAAGTAACAGCCATTGTTGTTTCTTCAGCAGCCATGGCCAAAGAAGTCCTCCAAACCCATGACCAGTTCTTATCCAACCGAACAATCCCCGATTCGATTCGAGCTCATGATCACCACACTGTTGGCCTACCATGGATTCCAATTTCAACCCTGTGGAGAAACCTTAGGAAAATATGCATCACCGAACTGTTTGCCAATAAAATGCTTGATTCTAACCAAAATCTCAGGCGCAAGAAAGTGCAGGAGCTCATTGGACAAGTCCACAGAAGCAGCCAAGCTGATGAAGCAGTGGATATTGGGAGGGCAGCCTTCACAACGACACTGAATTTGTTGTCTAACACAATTTTTTCCATTGATTTGGCAAACCCAAGTTCTGAAATGGCCAGGGAGTTCCAGGAGATGGTGTGTAATATTATGATGGAGGCTGGGAAGCCAAATTTAGGGGACTATTTTCCTGTGCTTAGGAAGATTGATCTCCATGGCAGAAGGCAGAGGATGACAGAGTACTTTGGGAAGATTTTGGATCTGCTTGACAACATAGTCAACCAAAGGTTGAAGCTGAGAGAATTGCCTGGTTCTACAACAAAAGATGATTTGTTAGATACCCTTCTTAACATTACTGAGGAAAACAGTGAGGTGATCAACAAAAATGAGATTTATCATCTGTTACTGGTCAGTGCCATAATCTTCTTCAAACTGTTTGATATTTTTTGTTTTTTGTTTCTTCTGGTATAAACAATGCTTTGCCCATTAATAAATTCCAAGCACACACAAATACAGATATGTGAAAGTGGTACAGCATATTCAAAAATGCAAATTACTTACTGTCTCACTTTGAGGCTTTCAATTGCTTAAGATTTTAATGGTTATGTTTGCTGATAGGTTCTATTTGTTGCTGGATCAGACACAACTTCATCCACATTCCAATGGGCAATGGCAGAGCTATTGCACAACCCTGAGGTTTTGTCAAAGGCCCAACTAGAGCTTGAACAAGTAATTGGCAAAGGCAACCCAGTTGAGGAACCAGCCATTGCTAGACTGCCTTACCTGCAAGCCATAGTCAAAGAGACCTTCAGGTTGCACCCTGCAGTTCCTCTGTTACTTCCCCGAAAGGCGGGAGCAGATGTAGAAATTGAAGGATTCACAGTACCAAAGGGTGCACAAGTGCTTGTTAACACATGGGCCATTGGCAGAGACCCCAGCCTCTGGGATGAACCGAATTCATTCAAGCCAGAGAGGTTCTTGGGGTCAGAAATTGATGTTAAAGGCCGGAACTTTGAGCTTATACCGTTCGGAGCTGGACGAAGAGTATGTCCTGGATTGCCATTGGCAATGAGAATGCTGCACTTAATGTTGGGTTCTCTTATCCATTCCTTTGATTGGAAGCTTGAAGATGGGGTCACACCAGAGAACATGAACATGGATGATAAGTTTGGCATCACCTTAGAGATGGCCCAATCCTTGCGAGCTGTCCCTCTTTGTAAATTGTAAACCTCATGTTTGCATTAGTATTTCATGAAATGTTATTGCTCTATCGGCTTAATAATATTAATAAATAAATAATTCTCTTTTTCTTTTTTTTTAAAGTAATTCATAACAACTGTTGCTATAAGTCGTGACTTTAACCAAAAACTAAAAGCTACAACCCCACAGTTTACTTGTTTAGGCAAGATTTCATTCTGCCGGAAGTCACCACCATTCACAGAGTATTCACTTATATTAAATACATGATTAGAAATGGCCGGCTTTTTAGCAAGGGAAGGCTCTTTTTGTTGTACAGCCAAATCATTCAAACCGAAAAACTTAGATGGAAAATACAATTTTCAAAGGGCAAATCTGAATTTGTTTAAAGACATTCCAACAAGCTAGCACTATTGGATTGATGAGAAACAACTACGGTTGCAATTATTAGGTAGTAGAACAAGTAATGTTGGGCTTTCTCTCTGTCTGAAAAATGCAACTATGAAATGAAATGCAATGCAAAATTCCCACACTATTTCTTCAGGCCGAAACATATCAGACCCCTTTATGCAGGTGGAACGATCACACCGGAATATAGCAAGATTTCAAGGACAAAAACTTGGGTAGGAGTGCCCTGCCACATTGCAGGTATCGTCCAATTAAAACATGTCAGGTGTAAAGAATATGAATCATTAGAAAAGAAAAAAAAACTAAACAAAACAAAACTAATAACATATGTGTGGGAACTAAATCAAATCAGAACCCTAGAGCAAATAATTCCTTTCTTTTGGGGATTATTTGACCTAATTGGGAATTATTCAAACTAATTGAGAGTTACTCAATTTAATTGGGGATTACCCAATTAAATTGAATGTTACCTAATTATGTCGAGAATTGATTTGATTTCTACCACAATTCCCAATTAATTGGGAGTTACCTGAATTAATTGGGAGGTTATTTGATTCAGATTGGGTGTATTTGACTTAATTAGGGATTTGATTAAATCAAATCCCTAAATACACCAACCTCGTCGAAGCCCCCTATAAATACTTGGCTGCGCACAAAGATTGAGGTACGTCAGAATTACTACTAAAACTCTATAGAGATCTTCCTCTCACAAACCCTAGCCACCTCCTCTCTCTCTCTCTCTCTCTCTCTCTCTCTCTCTCTCTCTCTTACATAAGGCTCCGGCCGCCCGGTTTACACCACAAACACATCTCCGTACCCTATTAGCTATTGTTTTCTAGACGATTCAATTAAACTACTTTAGGCATCAGAGGGCCTTTAGCCAACACCCCCCGGGGTGTGGTCTTCTTATTTGTTCTATTTTGCAAGGAGAAAGAAGCAACAAAGAAGAAAAGGGAATCTTTCTAATTGAATATTCTCGTGGGGAAATTTGCTCCCACAAATTGGTGCTTTCATTGAGAGCGCGAAATAATACTCAAAATGTGCTCCAAATCCATTTTCCACACTTTGTTTCAAACAATCATGGTTGATACAAAACGTACGACGAGCAACACCACAACGACGAGCCCGTCTCATGGTTTCGTGGTGGAGCACGAAATCGTGGCTGCCAACACCTTGCAGCCACCTCCTAAGGCTGTGCAGCTGCCTCCAGCTGCTGGAGTTGCAGAACAGCCGCTGCAGACAACTGCTGAAGTTGCAAAACAGCCGCTGCAAACAACCACTGGAGTTGCAGACAACTGCTGGAGTTGCAGAACAATCGCTACAGACAACTGCTAGAATTGTAGAACAACCGCCACATGCCCCCGTGACCTCTACAGCCTTGCAGCTGCACGCGACGGCTACTGAAGCTGCTCTGCTGCATCATCCTGTCGGAGCTACTCTGCCGCTCCATTCTGTCATCAAAACGCATCAGCAACCGACCACTTAGCTACCGGATTTGCTGCACAACCCCACAACTATTGACGCCGTCCCAATCTTGGAGTAGATCCATTCTCTCCCTCCTCTGCAACCACACTTGACATATGCACCCGTGTGCGCATCTAACAGAGCCCTAACCTATATGCCATTAGGCCCGATCCACACCTCTCTACCCGACCTACGCAGTCAAGTGGGTCTTAATTCACTGGTTGATCAACTCGCGCAAAGAGTCGACAACCAAAACAATCTAATTGGCTAACTACTCGGGCAGATCAACTTGAATCAAGGCGTTGACTATGGAGCCCATGACAAAGAGAGAAGAATCCGCGAGCAAACTGGCGAGCATTTTGAGGGATCCCAGACTAGTCAGTCAGAGACAAACTGGCAAGGGAGAGAACGAGATCGTGCTGACGAGACGCATACATCTGCAAGTCGTACTCTGAGCCAATCGATGATCCATTCAAGACTGGCCTCACAGGGGGCACGAGTCCGTGAACGATTGCGTGACGAACGCAATGATTGACACTCACTAACCCGCTTGAGAACCAACTCACAGCGACAACTCGTGGAGGAATCTTCGCAAGCTCAATCCACCAATCTGCCTCACGGGCAAGGCAACTAAGGAGGTCAACTTCTTCAAGCTGACTGTGGAAACCAATTAAATCAAAACCCTAGGTCAAATAATTCTTTCCTTTTGGGGATTATTTGACCTAATTGGGAATTACTCAACTTAATTGGGAGTTACTCAATTTAATTGGGAGTTACTCAATTAAATTGAGAATTACCTAAATAAGTTGGGAATTGATTTGATTCCTACCCCAATTCCCGATTAAATGAGGAGTTACCTAATTAAATTAGGATTTGATCTGATACCTACCACAATTAGGGATTTGATTTACCCTAATAAATCAAATCCCTACTTAATCAAATCAATGCCAAATCGGGGAGGAATAATTCCTTACCAACTACAAAATTACTCCTCTGAAACCCTAGCCTCCGAGACCATTATAAATACTTGGCTACGCACAAAGGTCAAGGTACATCTAAATTCCTACTGAAACTCTGCAAAAATTATTTCTCACAAACCCTGGCCACCACTTTCTTTCTCTCTCTTACACAAGGCTCCGGCCACCACACATGGCTCCAGCCACCCGGTTTTCCTTGAAATACCCTACCTAACTTAGGCATCGGAGGGCCTTTGGCCAACACCCCCCGGGTGTGGTCCTTTTACCCCGATCTGTTTTGCAGGGAGAAAGAGAAGTGGAGAAGACGAAGGAATCTTAGGCGAATATTCTAGTGGGACGAAATTTGCTCCCACAAATTGGTGCTTTCATTGAGAGCACGAGATATATTCAAAGCGTGCTCCAAATCCATCTTTCACACATTTTTTCAAACAACCATGGTTGATACAAGACGTACGAAGAGTAACGCCACCACGACGGGCCCATCTCATGGTTTCGTGGTGGAAACCTCAACGCAACATCACGAAATCATGGTTGCCAATGCCCTGCAGTCGTCTTCTAGTGTTTTTCAGCCGCCTTCAGCTACTGGAATTGCAGAACAGCAGCCACATGACCCTGGGACCTCCACAGCCTTGCAGTCGCCAGCGCCGATTACCGGAGCTGCTCTGCCTCGCTGTCCTGCAGTCGGAGCACAGCAGCAGCCACACCACTTAACTACCGAACTTGTTGCACAGCCCCATGGCTACTCTGACATCGTCCCAATCTTGGAGCAGATCCATTCTCTCCCTCCTCTGCGATCACGCTTGACATATGCACCTGTGTACGCGTCTAATGGAGCCCTAGCCCACATGCCGTTGGGCCCAATACACACCACACTACTTGACCCGGGCAGTCAGGTGGACCTTAACTCGCAGGTTGATCAACTCACATAGAAGGTCGATGATCAAAACAACCTGATTGGCCAGCTACTCAGGCAGATCAACTTGAATCAAGGCCCCAACCTTGGACCCCGTGACGAGGAGAGGAGGACACACGAGCATGCTGGCGAGCAATTCGAGAGGTCCCAGGCTGGTCAGACAAGGGCAAACCGGTAAGGGAGAGAGCGAGATCGTGCAGACGAGACGCAGACAGCTGCGAGCCGTACTCTGAGCCATTCGAGGTTAGGTCCCAGGACCAATGTGCTCGAGAGGCTAGGCCCACAATCCAATGTTCGTGCTCGCTTAGGTCCACAAGGAGCTCGAGTTCGTGAGCGATCGCGGCGACAAGCTGTGGAGGGATCTTCCCAAACTCAACCTTCTCTCCTGCCCCACGGGCAGGGCAACCAAGGGGATCGACCCTTGGGAGCTAAGGAAGAAGTTAGCCAATCACGCTCGAGGCACCGAAGACGTCGACTTAAACGACCTTCCTTGCGAGCAGAGGATGACGATCATCGCTCACCAGCCCGCTCGAGGTCCAACACGCGGCGACAAGCTGTGGAGGGATCCTTCCAAACTCAACCTTCTCTCCTGTCCCGCGGGCAGGGCAACCAAGGGGATCGACCCTTGGGAGCTGGAGAAAAAGTTAGCCAATCACGCTTGAGGCACCGAAGACGTCGACCTAAATGACCTTCCTTGCGAGCAGAGGATGACGATTGATGCCCACCAGCCCGCTCGAGGACCAACACGCAGCGACAAGCTGTAGAGGAATCCTCACAAGCTCAATCTCCTAATCTGCCTCACGGGCAGGGCACCCAAGGGGATCGACCCTTAGGAACCGAGGAAGAAGTTAGCCAGTCGCGCTCGAGGCATCGAAGGCGTCTGCCGAGACTCCAACCCTGCGAGCAAAAGATGTCGAGAAGCTAGTAAATGACCAACTCCGAGGTCTCCGACTCAAAGGAAGCACGGAGGAGGCCCTGTGCAAGGCAATTGATCAAGTTGACTGCTCGCCCTTTACCGACGAGGTGGAATGAGCTCCACCGCCGAAGCGGTTTACAACGCCATCCATCACTCCATTCAAAGGGGACTCTGACCTTGAGAGCCATTTGAGGCACTTCAAGAGCGCCATGATCCTGTACAATGCAGACGACGCCCTGATGTGCAAAGTGTTCGTGATGACTCTGCGAGGAGCAGCTCAAGATTAGTTCCACACTCTACCGTCCGAGTCGATAGGCAACTTCAAGGAGTTCGCCCTCATTTTCACAAAGGAGTACACCTCTCTACAAGATGGTCAGAAGGCATGCGGACCACCTGTTCAACCTGCGTAAGAAGATAGACGAGTCTCTACGAGACTACCTGAGACGGTTCAAGGCTGAGAAGGCTAACATCATAGGATGCAATGACCAAGTTGCATCCTCAGCTTTCAAGAAGGGCTTGCCAACCGAGCACGAGCTATACCGGGAGCTGGCCATAACTCCAAGTCAAACCTTAGCAGAAGTGTTCGCGACAGCAGAGCGCTACGCACTTTGGGACGATGATCGTATCATCGCAAAGAAAGCTAGCAAGCAAGTTGACCACCCGACGAAGCAGGCAAGCCAAAAGAGCAACAAGTTCGAGCAAAAAGCCAGAGATAAGCGCAGATCACGGCCCCAAGATGGAAACTCAGAAACAGGGACCTTCACTGAGTTCGCTATCCCAATCCACCAGATCCTAGCTCAGGTGAAGGATAAGCCGTGGGTGAGGAGACCATCACTTATGAAGGGAGACCCCTCTAAGAGGGACACCAGTAAATACTGCGCATTCCACGGGGAGCATGGTCATTACACCAACAACTGCAATGCTTGGAAAAGGCACCTTGAGGAGCTAGTCAGAGAAGGCTATTGCACAGAGTTCGTTGCAAAGAAGGCCATCCAGCAAATCGAGGATCGTGATGCAGCTGCCAAGGAACCTCCCCAAAAGGTCATTCGAATCAACACCATTCTAGCCAACTCCCAAAAGTCCGGGCTGACCACCAAGTCATAACAGGAGTACCAGCCATTGTGGATACGCCCATCATTAGCTTCCAGAAGAAGGACTTGATCGAGCTTGACCTGCCACATAATGACGCCCTAGTAATCTGCATCCAAATTTAACAAGCTGTGATCGAGCGAGTTCATGTAGATGAGGGCAGTGCAATCAACATCCTGCAACTATCTGTTATCCGACAGATGGAGTTCGAGCCCAAGATTAGCAAACTTGCCAGATCGCTCACCGGCTTCAATGGGGCCACATCAATCACTGTTGGAACGATCGACCTGGATGTCCACTCACCCCAGTGGTCTGCTCTCAAACCTTCATGGTCATCGACAAGGTTTCCCCTTACAACAGAATCTTAGGCCGACCGTGGATCAGCAAGGTCGAGGCCATCAGATCTGCTCTGCATCAGAAGATCCGCTATCCCATCCCTAGGGGCGCGATCGGGCAGATCAACAGTGACCAAGTCATGGCAAGGAGATGCACAGCCCAAGGCCTCAAGAAGAGCAAGCAGCTGCAGTTCACACCAGTAATGCAAGCTACGAACGAGGCAGGAAGCGCTCTTAGCAGACAAGCAAACCCGAAAGGGAAGGAAGTGGCTGCGTCACAATAGCAGTTAAGGAACCAGGATCAAGGTGAGGGAATCCGCCCGGAAGACTCCCCTGAAAAGGGTTGGAAGTCTGAGGATGACGTTGAGTTAGTACCCCCTGATTCTGGCCAGCCAGACAAAGAAGCGCAGATCGGCTAGCGCCAAAATCTAAACAAGAAGGATCGAGACGAGGGAATCCGCCCGGAAGGCTCCCTTGAAGAAGGTTTGAAGCGTGAGGAAGACGTTGAGTTAGTACCCCCCGATCCTGATCAGCCAGATAAGGAGGCGCAGATCGGCTCGCTCCAGAATCCAAACAAGAAGGATCGAGATGAGGGAATCCGCCCGGAAGGCCCCCTTGAAGAAGGTTGGAAGCGTGAGGAAGACGTTGAGTTAGTACCCCTCGATCCTCACTAGCTAGACAAGAAAGCGCGGATCGGCTTGCGCCTAAACATCATCTGCCACCGGCTCCATGTCAACCCTGATAGCAAGCCCGTGGTGCAGAAAAGACGCAACTTTGCTCTCAAGCGGGTCGCGATCATTGAAGCCGAGATCGACAAGCTCCTAACTGTCGGTTTCATTAAAGAGGTCTCCTACTCGAAATGGCTGGCCAACGTTGTTCCGGTGGCGAAACAAGAAAAAGGAAAATGGAGAGTATGCGTCGATTACACCAACCTCAACAAAGCATGCCCTAAAGACAACTTCCCATTGCCGAGTATCGACCAGCTCGTGGATTCAACTTCCGGCAACCAGCTGCTCAGCTTCATAGATGCTTACTCCAGCTATAATCAAATTATGATGTACGATGATAACAAGGTGAAGACCTCTTTCATCATCGAAAGAGGGACCTACTGCTATAAGGTCATGCCCTTTGGGCTGAAGAACGCCAGAGCAACCTACCAAAGGCTCGTGAATAAAATTTTCAAAGAGCAGATTGGCAGAACCATGGAGGTGTACGTGGACGATATGCTGGTTAGGTTAAAGCCCCCAAGCGGGCAAACCACCTCAAAAACCTCACCGAGGCGTTCAGCCTGCTCTGCCAATATCGCATGAAGTTGAATCCAAGTAAATGCGCGTTCGGTGTTTCATCTGACCGGTTCCTAGGTACTTAGTGACGCAACGAGGTATCGAGGCATACCCGCACCAAATCAAAGCCATTCTCGAGATGAAGTCGCCTTCCACAGTGAAGGAAATACAAAGCCTGACGGGCAGAGCAGCGATCCTCAACAGATTCTTCTCAAAGTCTACCGACAAGTGCAGACCATTATTTAAAGCTTTGAAGAAGGGACAAAAAGGCAAATGGGACGAAGAGTGCGAAGTTTTTTGTGCCTAATAAATCGCGGTAGTCAGAAGGAACCTCTTCTTGGCCGTGGCACCTATTCATGGACTGAAACGGCCACGTTTCATCAGACATTTAGCCTTTTCGAAAGCAGAAGAAAATACGAGGGCAGGATCTTCTCGGCCTCACAACCACAGCATTATGGGCCGAGGCCGAGGTCCATGAAAGACCCGGCCGCAGATACTGTGGTCAAATCGCCACGTGGCCTCAGGGTCCCATGCCCCATTTAATGAAGTAGTGTCTCTAACCGCCACAACAAAACCACTGGGTGCAAGAAGCATTTAATGCACGAGGGCAGAAGGGAAGTGATTGAAGTTAGGATTTGGTAACAGGAATCAGAGTGGTTAGGCGCAAACATTCTCACAAAGCATTCTCACAGCTTGAGGTCAGGTCACCAACCACTAGACCAGAGCATTAAATGCGTTCCCAATGCCAAGGGAGCAGAGCCCACGATCAGGGCGGTGGCCGAGATTTGCCGAGATTTATGGGGGTCACACTACCATGCTTCTCAACCCAGACCACCATGCTTCACGATCCCAAATGCCGATTTGACTACCCACTTGCCCCAATCAGACTCCACCATGCAGATATTTTTAAGCCATCAAGCAGATCTTTTTTCAACCTCGATTGGCCCTCCAGGACTCCTCCTATAAATACTAAGCTCAAGACCACATTCAAGGGGTTCAAACACCAAACCAAAAGCCTCCCACGAAGCAACTTATATTCTCTGTAATGCACTTTCAATACCTTTACATGCTTTCTTAGGAGTAGTGGTAGATTGTAAGGAAAATTCATTCATCAATATATCATACGACCCTTGATTTTTCAAGGCGTCGGAGCATCATCCTTGTTACCGCCTCATTCACCCCATATGTCATATGACCGTTGCTCTCTGAGCAACGCGCCGGAGCACCGCCCAAAATCCACCCACACCACCACTAAACGGCCTTGTAGCTCAGGCCGTGAACCTAACGGCCGAGATAAGTTCCTCTCTCGGCCACAATCGTTTGCCTAGAAGTCTAACTCCAAACAGGCGCATCATTTGAACATCTTCTACCCAAACCCCATCACCATCTCAACGCACGATAGACCATGCTGGCACGCCCGCTCACAACCGCACTGCATCCAAAAGAAGGACGTCACATATTGACGCACATCCCCTCGACCCGGAGCACCAGGCCGCGAGATTTGCGACGGACAAACAGAAGTAGCTTTCCAGAATCTAAAGACATACCTTACTTCACCTCCACTACTCTCAAAGCCAGCTCCTGGTGAAGACTTGTTCGTGTACCTGGCAGTGTCCAACTCGGCCGTCAGCTCAGCTCTCATCCGAGAAGAACTTGGGGACCAACATCCGATATTCTACACGTTAAAAGCTCTCCTCGATGCAGAGACTCGCTACCCGAAATTGGAGAAGCTCATTTTGGCCCTTGTGGTTTCTGCGAGAAAGCTGCGACCTTATTACCAAGCTCACCGAGTCATCGTCATGACCGACTTTCCTTTGAGATCAATCCTCCACAGCCCTAATGCTTCTCAACGACTCATGAAGTAGGCTATAGAGTTAAGCCAATACGACCTCCTCTACCAGCCGAAGACTACAATAAAAGCTCAAGCCTTAGCAGACTTTGTTGCAGAATTCACACCATCAGTCGAAGAAGAGAAGCTGGTCAGCAAAAAGAAGGAAAGTTCGAGAGCAGACAAGACCTCTACTAAACCTGACCAACCCAGAGACATGTGGTAGTTGCACGTAGACGGAGAGTCGAACCAGAAAGGAGCTGGAGCAGGCGTCGTCCATCACCCCAGATGGAACCCTGCTAGAGCAAGCTATGACGCTTGGCTTCCTGGCTTCAAACAACGAGGCAGAGTACAAGGCATTGCTCGCTAGCTTGCGCTTGACAAAGGAGTTATCAATCAAAAAGCTGGCCATCTACTCAAATTCCTAACTGATCACAAGTCAAGCCTTAGGAGAGTACATGGCGAAGCACCCGAGGATGATCTTGTACCTTGACAAAGTCCAAGAGTTGTTGAAGGTGTTTCCCACCTTCACCATCCAGCAAGTGCCCCGAGCAGAGAACGCGCACGCAGATGCACTGGCAAGCTTAGGATCGGCGCTGGATACCCAGTTCAGACGCTTAATCTCGGTCGAGCACCTCGACCAACCTAGCATAGAAGAGGCAGAGCAACGGACCTGATGCAGATCGATGAGGATCCTAGCTGGCAAAACCCCATCATTGACTATCTAGTGAATGAAAACCTGCCCGAGGACAAGTCCGAGGCCAGGAAAATCAAGTAAAAGGCTGCAAGATACTACATGAAAAGCGACATGCTTATCTGCAGATCATACTCCGGGCCTCATGTCACTTGCATCAAGTACCCGCAAACGCTCGAGGTTCTCTGCAAGATACATGATGGCGAATGTGGAAATCACGCTGGGGGCAGATCGCTTGCTCAAAAGGCTCTCAGCATCGGCTATTTTTGGCCTACCATGCGCCAACGCTACAAGCCGGTCCCTGGCCTACCCGCTGAGGAATACCATCCGCAGAACAGTTCATGGCCATTCATGCAATTGGTCATTGACTTGGTGGGACCTATGCCGACGGCACCTGCCAATAAAGAGATGATGATCGTTGCCACTGATTACTTCACCAAATGGATCGAGGCCGAGGCTTTATCTTCTACCAAGGAGGCCGATGTTGAACGGTTCATCTAGAAGAACATTATTTGCATATTCGGTTGCCGCAATCGATAGTCACCGACAATGGTACACAGTTCGTGGGCAGGCAGATCACCGCATTCTTTGCGAAGTATGGCATCAAACAGCACCTGTCAACACCCCGATACCCGCAAGGCAATGACCAAGCAGAGGCATCCAACAAGATAGTGCTGGACTGCCTAAAGAAAAGACTGGAAGGCGCAGAAGTAAAATGGGTCGACGAGCTGCCAGGAGTCCTATGGGCTTATCGCACGACCAAAAGGAGATCGACCGGGGAGACACCATTTTCCCTGGCCTATGGGACAGAAGCAATCATTCCCCCACACATCACAGTTCCTTCCATGAGCATTGAGGTGGGCAGTCTTGACCAAAACTGCAAGCAGATGAAAGTCAACCTTGATCTACTCAAAAAAGAACGACAAAAGGCCATTGTTCGAGTTGCCGCCTACTAGCAGCAGTTGACGTCCTACTACAATAGGAAGGCCAAGATCAGACAGTTTCAGCCTGGAGACCTTGTGCTTAGAAAAACTTTCATCACAGCACCAAGGCAAGGGTCAAAGAAGATGAAGCCAAACTGGGAAGGCCCCTACGTGATCAGCCGATCTGGGGGCAGAGGAAGTTACACCCTTGATACTCTAGAAGGAAAAGAAATTCTGAGACAATGGAATGCCCACCACCTTCAGAGATACTATCCATGAAACTCTTCGCTTACCAGCTTGGCTCATAGCAGGCAATGAGCCTCCTGTACTTCCATTAAAGACGAACTACTTTTGATGTTACCTTTTTTGTTAATTTCCTTTATTCAATAAAGCGATGTATTCACACCAACATCAATACAAGGGCAAGCTTTTCAATGAAGTATTTTTTTTTAGCATTGTGTCCCTAAAATACGCTCGCAGGCGACAAGCCTCATCTCCATTGTAGACAAGCTGCTCCACGAAGCACAAATGCAATGGAATCTTTTTCGAGTGTTGTGTCCCTGACATACGCTCGCAGACGACAAGCCTCATCTCTATTGCAGACAAGCTGCTCCACGAAGCATAAACTCAATGAAGTCTTTTTCGAGCGTTGTGTCCCTGACATATACTCGCAGACGACAAGCCTCATCTTCATTGCAGACAGGCTGCTTCACGAAGCACAAACTCAATGGAGTCTTTTTCGAGCATTGTGTCCCTGACATAAGCTCGCAGGCGACAAGCCTCATCTCCATTGCAGACAGGCTGCTTCACGAAGCACAAACTCAATGGACTCTTTTTTCGAGCATTGTGTCCCTGACATACGCTCCTAGGCGACAAGCCTCATCTCCATTGCAGACAGGCTGCTTCACGAAGCACAAACTCAATGAAGTCTTTTTCGAGCATTATGTCCCTGACATACGCTCACAGGCAACAAGCCTCATCTCCATTGCAGACAAGCTGCTCCTCGAAGCACAAACTTAATGGAGTCTTTTTCGAGTATTATGTCCCCGACATATGCTCGCAGGCGACAAGCCTCACCTCCACTGAAGACAAGCTACTCCTCGAGTACAAACTTCATGGAGTCTTTTCAAGCGTCATGTCCCCGACATACATACACAGGCGACGAGCCTTACCTCCATTGTGGGCAAGCTACTTCACGAGTACAAACTCAATGGAATCTCTTTCAAGTGCTATGTCTCCGGACGTACACTTACAAGATACAATGAGAATTGAAGTTTGAAAGACAGCTGAAAATTCCATAACAAAGCAGCCAACCAGCACCATCTACTCAACGGCCTCACCTGCCTACTCCTTCGCATATGGTCTAGCCTTATCAGCTACGCCATCTTGAGAGTTGTCTTCCTCCATTGCAGCTTCATCTGCTATCTGCTCTTCAACTGCTTCTGCATCCACAACATTGCTCTGCTCACTTTTAGCAGGGGCAGGTCAAGATAAAGCTGCTTACCGTCTTCATGTTCGAGAGGGCAACAAGGAGAAGCACTATTCCTACAATCCAAGTATCCCAGCTTGTACGCATTAGCAACGATCTCATGCTTAGATGCCTCCGTGGCTTCAACATGAGTGTCGAACTTGATTAGCGGAGATATCACCAACTTCTGGATCGGCAGTTCGCGCAACTTAAGGACTCTTTGCTCGAGCAGACGACTCTTTAGCTCTCTTGGCCGAAACTCGCAACATTGAGTCAGCTCCGTTCTTGACTGTTCATGGCTTTGCAGACGAGTCATGATTGCTAGACAAATGTACAGTCCTCTCAGTTTGATCCCAAGATCGGCACCAGCAACTCAAACCCTGCTTCTCAACAGCCTCCTCACAGGGTAGATCATGGGTTTTAGGCAGTTCGAGCGGATACCTGAGTAGAATGTCCCAGACCTCCTGCATGCAATTGATCTTCTTACTGTTCGTGCTAACGAGGCGCTTGATCTTGGCAGATGAAGAAGCAACTCCCATAGGGACATTCCCAGCAAACGAGACCCCCTTACGAAAGACTTGCTCGTGGAAGAATGAGGAAGATTGGTCGAGGACTTCTCCCGCTCAACTGGCAAATCATCTAGGTCTGAGCCATGCCGCTCCCATCTTTCAACATCTTCGGCTGGGGGCAGACCATCAGCCTCCTTCTGATGTTCATTCAGCAACCAGCGCAATCCACAGAACCTGACAAGGATGTTTAAAGCTTGATGAACATTGATTGTGTTTGGGCCGAGATCGAGCTTCTTGTGGATGTCATTTTCTACAAGCAGAAGATAGAAGTCAGTCAGACACACAGTAAAGAATTCCATGGCTACTGTAGCAGATCAAAGGGATGCAACTTACCATCACAGTAGGTGAGAGGAATGAGCGAACCGTAGCCAACCTCCCCTACCCATCTGCCGCTGACTTCCAACATGTCCGTGCTCCACACATGATCGCCTTCACTCATACAGTTTCTAGTTCGTGACACAAAAAGAAGGAATTGAAGCAGTTTGGATCAACCACAAATAAGTCGACCCAAACTGCCACCTGCTCCAGCAACAGGCCGGCTCGCCTCCAACCCAGTTACAGCTGGACAGCCCAAGTTAAAAGACCAAAGTGGCAAGTCAAAGACCTCCTCCACGCAGGAGCCCAAATCAAAGAAGGAAGCCCAGTTATAGTTGGACAGCCCAACAGATAATTCACATCTCCTACATGCCGCCACACGCCATGCAGAAGCTGGGGGGCATTTGTGGGAACCAATAAAATCAAAACCCTAGGTCAAATAATTCCTTCCATTTGGGGATTATTTGACCTAATTGGGAATTACTCAACCTAATTGGGAGTTACTCAATTTAATTGGGAGTTACCCAATTAAATTGAGAATTACCTAATTAAGTTGGGAATTGATTTGATTCCTACCCCAATTCCCAATTAAATGAGGAGTTACCTAATTAAATTAGGATTTAATCTGATACCTACCACAATTAGGGATTTGATTTACCCTAATAAATCAAATCCCTAATTAATCAAATCAATGCCAAATCGGGGAGGAATAATTCCTTACCAACTACGGAATTATTCCTCTGAAACCCTAGCCTTCGAGACCATTATAAATACTTGGCTACGCACAAAGGTCAAGGTACGTCTAAATTCCTACTGAAACTCTGTAGAAATTATTTCTCACAAACCCTGGCCACCACTTTCTTTCTCTCTCTTACACAAGGCTCCGGCCACCACACACGGCTCCGGCCACCCGGTTTTCCTTGAAATACCCTACCTAACTTAGGCATTGGAGGGCCTTTGGCCAACACCCCCCGGGTGTGGTCCTTTTACCCCGATCTGTTTTGCAGGGAGAAAGAGAAGTGGAGAAGACGAAGGAATCTTAGGCGAATATTCTAGTGGGACGAAATTTGCTCCCACACTGACGAGGAAGTCAACCATCCCCACCTGAATCACGAGGGTCACCAACGTGATTGGCAAGCCATGCACAAGAAAGATGTCGAGAAGCTTGTAAACAACCGACTTCGTAACTTAAAGTTTGGTGGAAATTTTGAAAATGCTCTACGCAAGGAGGTGGACCAAGCAAACTCTATGCCTTTCACTACTGAAATCAAGCAGGCTGCTCCCCTAAAGAGATTCTCAACGCCTTCATTCACGCATTTCAAAGGGGATTCTGATCCCGAGAGCCATCTAAAGCACTTCAAAAGTGTCATGATGCTCTACAAGACCAACGATGTGCTAATGAGCAAGGTGTTTGCAATGACCTTACTAGGAGTAGCCCAAGACTAGTTCTACACCCTGCCACTCGAGTTGATCAACAACTTTAAGGAGCTAGCTTACGTCTTCACCAAAGAATACACTTCTTCCCGAAAGATCAAGAAGAACCCTGATTAACTATTCAACCTACGCAAGAAGTACGATGAATCCCTCCGAGATTACATCAAGAGGTTCAAAGCAGAAAGGGCAAACATAATTGGATGTAACGATCAAATAGCGTCATCGGCCTTCAAGAAGGGCTTGCCAATTGAGTGTGAGCTGTATCGCGAGATGACCATCTCTCCCCGCCAAACACTGGTAGAAGTCTTCGCGACAACAAAGCGCTACGCACTTTGGGACGATGACCGGATTGCCGCAAAGAAGGCTGCCAAGCAAGCCGATCAACCAGTTGAGCAAGCAAGCCAAAGGAACGGCAGGATAGACGACAAGGATGGAGGCAAGCTCAGATTACAGCCTCAAGGAGGTGCTCCAGCAGCTAAGAGCTATACCAAGTTCACTATCCCGATACACCAGATCTTGGCCCAAGTAAAGAACATGCCTTGGTTGAAAAAATCGATGCCTTCGAAGGGAAACCCAACTAAGAAGGACACCAATAGGTACTGCGAATTCCATAAAAGGCACGATCATTACACAAATGATTGCTTCACCTGGAAAAAGCACCTCGAAGAACTGGTCGGAGACGGCCATTGCATAGAATTCATCTCAAGAGGGGCCACCCAACAAATCAAATATCGCGACGCAGCTACTAACGAACCTCCAAGAAAAAAGTCATACAAATCAGCACGATCCTAGCCAACTCTAAGAGCATGAGCTGACCACCAGGGAGTAGAAAACAGAGATAATGCAAGCGACAAGCGCAGGTCTCCCAAGCCGTCACCTTCTACCCAGTCATGAAAGACGATCCTGGCATCATCTTTTAAAGGAAGGAAGTTCCAAGACAATGGAATGCCTATCACCTCCGGAGGTACTATCCATGAAGCTCCTCGCCTATCAGCTCGGCTACAAGCATACGGCCAGGCCTCCCTCACCTCCATGGAAGACAAGTTAATTTTGATATTACCCCTACAACTCATCTCTTTTGTTCAATAAAGCAATGTATTCACACAGACATCAATACAAGTTCAAGTTTTTCTTTCCAATGGAATGTTCACAAATACAATCGACACATCTACGAACGTAGGCCAAAAGGGCTACACTAATCGACACGTCTACAGACGTAGGCCAAACGGGCCACTCTCATCGACACGTCTCCGGACATAGGCTAAACGGGCTATACACATCGACAGGTCCTCGGACGTAGGCCAAACGGGCCACACACATCGACATGTCTCCTGACATAGGCTAAACTGGCCACACTCATCAACACGTCTCCGGACGTAGGCCAAATGGGCCACTCCCATGGACACGTCTCAAGACGTAGGCCAAACAGGCCACTCCCATCGACACGTCTCCTGACGTAGGCCAAACGGGCGACTCTCATCGACACGTCTCCGGACATAGGCCAAACGGGCCACACTCATCGACACATCTCCTAACGTAGGCCAACGGGCCACACTCATCGACACGTCTCCGGATGTAGGTTAAACGGGCCGCTCTCATCGACATGTCTCCAGTCATAGGCCAAACATGCTGCAACATGAGAAAAACATCATATGGGACATACAGAACATGCCTGGAGCCCTCAAGGGGGACCCTGGCACTCATAAATTTCCTAAGGGAGACACACAATCAAGATATTGGTTGGTTACTTAAGCAGTTCACAAGTCGATATGCAAATTGGAGTTGAAAATATAACTAAATTTTCATAGCAAGCTGACCAACTAGTCAAGTTCAACAAAAGAAGATGGTCAAACAAGACCAATTATTTTAAATAAGAAAGCAGACCACAAAAGCTGAAAAGAAATAAAGAAGTCTTCATCTCCTCTGAGACGCCAGCAGGAAACTCCTGATTTGCAGCCTCTTTAGCATCTGCCTGATCAGCCACGCCTTCAGCAACTTCACCTACCTACTCCGCGGCATCTACCGCCATCTCATCTGCTACGTCCTTCTCTTCTCCATCCTCATCAGCTACCGCATCTTTAGTCGCCTGCTCTTCAGTCCCTTCCATGTTCACAATATTAACTTTCTCACTTTGCACAAGGAACAAGTCCGGGCAGAGCACCTAGTTGTCACCATCTTTAATTGCATAAAAGGGAGCAGTCTCATTTGTGTAGTGCAAGTTGCCCAACTAGTATGCATCTATGGTGGCTTCAAACTTGGATTTTCGGCAGACTTGTGGTGAGCGCAAAGTCTAGCCAGAAGTTTGTCATAGTTGAGGGAGATATTAGCATTCTTGCACTCGAGATGGAAGAAAACATCTTTTCAACTAGCCAAGCTAGCAGCAGAAGAGCTAAGCTCAGAATCCTTCTCAGCAAGGGAGCTTTTCAACTCAGAGATCATCGCCCTCAAAACAGACGTCCTCTTCTCATAACGGGTCTACTAGACAGGAAGCTTGCTGGCCAGTTCAACATTCTTCTCCTCCAACTCGCTGAGCTGAGTAGAAGATAGGGCAACAACAGACGAGTTCTGGATAGTCTCAGCTGCAAAAACTAATCCTTTTTGAAGTAGATGAAATGTCCCTTCCCTTTGTTTTTCCAAATAAAGACTCGAGAAGGTGTCAAGATCACCAGCCTGACGGATGTGATTAACCAGCTCAGCACAAGTAGACGGGCTTGACAGAAAGTTCATCTTGAGCATATCAGACACGCCTGCATCTCCAGCAGGATTGAACTTGCCCATCTTATGGTTCGTTGTTGGCATTACATAAGATCCCTTCGCTCGGGCAGATGACTCTCTCGTCTTCTTAGCCTCTGCCAACCTCACCTCCAAATGAGCCAATAACGTTGAATCAACTCCATGCTTGACTACCCCTGATTCAGCAACTGGATCGTGAGCATACCTCCCAGTTCAATCTCCATCCTTCAACTGATGCAAGCGACCCGAACTTCGAAGAGGAACATCTGCACCCATTTGCCTCTCATCAGGTGAACTAGACCGCGCACGAACTATTTCACGGAGCATATCATGGTCTTTAAGTTTGTCAGTAGGAGACTTGAGTAGAACATCTCGAACACTGCGCATACCACCAACCTTCCTACTATCTGTACCAGTGAGATGTTTAACCCTAGCAGATGAAGGAGCAGCTCTTACTTATGTCTTCTCAGTAGAAGGAAGCCTTGGTTTCTTTCTCAACGAAGATACATCCTTCGCTCGTGATGTCGTAGCTCCATTTCTTGAATACTTGACATCAACCTTCCTCTTTGAGGGGGGTTCGGCATAACATTTCTCCTGTTCTGCAGGTAAATCATCAAAGTCTAGAACGTTCTGCTTTCATCTATCAACATCTTGGTCAGGGGGCAGACCATCAACCTCCCCCCTATACTTGCTCAGATGACGTGGCATGCAGCGCATGAGGCCCAGCATGCTCCAGCTCAGACCTGCGACGATAGACAGTAGCTGGTCCACTTGTGCGCACCTGCTCTATCACAGCTGCCGCCCACTACCAACCGTTGCTTGTCACGACGACAACTAGCCGAGCTTCCCCCAGCTGGCCCTCATAGCAAAAAAAGAAGAAAAGAAAAAGAAAAAGAAATATAGGTGCTCGACTTACCTTGGAATGCATGGCGACTCCTCTCTTCGACAAGCAGTACAAATTCTCCAAGATCTCTCTAAAGCTAGAAAGTAGAGAAGTTAAGTTCTCAATGTGAAGAAGAGTGAATAGAAGCCCTGCATTTACACAGGTTGGGGATCCTAGGTCAAGAACGAATCGCAAGCCCATTCCTACTGGGAACCTAACTCCAAGAATAAGTCAAAAGCCCACTTGGGAACCCAATCTGCAAAAGAAGTCCAAGTCGCAGAAGGAAGCGCAGTTACAACTGGACAGCCCAATAGATAATTCACATCTCCTACATGCCACCACACGTCATGCAGAAGCTGGGGGGCATTCGTGGGAACCGAATTAAATCAGAACCCTAGGTCAAATAATTCCTTCTATTTGGGGATTATTTGACCTAATTGGGAATTATTCAACCTAAATGGGAGTTACTCAATTTAATTGGGGATTACCCAATTAAATTGAATGTTACCTAATTTGGTCGAGAATTGATTTGATTCCTACCACAGTTCCCAATTAATTGGAAGTTACCTAAATTAATTGGGAGGTTATTTGATTCTGATTGGGTGTATTTGACTTAATTAGGGATTTGATTAAATCAAATCCCTAAATACACCAACCTCACCAACCTCGTCGAAGCCCCCTATAAATACTTGGCTGCGCACAAAGATTGAGGTACGTCAGAATTACTACTAAAACTCTGTAGAGATCTTCCTCTCACAAACCCTAGCCACCTCCTCTCTCTCTCTCTCTCTCTCTCTCTCTCTCTCTCTCTCTCTCTCTCTCTTTTACATAAGGCTCCGGCCACCCAGTTTACACCACAAACACATCTCCGTACCCTATTAACTATTGTTTTCTAGACGATTCAATTGAACTAATTTAGGCATCGGAGAGCCTTTGGCCAACACCCCCCGGGTGTGGTCCTCTTATTTGTTCTATTTTGAAGGGAGAAAGAGGCGGCGAAGAAGAAAAGGGAATCTTTCCAATCGAATATTCTCGTGGGGAAATTTGCTCCCACAATATGACATGTTACTAGAGAATTACTAGAAAACTGCTTCCACTTGAATATAAGAGCTAAATGCAGTCTGCTTCAGTAAACTTTTTCTTTCATTCAGATAAATAGAGGAGGTTCAAGGAAAAAAGAAATACAGATTGATAGTAAAATGCTATAAGATATATATTGAGGTGACAAAACCAACTAGACTAGTACAAGAGATAAAAGGGTACTTTCCATGGTTCCATCAGGTTCTAGCAATTCCTTCATTCTAATGGTAATTTGATGGCTATTGGGCTCCTAACTGAATATTGATCAGAAACCCATGTCAGAGATCCCTTAACATACTGAACAACTAGTGGAGTTTTATCTGATTTTCCTCCACCCTTGCTTCATCTAAAAGTAACCCCGTATTTTGCCTTCTGATTCATCTCTGAGAAATAAGTTTAGGCTTGATGCTGACACTGATTCCTTGGGGTGGAGCAACCTTCACAGTGTCTGAAGAATCAGCCTTGCCAACGTTTGTTACCTCTCTTGTATAAGTCTGATGAGTGAGCCCCAATACAATGGAAAATGGAGGATAATTTAGTTGAGCTTCATATATGGGTTTTTCCAAAGAGCAGTTCACCTTGCCTTGCAACAGAATCCCAACATGTCTGTCAGTGTAATTCTTACCACACAAGTAAGGTATGTAATCAAGGGGTTTGATGTCATAGACGAGGCCTGGATCATTAGCCCTTGATGAGTTTGGATGGCCTGTGCCAATGGCAAATACACTGGCTGGCTGGAGTGTTTCATCAGTGATTGGCTGGCCTTTCTGGTTTACAACCTCAGCTGTAGTCATGATTGCACACTTAATAGCAACAGGTGACCAGTCAGGTTGGGAACTCTTTAGCAAAGCTGCAATGCCACTGAGGTGAGGGCATGACATTGAGGTACCTAACATCATATTGAAGTTTGATTTCGAATTTGACTTCCTCTTGTCAATAGGGAAAGGTGAGGCTGCTAGAATGCTCCCTCCCGATCCAATAATGTGAGGCTTCAAAATCCCGGGACATATGGAGCTTGGTCCCCTAGATGAGAAGGAAGCCACCATGGGAGCAGATGAGTTTCCAATTACAGTTCCTTTGAATTTGACTGTGGCTATTAGTTTAGAGGTTTTGTTTATATAGTGCTTGATGTTCAGGCGTAGGTGGTAAAGCCTTCCTGTTCTTGGTTCACAAGAAGCATGGCTGCTCCACCTGCAGCTTTCACTACTTTTCCTTGATCCAGTCTACTTATTTCCATACCTCTCTCACAGAAAACTACTTTTCCTTTCACATTAATATCTTTCAGTGACCCATTATTACAGTTTTGAGAAAGCATCTGACCATTAATGCCTGGTTGAACCAAAGGCAACAATTTGGAGTTCAACCTTTTAGTAGAATTAGGCAGAAAAATTGACTCCCCGTCAAATTCATCCCCATTTCCAAGTCTAGCTGTTGCTATTATGCTTCTATCAATGGTGCTTGCTCCTACAGTGAGAATCCAAGGAGCAGCATTATATACACTATTGGAGGATGGGCCAGAATTCCCAGCCAAACAAACTGTAGAAAATGATTTCCCTTGATTTAAATATGTTTACAATGTACAGCTATATAGGAGATTTGTTTGACTGTTACAAGAAATAATAAACAGCAATAATTACAAAGAATCAAAACTGATCTTCCGTTACACAATCAGTTTTGATTCTCAATCAAACTGATCTTCAGTTACTCAATCAGTTTTGATTGAGAAGAGGAAATCTCTCTAACACCCTCCCTCAAACTTGGCGGGCCTGCATGAAAAACTTTGTATGACCCCCGAATTGGTGAACGAACAAAGATGAATCAGCCAAACTCTAAACAAAGCCAATTGATAGTAAGAAGCATGTCATACGGTGAAACCACGCACGCGGAGCTTACTTGAGGCCGTAGATGGCCTTGTTGAGCTTGCAAACATAAGGTGGCCGTGACGGGTCAATGAATCTCGGTGGTTGAGTCATATACACATCTTCTTTAAGAAAGCCATGGAGGAATGCGTTTTTGACGTCCAATTGACGAAGTGACCAACCTAGAGATACAGCAAGAGACAGCACAACACGAATAGTTGCAGGTTTAATCAAAGGGCTAAATGTATCGGTGTAGTCTATACCTGGTTGTTGATGAAACCCTTTAGCCACAAGTCGCGCTTTGTGACGTTCAATAGTGCCATCTGAATTGTGCTTTACTCAAAATACCCATTTGCAGCCAACAAGATTTTGAGATGAAGATGGGGGAACCAATGTCCAAGTATTGTTTTTCAGCAAAGAATTGATTTCATCAACCATTGCTTCACGCCATATCGCATGTTTAGAGGCTTGAGTGTAGCATGTAGGCTCTGCAGTTTCAATGACAATGAGGAGAGCACGAGCAATGGGATATTTGACAGTGCCATCTGTGCGAATTTTGGGTTGCACAATACCGTGCTGTAGCCGTGTCCTCATGGGTAGAGAGGGTGGTGGTGCAGGAAGGGGTTGAGGATCAGCTAGTGTGAAGTTGGGGATGACAACGGAGGATCAGTGACAGGCAGAGACCCACTAGAGACCGGTTGTGGAACAGTTGCAGCAGGGGCAGATGGCTAGAGAGAGGTGGATGCAAGCTGTGAAGAATCTGGGTGTAATGAACGGCAGCGCTGATAGGTGAGAATGGGGGCGGCGGTGGAAGCTTGAGACTGAGACGAAGCCGACAGCGCTGGAATTGGGAGTTCAATACCTACTTCACGTGGCTCTAGTTGAGATACATGAGGAGATTTGACGGTAGTACAAGTAGAGGTGCCATTCTCAGCAGGCGGATTTGGGCCAAAAAGAGTGGGCTGTGGAAGATTGAGTCCTGGGCTGGACAAAAGTGTGAACTCCAATGAGCCAGCATCTGGAACTAAATGTGCCTGCAACTGTTTGTAAGGAAAAATTGTTTCGTTAAAGACAACATGCCTAGAGATATAAACACGACCAGTGGTAGGATCTAGACAACGATAACCTTTGTGTTGAGAACTGTAACCGAGAAAGACACACTCAATGCTACGACTCGAAAGTTTATCAGAGACAAAAGACCCAAGATGAGGAAAACAAGAACAACCAAAAACGCGAAGAGAGGAATAGGAAGGCGGACTACCATAAAGACGAGTATGTGGATTGTCCCAATTAAGAATGGGTGTGGGAAGAAGATTAATAAGATAAACAGAGGTTAAAACAGCTTCGACCCAAAGATTATGTGGAGCACCAGAAGTGAGAAGGAGACTCCGAGTCATTGTGGAAATATGGCGATGCTTGCGTTCCGCAAGGCCATTTTGTTGTGGTGTATAGGGGCAAGAAAATCTTTGTTGAATTCCCAAGGATTTACAATAATGAGAAAAGGCATTATTGACATATTCAGTCCCATTGTCACTTTGAAGAAATTGAATGGTTTGGTGAAAGATATTTTGAATCATGGCAACTAAAGTTTGAAAATGAGTTAGGACTTCATTTTTGCGACGCATGTGGTAAATCCAAGTGTAGCGTGAGAATTCATCAGTAAATAGAACATAATATTTAAAACCACTAACAGAAATAGTAGATGAGGACCAAACATCACTATGAATAATGTGAAAAGGAGTACTAGCAGTCTCTTTATTGGAATTAAAAGGTAATTGGTGAGACTTGCTGAGTGCACAGTCTCGACAAAAAGAACGGAAAGACAATTTGGAATTGATTGTAGGACCTAGACGTGCTAGGACATTTGATGACGGATGACCCAAACGATTGTGCCAGATGGAGGAGTGAATAGAAGCAAGGGCTTGTGGAGGAGTGGAGACGCTGGACAGAGTGAGCGGATATAGACCATCTTCACAAGGGCCCTGAAACAATAGACGACCAGTATGTAAGCAATAGATTTGATAGAAGTCAGGTGCAAAAACAAAGAAAACAAGGTTTTCTTTAGTGAAACGAGCAACAGATAGGAGATTTTTACGAATGGATGGAATACGAAAGACATTTTGTAAAGTGAAGTTGGAAGAGCCTAATGAAAGGGGAAGATTACCAGTATGGGAAACGGGCATTGAGTCCCCATTACCCATATATACATTATGCGGTCCACCATAAGGTTGAGGATTATTGACGAGCATGGATGTCATGTGATGGGTTGCACCTGTGTCCGGGTACCAATTTGGATCAGCAGCATAATGTACTCCAGCAAACGGAGTAGCAGTATTTGGGCCGGAAAATCTATGTGGGCATTGAGAAAGACCATGTTGACCTGAGTGACAATTGGGACACCATTGGGGTGCTGGGCCAAGAAGACCATTTGGTGGGGGACGAGCAACCCAAGCAGGTGAAGTAAACGGCCCAAATGGAGGCATATGTTGCTGTTGCATAGGAAAAGAAGACGCAACCTGTGACTGTGGAGTGGCTTGCTGCTGGGAGTGACGACCACGTCTGAAGCGACCATTGTTGGGACGACCACCGGTGGGAAATGAGCGATGGTCACGACGGGTAGAGAAGGCTTGACTGTGATTGAAGAGAGCAGTAGCCGTAGGGGAAGCAGCAGGACGAGATTGTTGGGCATCAAAGGAGAGAATTCGAGCCCGTAGTTCGGTGAAATCAAGGAGTGGAGGATTTTGAGTGAGGGCAGTGCGAAGCATGATGTAAGCGGGGCCAAGACCATGAAGAGTGGCGATGACCAAGTCCTCGTCAAGAACAGGCTTGTTAATGGAGACCAAAGCATCAGCAATTGGCATGACAGAGGTATTCATCAACAGATTGAGTGCCTTTGGTGAGATCTAGAAGTTGCATTTTGAGATTGGTTGCACTAGCTATAGACTTCTGGGAAAAGTGGCGTTCAAGGCAGTCCCAAATTGCCTTTGATGTGTCGAAACCAATGGTAAGCTGTGCAATGTTTTCTATTAGAGTGGTGGTGAGGATGCTAACAATTTGTTGGTCGACGGTGAACCATGTTTCATGTGCAGGATTAGGAATGGATTGTGCTGGTTCAGTGTCGGTGGCAGTAGTCATGGTGGTGAGAGATGGTTCAGGAATGGTGCCATCAACATATCCCCAAAGTTTGGCACCGTGAAGGTATGGTTTGATTTGCCGAAGCCATGTGAGGTAATTGGTTTCAGTAAGTTTGGTGAATTGAGCAGTATTTTGGGAGGGAGTAGTTGAGGAAGAGGAGGTAGCCATGGGCAAGAAGAGGGAAGAAAGAAAAGAGGGGATGACGGAGACAAGTAAGGATCCTAGACTTGGGCTGATACCATGTAGAAAATGATTTCCCTTTATTTAAATCTGTTTACAATGTACAGCTATATAGGAGATTTGTTTGACTGTTACAAGAAATAATAAACAGCAATAATTACAAAGAATCAAAACTGATCTTCCGTTACACAATCAGTTTTGATTCTCAATACAAACCACAAAAATTCTTCTTTGCATTGCACTGAACGCAGCCAATGCAATACTGTCTTCAAACAGTTGACCGACATTTAGAGAGGTCATGGAGATGGAAATCACATCGACACCATCCTCGACTGCAGCATCAAATCCTGCAAGGACATCAGTACTCAAACATTCATCAAGAGAGCAGACCTGGTAAATTGCAAAGTGAGCATAAGGCGCTACGCCAGAAGCATTGCCATTGGCATTGTTATATAGATTGGCACCTCTCACAAAATTCCCAGCAGCCGTGCTAGCAGTATGAGTGCCATGGCCTATCTCATCAACTGGTTGAGCACTAGAAGTCTGTAAAAGGTTGTCTGTCATAGACTTGGAAACTTCTTGCACCAATGATCTTGTTGTTGCAGATGAATGTGCGATTAGCTGTCTGGTTGAAGTCACACCTGCCTTTCCATCTATCTGGTGGAGGAGGCATTCCTTCGTCCTAAAAGGAAGGATGATCTGGTAACACGCCGGTGTCCATAACACCAATAATTACACCATTGCCGAAATTTGATTCTTTCCAGAACCCCTTCTCCGGGTGCAAGCCCATAGAAAGAACCTCTTCTTTCTTCTCCATGGCTTTCACTTCCTCTGCTGTCAGTCTTGCTGCAAACCCAGTAACCACATGCCGGTATGAGTAAAGCAACTGTTGCTGCTGGTGCTCGGTGCTTGCAGTGGTGACAGGCAAAAGTGACTGATACCACCTGTGCAAACTTTCTGATTGCATAGAATGCAGACCCTCTGGCTTGTGGACATAGACAATGTATGTCTGGAGGTTGTTTTGGCTCAGTGAAGCAACTTCTCCTTCTTGAGCTAAAGAGACATGAAACATGAAAGCTATGGTAAAAAGCAACATGAACTTCCTAATTGGCAACACTCCACACATATTGTTCTTCTTTTCACTCAGTGTTGCTTGAAGGTTTGAAGAATTACCATTGCAAACCTCATGCCTGTATATAGTAGAAAGGGCTTTCATTGTCTGCAGTTTGGACTCGTAAAACAGGCTGGCAAGGTTTATATTGTTTAAAGTTGAATGAATAAAGTTTTGATGCTTCAAGAGACAGGCTTTGGGATTATTAATTGTAGATGAATGGTTTATTTGTCGATTTGTTTCGGCATGTAGTTTATTTATAGATTTCGGTCCATGGATTAATATGGCCTGCTTAATCACAGTTTTAGTTTATCCATTAGTTTTCTGTTTCTTAAAAATACTGCATTCTCTTCACATACCCCTTCAAATGCTCAAATCTATTACAGTGGTTTCTATGGGACCATACCTTCTGCTCTTCTAAGGAACAATAACTTTTCATTTCTCCCAAGGTTTAAGGTCAAATCCTTGCCAATTCATTGAAGGAAGTTCTTATGAGAGTGATGGTTTTTGCCAAAAGCACTATGCAAACTTATAGTAATTAGCTCAAAGTTTTGACTTCAGCCAAAAGGTACTGTTCTACATTCCAAGTGATGAACAATCCACCACTCAGTACTTCTAAATTAACCATTGAGGGAATTACTAGAAGGGTTTTAGAGGTGGAGGAAGATGAGGGGTCCGGCCATTGAAGGGAACTTGAGAACAATCATAGCAATGAAAAATCATGGTAGAATAGCAGAATTGGTGGTTTTTAATAAACTAATCCTCAGAAAAAGCAAAAAATAATAATAATAAAATTGTTTTGGCCAAATCTTCACTCTGAGAGGAACAAACTTGTAAAAGAAATTTTTTGCCTGAAGGGTTGATCACTAACTTGAGCCACTTGTGCATCATATGCTCTCCATTAATAAGCACCCCAAAAGAAAGAAGCTCAAACATATAAATTTGGAAAAGCAAGAAAACCCATCAAAATTAAAATCTGAATCAACATGAAGGCAGTATAAAAATTTATTCAGAAAGAACATGGCACCTTAAAATTTCTGAAAACGGTGTCCCCCCAACAACTGCAGCAATCTTGTGCCTTTGCCCTAGATGCTTCAAGCAAATAATAATCATTGGAAAATAGTTACCCATGAGAGGAAAATGCTGGAATTACCACTCACTCAGAGTAGTAATTAACAAAAGAGTACAATACAATGAAACCCAGAAAAAGTTCGATTCAGGCGGTCCAAGGTTTCAATTTTCAAACAAGGAAGGTTAAAATGGCCTGGAAAATGATTCAGGCACTTGCGGTAAATTATTTAGTATTATTTAAAAATTGTGATGATACTGACAACAAGGTTTCGTGGTGTAGTTGGTTATCACGTCAGTCTAACACACTGAAGGTCTCCGGTTCGAACCCGGGCGAAGCCATGTACAATTTATTTTTTAATTTTTGTCCATTTTGCTGATGCTACTAACATTTTGGGAATCTAATGTTTCAAAACTTCCACCAATGTTCAGCTGCAAAGGCTCTAACTCCAAGCTCTTATCTTCGAGTACATGGAAGCTGCTGGGGCCACGTCATCTTCTTCTTCCCCTATTGAAGTGTGTTTCTAGATACCCACGGCTAGGGCTCGTAAATGGGCCGGGCCGGGCTAGGCCCGGCCCAAATTTAACGGGCTTGGGTCGGGTCGGGCCGGGCTTTAAAGAGGAGAGAGAAAATATCGGGCCGGGCCGGGTTTTTTTAGAAAATTCAAAGCCCAAGCCCGACCCATAGGTCGGGCTTGAGAAAGTCCATTGGGCCGGGCTGGGCTAAGCCCAACGGGCCGGGCCGAAACGGGCCTACTTCATTCGAAAAAAATCATAAACTTAATTATAAGGCATTTTAGTCTAAATTTGATATTAAACTCACTTAATTCCAATATTTTCACATCAAACCAAATTCATAAAATACCCAATAAAGTCACACAACTTAATAAGATTTTCCACAAAAATAATAAAACAAAGTATTATTTTTGAGGTTATTACATAATTAGACCGTAATACGTTTTAAGAAATAATTTTAAAAAATAATAAGTATCAAAAAGATATTTTTTTTAAAGGATGGTATAAATAAATATGTAAATGTTTGGTGATGTGTTCAAGAAAAATATTATTATATTTGGTGGTAGTAGTACGATTATGTTTCGTGATATGATTATATTTAGTGATATGATATATTGTTCATCTTATTTATATATATATATAATTGTTGTATAAATAATTGACACAAATTAATGTGCTAATCATCCAATTATAAATTAGGAATGAGTAAAGAAAAGTAAATGAAATGAAACAAATTATATATGTGATTTAAGTGATATAATCCTAATCCTAAACTCTTATTTATACATAATTATATATGTATGCGGGCCTAACGGGCCGGGCTTTTGTGGGTGGGCCGGGCCGGGCTTTCTTGGGCTTAATCGGGCTGGGCTTATGGGCCGGGCCGGACTTCAAACACCCAAGCCCAAGCCTAGCCCGGCCCAAGGTGGGCCGGGCCATCTCAAAGCCCATAACGGGCCGGGCCGGGCGGGCCCCCATCTGCCCGCGGGCCAAATGATGAGGCCTACCCACGGCGCAAGGAGATAAACTCTCATATAACAAGGATTTCACTTTTTACTATACCCGACCAATAACACAATAATATGTAGGATAACTTTTTCACATGTTATTGTGTTATTGGTCGACAATAGCAAAACAGTGATATCTCCATTACATGTAAGTTTTTTTGCATTTTCACGTTGGAGTCTAGAATTTTTTATTTTTTTTAATGCAATAATGTGAGATGCATATCACATACCAAGTGTCACTTAAATTGGGAAAATACCGAAGAGAAACTTTTGGGAAACCAAGTGTCACTTAGCACAAGAGTCCCATTCTCTATTTCGCATGCTGTTTACCTCCCAACCATTGCAAAGTCAAATATAAACCGTTTTACATTAGCCATAGCCTACTACAACATCCACTTATTTGACAACAATTTCCGTAATTTTTGCATGAGATGTGATTTAGGTTTTGTTGACCCAAAAAGCGTGGCTTTCTATTTAGGGAGTTTCACTAAAACACCTAAAATAGGGACTTAAATTATAAAAAAACCCAAGCACTATTTAAACATATAAACACACCCAAAACCCATCATTACACACACTCAAAATCCATTTATAAACACACCCAAAAAATTGACTTTGGGGTTGATTTTGGGTGTGTTTCTATGTTTAAATAGTACTTGGGTTTTTCTATAAATACATGTCTAGGATTTGGTTTATTTATAAATTTGTATTCTATTTAAGCACTAGAAGTATTCATTTTAAGTTATTTGGGCCCTTCAATGGGCTGAAGTATATTTTGTATGGTTTTATTATCGGCATGCCATTATCACTACTAAAAAGTCTAATCGGAAGAGTATATGACTCAAACATAAACAAAGTGAATATCTTGCGCCTTAAAGTTAACTTCTCTCAAGTTATTATCCTCAAAGTAGGAAATTGGTTTGCATTAATGGCATGTTTACTAACCATAATTGGATTAGGAGGAATTGAATTAGGAGGAATTGAATTGAGGATGAATTGGATTGAGGAGAATTAGATTCCAGATTCCTATTGAAGTTGTTTACTAAACCGTATGGATTTAGGGAAGTTAGATTTTGAATTCCTATTGAAGTTGTTTATTAAACCATATGAAATTGGGGTAGGAGTGGTACTAATTACTAAAATGTCCTTGTTGTTGGGTTAAAGTAGATGACAAATTTTGAATTTTGAAAATTGTGTGAGGATATAATTGGTAAAAAAAATGAATTCTTAATTGGTTAGTTCTCCAGGAATTAGAATATCATCTCCCACCCAAGAATTGAATTCCTCTAAAATCAGGAATTCAATTCCTAATTTTGTGTGGGTCTCACTTACTTTTTATCAATTCTTTGATGTGAAGTAAACGCAGGAATCCTCCATATAGGTGGAATTCAATTTCTAATGAGAATTCAAATTCCTAATTAGTAAACACACCATAATTCTTTTCTATGCTTGGTTAATTAAGGATTCCAATATTCCACTAATGTGATGTAAGAACTCAAAGAACATAGTGCTAAAATCGTAATTGGACTAAATAAATTAATGATGATAGAAATGAGGCCGAATGGACATTACAAACTAAACAAAGTGAAAACAAGTCCGATCGGACTGAAATACAAGTAAAAGAAAGGTAATTGGACTGAAATAACTTCAATTTGGACTAACTAGAACGAAGACACAATGAATCTTAAACAATCACAGTTGGAAACGATCGTCAACTGAAAATCATACCAAATAAAGAAGAAAACAGAGCAAATAAACAAAGGATTTCATAAGAGTTTTTGACTGGAAACCAAAGAGTGAAAGCAGGAAGATTGTTTGAGAAGCTTGAGACCAAGTTGATATGTCTAAAGTTTATTTAGAGATTGTCCATGTTTACGTCTTCATTTTTTTGATGATATGGTGCCCTTTACTAGCCAAATGACATCAAGAGAAATAGCTGAGGTGCTAGGGAACAACCTTCCATCTTTTCTTGCTGAAATTAAGCAGCCACATATTGACTTTGAAAATATGAAAATAAGCTAAATACCGAACAATTTAAGCAGGATTTGATCTTGCTTTGGACATAAATTATGAGTAGCATTTAATGCACTTCACCTAATCCTACTTAGCAAGTTAACCCACGTGAGAAACGGATGCAAAGGCTCTTTCTATTATGGACTTTGTAACCATGTGGCCATGTTTTGGTTATTAGAGCATCTTCAACAGAGACTATCCTATTATCTCTAGTTATTTTGGCAAAAAGAAGGAAGAGGGCAACTCCGGTAGGATCACTACCTTGCTCGCTACATCTAGCAAGGAGGAGAGAGAAATTGAGCCTCGCCAAACAGGAAGTTGAGAGAGAGAGAGAGAGACCTTCGTGAGGTCGATGAGGTTGGTTTTCACTTTTCCTTTTAATATATTTGAATTGCAAGAGAGAGAGAGAGAGAGAAAAATAATAAAATGTTGGAGGAAACACCTTTTAAATAGTTTGTTATAATGACTTTCTAGATATTTTTTTTTTAGAATTGGATTGAAAAAGTTATTGTCCAAATTATTTTGTTCCTTTTTAAAGCCATTGAATTGACCTAAGTCAATTTTGGTCCAAACAAATTTGTTTAGTTTGGATTCTAGGAAAAGCACGGATCCAGAGCCATGGGTAGGAGGAGGACATAAATGGAGGTATAGCAAAAGAAGCTCTTGTTGAACCATCCCGATAAAAATGGTTTTTTATTTTATTTTATGGAGGCCAAATGGTCTTCCCATTGCATATATTGGAGCAAGGATATTGAGGTTGCTTGTTAGCGGTCTTGTAAAAATGTTTGGTGAAGGAATGCATGCGCCTCCATCATAGATTTTACTCTTTGCTTTAAAACTACACATGTTGCTTGCTTATTTAAAACTACACATGTGGTATTTAGTTTCTTTATTTTATTTTAGAGTTATTTACACTAACATCCTCTTGAGGTTTTTAATGATTTCACAAAACTCTTTTAACACGAACACCTCTTGAGATTTCAAATTTTTTTTTTTCACAAAACCACTTTTCATTGATTGTTCATCCAAAACTTGATGATTTTACAAATAAAAAACTTATGCAAATGACAAAATTAACCTCAATGAATGTGTTCGCAAGCTAATCTTAAAGGCTAACTTTGTCATTTGGAGAAATGTCATCAATCATTGGACATATAACCAATGAAATGGGTTTTGTGAAAACAATTTGAAACCTTAGGGGGGTGTTCGTGTAATTTCTGTAACCTTGGGGGATTTGTGAAAGTACAGAAAACCTCAAAGAATGTTAGTGTAAATAACTCTTTATTTTAAGGCTTTCCACAAATAAGCTCATTCTAACATGACATATTATACAAAAACTATAGAACCTATTTAGAAAGAAAAACTTAAAACTAACCACTTGTCATTTTCTAATTGGTTATTATACTATGGACAATTCCGATAAGTTATTGAGATAACAGGATTAGATAAATATATAATTTAGTAATGAGAAAAGAAGGGTAATATTGACTTATCTGAATTCCTATCCCAGGAACACTACAATGGCAGCATGTGAAAAAAGGCGGGTTCTAGAAATTAATTTATTTCCTTCCATATTAAAAGTAAGATATATTATTTCATACTTTATTGTTAATTTTTTATATCTAGACATAATATCAAGATAAGTAACCTTGGTAAATAGTTCTATTATAGGAACGTATCGAGGTAATTATATTATATAAAATACGGAGGGAGAAAATACTCACACATCAATACAAGGTCATCATGTGAACGTGAAGACTTCTATATGGACACAATTGCCCCTAATCAAATATTTCATCAATGATAGTGATGTACAAAAGATCTTGCACAATCAAATCGAGTTATTCCACACTCTTAAGTTAAACGGCTATCTTGCACAATCAAATCGAGTTATTATCCCCGTTCTTAAGTCAAACACTAATTTTACACCAACTACATACCAAAATTATAGTGGTCCAAGATAAAAAGAGAAAACAGAAACTATTATTCACACTCCGAAAAAATCTCATATGTTTATTGATGGGATAATGTATGATGATTTTTCTGAATTGCTAAGTTTTAAAGAAAGATATTATCTACTCGGAATAACCAATATCATGGAGGAATCAACGAATGCATTGTGATTGGCTGGTAATATTCAAACAGCTGTCTGCTCCGACGCACGTGTTCTCCCACGCAGTAACTGTTGTTGACTGCGAAGCGTCTAAGATTTACCGCCAACAAACAGCGTCTTTACTTCTCCTTTCCCTTTTTTTTCTTTTTTACAAAAAAGAGAAAGTAAAACAGCGGTCAGAGCCGAGTCACCCGCGACCAGAAAATCACACAACACCGTCCATAACACCGACACTCCAGAACACAAGGAATCTTCCTATAAATCTAATACCCCACGAACCCCTCATCCTAATCCGACGGCCCCAACCCAACCCTCTGCCCCCCAAATCTAAATCCCCACCGTCCGATCCCATCCCCACACACACACAAAAAATCAGAAGTACCCAAAACCCCACCCTCTCAGATCTTAAGCCTGAGAGAAAGAGAGAAAGAGAGAGAGAGAGAGAGAGAGAGAGAGTGAGAGTGTCTCCGACTGTTGGGCTCTTCAAAGTTTTTAATTCCCATTTTGCCCTCTATGGTGGAGGCACAGACATGGACGACGCGTCGTATGAGCAATCCCCGGCTGCAGGACACGACGTCGTCGCCGGACCAGGTCGTGGACATCCCAGCCACGCCCACTGGCGACGTCCGCAACGGCACAAGCTACGGGTTCTCCTCCGCCGTTGGATCGCTGCTCTCCCCGACGCTGTCGACGGCGGCGATCATCGCCTCCTGGTACCTCTCCAACATCGGCGTCCTCCTCCTGAACAAGTACCTCCTCAGCTTCTACGGCTTCCGCTACCCCATCTTCCTCACCATGCTCCACATGATCTCCTGCGCCGCCTACAGCTACATCGCCATCCACCTCCTCGAGCTCGTGCCACGTCAGCACATCCTCTCCCGCCGCCAGTTCTTCAAGATCCTCGCCCTCAGCACCATCTTCTGCTTCTCCGTCGTCTGCGGCAACACCTCCCTCCGCTACCTCCCCGTCTCCTTCAACCAAGCCATCGGCGCAACGACGCCGTTCTTCACCGCCATCTTCGCCTTCATCATCACCTGTAAGAAAGAGTCCGCTGAGGTCTACGGCGCCCTCCTCCCCGTCGTCTTCGGGATCGTGGTCGCCAGCAACAGCGAGCCGCTCTTCCACCTCTTCGGCTTTTTAGTTTGTGTGGGGTCCACCGCCGGACGAGCTTTGAAATCCGTCGTTCAAGGGATCCTGCTCACCTCCGAAGCTGAGAAGCTCCACTCGATGAACTTGCTTCTGTACATGGCTCCAATGGCTGCCTGCATTCTGCTGCCCTTCACTCTGTACATCGAGGGCAACGTGGCGGCGGCGACGGTGGAGAAGGCCCGGAGCGACCCGTTCATTGTTTTCTTGCTGGTCGGGAATGCCACGGTGGCTTACTTGGTCAACTTGACCAACTTCTTGGTGACCAAGCACACCAGCGCATTGACTCTGCAGGTGCTTGGCAACGCCAAAGCGGCGGTGGCGGCCGTCGTTTCGGTGTTGATATTCCGGAATCCAGTCACGGTCATGGGCATGACCGGGTTCGCGGTGACCATCATGGGGGTGGTGCTTTACAGCGAGGCCAAGAAAAGGTCCAAAGTTACAACTCATTGACAGAGACACAGAATAAAGATTGAAATTGAAACCACAAAAAAGAAAAAAAAACGATCATTCATTTTGACTGCCTCAAGATTCGGGTACGAATTTGTTTTTGTTTTTTTGTTACTTAATTGTTTTGATTTTTATGGCATGGAAAGGGAGAGGGTGAAGTGGAATTGGAACTGGAGTGTATAGGATGGTGGAGAAAGAGGGAAATTGGAAAGGATTGAGCTCTTTTTATCTGCTCTTTTGAGGTTTAATTGTTGTTGATAGAGGGGGGTGGGTGGTAGAAGAGAATATGTAAGTTTTTCTCCTTCATTTGACCCTGTGTGTAACTTTATATGATATGCTCTGCATTTTGAATTGAACACATACAAGTATTTTATGGGGAGGAAAAATTCCTCTTCCAGATTCAATTTGTTAAAAACATGTTCTCTGTTCCTTTGGCCCTCTTTCAATGTGCAAGTTTTGCTAATTTCTTTTGTACTTTGCAACTATGTTTTCGTGTTTCCGGCATTGTTTAGCTTGTTTGATTTGCATTCAGTGTTTCGTTATGGTTATGAAACTATTTGGACTCTAGGTTTAGAAGGAACAATTCTAGACAAAGAACAAGAATAGAGTTTATCTGGGTGTATGTAAGATGGTTAATTACGTATTAGGATCAGGATCGTAATTACGTGGAATCGAACTTCAAGAAATAGCTTTTTGACAATTTGATAACATAACATGTCATGTGTAGGCATGATATATTAGAATCTTGTAGCCGTTGCACGTTGTTCACCCAAATTTTCTTTTTCATCTGATGATAACAATTATTTAGAATCTAGGTTTAATTTTCTTTAAATCATTGCAACAATATTGCTTTGCTGATGATATCTAGCATCGACCTATCAGAATATATTTCTCTTTTGTTTCTTCTCATGTGTATTGGCTTATTAGGAAAACCAACGAGAACAGGAAGACGGTTAGTTAGATCACAAAAACACCCAATTGGTTTCGTGTCTAGATTTAGTTTCCTTGTTTGACTTATTGCTACTCAGGCGAAGGATTTTGAGTTTGACTTGGAGATCATATTTCTGTCACTTAAGAAGATGTGTCAGCAAGTGATTGAGTTTACATTAAACCTAGTCTAAAATCCTGACTTTCTGTCATGGAAAGTGAGGAAGATAGAGATTTCATGTAGTTTCCTACCAGTTTTCCTCTTTGAGATGTGGAAATTAGATACCCTGCTAGGCAGTTGTTGATGGATATATCTATCCTGTCTGTTCTATTAGCAGCCACACCTTAACCTGGCCCATCATTCAACTCGTAGAAACTCCATCTAGTTGGGAATATGCTTGCCTATTTGATTTGCCACGTGGCAACAATCCATATGCTCCGTATGGTCTAGTTGCTTGTTCTGGATGAGGATGGCAAAACTTTGGTTTGAAGTGTCATGTTGTCGGTGACAATGAGGATGTGGTTATGCTTTATCCCACGGTTTGACATTTACTGGGAAGCAGCCTATCAGCATCAAGGAGAGGTAAGACATGAAGACATGCAACCTAATTGCACTGCACTAATCTCTCTTGGTGCACCTGGTGGTTGAAACTTTCTTGTTTGGTGCAGCTATATTCAATTATTCTTCTTGTGAAAGATGATAAAGATGATGATGGGTTTTAATTCTTTTGACTGAAATGTGCTATATTATTGTTCATATAAAGAATTACATGTAAATAGATAGGACATTTTAATAGGAGTATTTTCAAAAGAAAGGTGCTTCGATTGCGATTAGATGCAGATATTACATGATGTGGAGAACAATTCATCCAACGTTTGTAGCGTCACAAACAGATTGCAAAACTCACACTTATTAATGACTGGAAAATGAATTACCCAAACACTGTTATTGAAAAACAGTTACGACACTAATCTGGCCCAAGCTCAACGCTGATCGCCCATGTCCTGCGCCAAGTTGACACTTCTAGTTGGTGTAGCCCCAGGTGGGGCTGGGGGCAGGAGGAAGCCAGGATGGCTTGCCTTTTGCCTCCTTTCCCCAGGTGGGGCTGGGGCTAGGAGCAGACCATGAAGGGTTGCTGTTTTCCCAGGTGGGGCTGGGGCTCGGAGCAAACGATGATGGGAACACGGTTATAAGAAGCTTCTGGCCACCCATTGCACAGTGCTGGGCAACACCACAAATGTACCATTTTCTTCCAGGGGTTGCAAGGCTGATCACATCATGTCCACTGGTTAATGGCACACTGTCTAATGGAGCTGAACATTGCTGGAATCCAGTCCCATTCACTTTGAACACATTGTGTACTCCTTTTGGATAGTTAAAAACTGCAAAAGAACAAAGACCACAGAATATTTGATGAGTTCCCAGAACATTATTTTAAAAAAGAAAAAGAAATCAAAAGAGCTTAATGTTTTTATTTATTTATAAAATTACCAAGGTTGTCGCCAACATAGAACATCTTTCCCCGAGCCCAAGCTTGGTAGTCGAAGTTAATGGTCCAACCTTTGCCGTCGCCGACAACATAATTTGTTGCCAAAATTGAAGGGGCAGAAATGGCTAGAATGGCAAAGATGATGAAGAGCTGGGAAGAGGCCATCACAGCTAGAACTAGTTATGTTTTTTTTTCCTTTCTATGAAGGTGGTTGTTTTGATTTGGTTGGTAAAATAAGTGGAAAAGGTGACAAATTTATAGGGTTTTGGTAGTCTTAATTCTAGCATTGGGTGCGCCACCGCCAACGGACGGCATTGCCTGCTGCCGAATGATACGAATGGATTTGAGAGTTAAGTTACAACATAATAAACAAACGATGCATACCCTTTTAGAATTAGAAGATCAACTTTGTTGGAGCTATTCAAAAAAATTGGATTCTTTGTGTGACCAGTAAACTTCCACTAATTTACACGTGGCGTGCCATATGAATTGGAATACCAAAATCAATACCAATCAATTTCTGAAACTGCCCGACAAAAAAAAATCATTTTTCTAATAGGGATAATACCTCAAAAACCATCCAAGAAATAAAAAATAAAAATAAAAATGAGTGAATCTGGGCTATGGTTCCATCATTGAGGCTGAGTTATGGGGGATTTTCTGGGGGCTTAATATGGCTTAGGATGTTGGGTTTCGCATGGTGGAGATTGAGTGTGATGCTACTTCTGCTGTGGCTTTGTTAAAAAGTCCTATTTTGTCAACACACCCTCTCTTTAGTATTATCAACTGCTGCAAAATGAAGATTCATGAGGATTGATGCTGCTCTGTGAAGCATATTTTCCATGAACAGAACTGTGCTGCAGATGCTTTGGCTGCCAAGAGTTATGATTTTGATCCTGGTCTCTATGTGTTTTTGGATGCTCCAGCTTTTCTTAGTGAGATTTTAGCTGCTAATGTTCGAGGTGTTGCTAGACCTCGTCTTGTCTATGATTAGTTTCTTTTTGGCTTGGGGTTTTTAGCCCTCCTCTGTACCAAAAAATAAAAAATAAAAAAAAATTAGTGTGGTGTCACTTAGGTTGTTAGAAGTTGAGGGTTTTGGGTTCAAAAAATTTTACTTTAAAATATCTATTTTCTTTTACTTTTTTAACAAAAAAAAAAACAAAAAAAAAAAAAAAAACAAGCTGCCTGTTCCCTCTTTTCGGCTTGGGCGACCGACGGAAGGAACTTTTGGTCCTTCTTCATTTGGATGTGGGACGTGCCACCACCAAGCCCTGAATTTGGGCTTGAATGGAATGTGAATAGATGGATGTGTTACGCTTCTAACTTCTGACCAAACAATTGATTGGCCAAGCAAGGAACCTCCTCTTGGCCTAGATTCTTTACTTCCTCGGGCTCAAGGATGGTTAGGTTTCGTACGTATGTTTTTGTGATTTTTATGGTTTAAGTATAAATAATGCAATTAAACTAAATATCTGTATAAACGTAAAGACAAGAATTGAAGTGCAATAAAATAAATCAAAGCGATAAATAAAGCAAGAACGAAATAAAAGCGATAAGAACGATAAAATAAACGAACTTGAAATTGAACTTAATTGAAGTGCGATAACAATGAAAATTAAAGTAATAGAAACAAACTTGAATTTAAATGACAAGAAATATAAACTTACACTAGAAATATGAAGAACTTACTACACTATGTGCTCGAAAAATAAAATCCTAAGTCTAGGAAAAGAAAAGTGCGAGACGAAAGATAAGTTTTTTTGTCTGATGTTGTGTGTCTGATGTCTTCGTCGAGCAAGATTTATATAGGGCACTCGTCAGCCCATAGGCTGGCCATTGAATGACCAAAGGTCAACTCTTTTAAAACTTCTTTCCTCCCAAGGCCCCCCTAAATCCGTAGGATTGCATTGATTGAAATATTCTGACACGCTTGATTCTTCCTTGCTTTGGACCACTCGAAGTTACTATCAAATCCCTTGATTTCTTTCCTTGTGAGACCTTTATCACATACACATAATCCTCCGAAAATTCTGGGCTCGAATCAGTATCTTGAACTTGGGCATCTGATTTCTCTGCATTGTTACCCATATAATATATATTAAATAAACATAAAATAATGTAAAGAGGGCACCCCATATTTGCAAGAACTCAGCCGCATGCATATAATATATTATATATATATATATATGACCATTAGCTTTTTGACCTGTGAACACTTTAGCCCATTTGTAGACCACCTAAAGGGCTCCAGCTGCATTCATCTACCTATTATATATATATATATATATATATATATATATATATATAAAATAAGACAAAAACTTTCAGCCCAGTTTGCAAAGGACTCGTTTCGGCCGCACACCTATATATATATATATCTCTCTCTCTCTATATATATATATTATTTTTTTGGTCTGAACCACGTGGTGGTCCTGGATGGGCTCCAACTATGGGTGGCACCTTTAAGCCTTAACCACAACCCAGACTAATCCCCGCTCACACCTATATATCTCTATATTTCAAATGTATATATATATATACACAAAATTGGATGATGGAAGTTCAAAAAAGCCCCGGCCGCATATCTTGAAGTTTCAGCCCCACTTATTTGAATATATGTATGTATATATAGAATAAGACAATTAAACCTCCAACATAAAAAACCCTTCAGCCGTTAACAAATCCAAAAAACTCCAGCCGCCATTCTCCAAAGCTCTGTCTACTTGAAACCAAAACCCTTTCAGCCCAATTTGCAAAGATACTAAATACCCCAGCCGCATATTAGGCTCGAGACACTGGCTGCTCCAAATCTTGGCCGCCACGAGACTCCTTCAAGACCCGGCAGAGCTCTCCCAAGCTCTCCAGCATTTCAGCCGCAAGAACCCCGACATTTCCGGTCGCTAACTCCTCCAATCCCGGCCTCCAAACCTCGGCCGAGATCTTGCGCTTCATTCAAACTGCCCGGCTACGTCTTGCAAGGCCCATATTTCTCCGGCCGTGCCAAGCCGTTTCGCAAGCCCGGCTCCCCCAACGAACCCCGGCCGCTATTCTTCTTGTGCCCGAGTCAGGTAGATTTCTACCATCCTCAAACATTGCCCCTCGATTTGTTTAGCTTGGAATTGGTGAGGTAAGCAAATCGAAACCCAAGACCCTTCAATTTCTGAAGTTTGAGATTTTTCTTTTTTGCTTGCCTTGCATGTTATTAAATTTTGAATCGGGTAGGAATTTAGGAAGACACCAATTAAATTGGAGGGACTTTTGAACTTCCTATCTGTTAAAAACCCTAGATATTACAAATATCCAAGTGTTCTCTTTCATTTTCACATAGACACTTCCACCATAGCTATAGGTCCTTAGAAGGTTCTCTCAAAACCCATATCCTCTTTATCTTCACATTCATCATTTCACACAGCAAATCCACCCGAATCAACGTCAAACTTGAAATTTGCAAGTTTCTAGGTATGTTGCACTACTTCTTGGTTAATTTTGGTATGATTTTGATGCATTTATAGCCTTCAAAAGTTTAGACTTGAAAGTTTGAATATATGAATAGTGCCAAGATGTTCTTCGCATTCTTGATTCAAATATCACTTTCTTCACTATATTTTCCTCTGATTCAAACTTCATGTTTGTAGGATGGAATCTATTCCAAATGATAGTGCCCAATTTTTTGAAGATATGAAAGTGGCCATGGACAAAGACTTGGGCAAACAAGTATTTGCCTACTTTCTCAATGCTTTTCCCAACTCCACCCAATATATTCTTGGCCTATTTTTCTCTGCCTATCTGGAAGAGGTGGCCAAGGTGTGGGTGACGCAGCCGAGAAATGACCCAACTTATTTTTCAGACTTCACATGGGCAACCGTTTGGGAGAGCTCCAAGCCATTCAAAGGTTGGCCGACGGGAACCCCCCTCAAAGCGGATCCCACCGCAACTAAAGAGGCCCCATCAAAGAAAGCATCATCCGCCGCCGGGAAGTTCGACCACTCAAGCTCGACAGATGGCAAGTTTGATTGGTATCATTGGTCCAAGGCATTGGAACCAAAATTGAAGGGTCATTGGAAGAAAATCGGAATTTATGACACATTGCTCCTATGTGTGAGAGGCCCATTTCCTTGTGACCGATCTCTCATCATTATGGCCCTATGCTTTTGGTCTTTCTCCACCAATCGCATGAGGCTCTGTTTTGGGATGATGACGCCCAACTTTCTAGACTTCGCCCTCATGGAGATGATTTCTCAGCCACCAACCTTCCGGAAGCCAAGGTGGGCTTAGATTTTCACAAGTCAAACAAGACCTCCGGGAGTTGGGTGAAGACGTATCTTGGCTATGGCGGAGATCCTACCGACCCTCCTTCCATCAATGAAGTATCCTATACTGAGCATGTGGCTTTTCTTGTGATGTGGTTGTGCAAGTTCTTGGCATGCCCAAAATCCGGGGGGATTACTAAGGAATTTCAAGCCTTGGCGGAGGTACTTGCGGATGGCCATCAAGTGGCCATGAGCCCAATCTTTCTTGCCTATCTTTATAGAGGGCTCCGCGAGGTAATCACTAAACCCATGGATTATCATGCTTCTGACTCTATATGGATTTTTCAATTGTGGCTCCAGTTATATTTTCTGGAATTAAGTCCAACCACTGTTTGCCCAAACAATAAAGCACTTCTAGGTCCGCCCTTGCTCAATGCCCCACGCCGGAAGCATTATGTTGAGAATTGCTTCCGATTTTTCTATGGGTGTCAGGAGAGGACTAGGGAGCATCTCTCCATTTGCCTAGATCACCTTTTCCAGGATTATCTAGCCCTGGATCTTTCCTCATATCCTATGGCGGAGACGAAAGAGGAGAGACATAATATGTGGGCAAATATCCTCATCAGCCGAGATCTTCCATATGGCCTGATGATGAACAAAGGTAGCAACTATCATTGTGGTGGTGAGCTTTATTATCCCGCCGCCGCCAACTACCAGCTTGGTTTTATACAGCGCATCCCGATACCACCCATGAATTTCGTCAACCTGCTTTCCTCTTGGTGGGTGGAATTTAAAGATGTAAACGAAGTCACCACCTTGACGAATTTCAACCAAGAGTTGGTGAAATCCTTCAGTATTCCGATTAGAGATCCTCAGTTTGGTGACTCTAACATTTTTATCCACTGGTGGAAAGAGATGTCGGCCAGTTGGTTTTCTCAACCATGTTCAGAGATTGAAGATAAGGTCTTCAGGCATTGCCCATGCTCATTGGCCTTTCAGCAAGAGAAAGAGAAGAAGAAAGCCCAAGCAAAAGGTAAAATACTTATATTTTTTTCTATTTTAATTTTGGCTATTTTTTTTTCTTCTAACCCTTCAAATCTCACAACTGACAATGCTGAGAAGGAAAATCCTCCCGTCGACATTATTGAGAGAGAGAGATCGGCTAAATCTGCCGATGCAAATTCTGGGCGGGGCGAGAAAAGGCACAACACCCCCATCCAAGGTAAGCTATCCTCCATGATTATTTTTGCCCTTTTAAATATTTACACTTCCCGCTTTCTGAATTCTTGATGGGCACATCTAGAAGCTTAAAACTCCAACTTTTTAGGAGATAGCCCCGCCGGAAATATTATGCCCTCACAAACATTCCTTCAGCCCAGAAAAGTTCTGTGGAACCTTTCACCTCAAGGTTTGGCCGTGCACCTTTTTATTTTTTTATTTTTTGAATGAAAATAAACTTATTGCAGGTTCCCCAAGGCCGATGGAGCATCCTTCTTCTTCTCCCTTGATTGGGGCCGTGCAATCGGCCACTACTTTGTCCGCCGCTCCGGTAAGCTTATATCTTTACATTCTTTCATTTATTAATTTTGAAGGGCCAAAACTCACCCTTATGCCCAAAAATGTAGGAAACTCAAACTTCCGCACTTGAGAAGGAAATTGGGGCCCAAATCATAACTCCGGTGGGCGAGGATGAGGTAAACTCATCCCCTTAGCTATTTGAATTTTCTTTTACTTCTTTTATGCTTACTAAATCTTCAAACTTAGTCGGCCGAGATTAATACCACGGAGCACCCGGAGGATGTTTCCACGAGGTCACACGAGATTATTCTCATGCCTGATGATCACGCCAGTGAGCATGTGGCCGAGCTGACCAAGGAAGACTTCCCACACGTCCCTGACTCTCAGGTTCATTGAAATTTCATACTTTTAAAATTTCTTTTACACTTTCCCCCAATTCCTTATTTTCAATGTTTGAACATGTTAGCGGGCCATTTTTGGCCCCGGACTTTCTTTGGCCGACACCACGGTCATTGAGGCCGAATTTCAGCCCCTTTTTGCTATAAGCTCGGACTCTCCATTGACTTGCCCTCTCGAGGCACCCCAAAGTGGCTCAACTTTTCAGGTGATCTTACTCTCCCTTAATGTTTTTTCAAAGCTTTATGTTTGTTAGAGAGCTCACATCCTTCTTTTTTAGGCGGATGCCAACATTACGGTCGACCATGCGATCGTCATCAGTGGTGCGCCTTCCACTATTCCCACCAACGGAAGTGCACCACCTGAGCCCGTCCTTATGTTGACCTTGGGAGCTCCTACCTTGGTGGACGACGTTATTCCATCTGAACTCCAACTTGAGGTACGCCCCGAACTTTCTTGTTTATTTCAAATGAATGAGCCATTATTATAATCCTTATGCCCTTTTGCTAGATTGGAGAGTCTTCATCCTTTGTGCCTGCCGAGAGTACCATGAATCCATCGGTGGAGGATGAAAGAAGCTTGGCAATGGTCCCTCATGAAGAGGCCCCTCTACCATCCCCTGATCAGGTATGAAACAAGAAAAATATACATATGCACATGTCATTTATTTTCTCTACTTGAAAGGAAAAATATAATGCCCATTTTTCTTGCATCCCTCTAGTGACATTTTTGACTTCCTAGATCAGTGGGATGCATCTATATCTTTGTTTAAGGCTTCCACTCGCCTTGCCACTTTTTCCACCATAACCGGGGCCTTACCAGATTCTGGGGCTGAAGCCCTACTTCGGTCATACAGAGATGGAGATCTCATGTCCATGGAGGACAAAGATGAGAGAAACAAGCTCAAGGCCACCATCGAGATTGTGGCGAGTTTTGGCTTTTTTTCCAATCCACGCTCGTCGGCTATGATCACTTATCTCTTTGGTCAAGTGGAGAAGTTTGCCCTCCACTGCCGTCCTTTTCTGGAGGAGCAAAGGATGGGCCAAGACTTGGAACAACAGATTACCTCATGTAGTGCCACCATGACGAAGGAGATTGAGATTGCCCACTAGATGCAACAGGAGGCTATAGATATCAATGAGTAGGTGAGGTAGCTTCAAGAAAGGAAGGCTGGCATTGTTGCCAAAGTCTCCGAGATTGTTTGGAGCAATAGGCCTCTCGAGGCTTAACTTCAACATGATGCAGCAGCGGTAGGAAAGTATCGAGAGAGGAAGTTGATGATTCAGTCTACCTTGTTTGCCAGAGATACCGCGATGGAGAGCTTCAGGACTACCCTCCGCACCCTTTTCCCTGATGCTTAGGTTCATACTTGGCCATTGGTTGGCCCATTTGTACTTAGCTAGTTTCCTTTTATTTGGCCACCATATGTTGGTAGAACTAGCTTAGTTCCTAAACCTTTGGTGGATGCTTAGGCCATTACTTGACCTCATTTTGTAGTAGACTTTTGCCCACCTATATATATATATATATATATATGATATCTTTTGGAAAAGATCATTTTATGATGCCCATTCTTCCAATAAAAATCATTACTTCATTACAAAATATTTCTTTGTGGCGGACTATCTCTCTGCCATTTCCCAAACCGTTGGGTAATATTTTTTCAAAAATCTACCATTGATCGGCGAATCATGGACCCGACCATTTTGGTCACTTAACCCCCTTCCCCAACACTTGGTGGACGAACAATGGGTCTTCCCAAGTTGGAGACCACTTGCCAAATTTTGTATCATTTGATCCCACCGGAAGAATGGCCTTCCATACTAAATCTCCGACTCCAAAACTCTTGGCCTTAGTTCTCTTGTCGTATGCTCAAGCCACGGCCTCTTTTTGGGCTCTCAATCTATCTAAAGTGCCCAATCTGACCTCGTCAAGGTCGTCTAACTCTTGTGCCATGGCTTGCTCATATTCGTCCTCACTCCATTCAGCATGGCGAACTACCCTTAGGGACTTAACCGAAATCTCGAGTGGCAAGACGGCATCATGGCCGTAGGTGAGGGCGAATGACGTTGTTCGTGTGGTAGACCTCTTCGAGGTTCTATACGCCCATAGAGAGTTGGAAAGAAGAGAGTGTCATTCATTGGGATTCTTATCAACCATTTTTTTCAAAATCCCTTTTATCACTTTATTACTAGCCTCCGCTTGGCCATTCGATTGGGGATTGTATGAGGTGGATTGAACCATCCTAATTGCCCAATTCCTCGCAGTGGCTTGAATAGCCTCGCCCATTAAAGCCGTTCCTCGGTCGGTCATGATGGACTCGGGCAAGCCAAATCGATGGATGATATTCTTCTCAATGAATTCTATCACTTCGACCTGGGTAACTTGCTTGAGTAGGATAGCCTCCACCCACTTTGTGAAAAAATCGGTGGCCACTAATATGTACTTATGGCCCTTAGATGACTTTGGGTGGATTTGGCCAATCACATCCATTGCCCAACCTTTGAAAGGCCAAGCCTTGATAATGGGATTCATTGGTCCACCCAGGACATGTTGGATCGGCCCAAGCTTTTGAAAATCTTTGCAACCTTTAGCATAGTCAATGCAATCTTTGAGGATAGTCGGCCAATAATAACTGTGCCTCCTTAAAAGCCACCCCATCTTGATGCCAACTTGATGGGCACTACATATTCCTTCGTGGACCTCGGTCATTGCTACGAGTTGTTCCTTTTGCCCAAACATTTCATGAGCAAATCATCGGAACCTATGCAGAATAATATCTCATCCCTCAACACATAATATTGGGTCATCCGCTAAACTTGTTGGCTATGTGACCTATTTGGATTTTTCAAATATTGCACGATGTCGTGCCTCCAATCCTCCGGTGCTATGGTTAACACCATAACTTCCGCTGGAGTCCCTCTTTCAAAGACAGAGGGGAGAGATCGCTTCTCAAATTTAAAAAGCTCCTCAGAGAGCCCCTCGAAGATTTCCACTCCGGATGCTAATTGGGCCATGGCGTTGGCCTGAGTGTTATGTTCTCTTAGTAGGTGGGCGAGTCTCACATCATCAAAATCTTCCATCAATTGGCTGGCCAAGGCATGATATCCGAGCAAAGCTTGGCTAGTCACCTTGTAGTCGCCAGACAATTGTTTTAAGACCCACATTGAATCTCCCATAACCGCCACACTCTTTACCCCAAGCTCTTTCAAAATTTCCAACCATATGATCGGGGCCTCGTATTCGCCCTGATTGTTGGTACAATCAAAGTCTAATTGAAATGAATAACGAGTTCAGAATCCTTTGGGCGATTCAATAATGACACCTGCCCCACCCATGTTACATGTTCGAGACCCGTCAAAATAAAGACGCCATGGAAATAAACTTAATGTGCCCACCTCGAGGAAATCCATCTCCTCTATTTCAACACAAGGGTGGGCTGCCAAGAAATCGGCTAAAGCTTGCCCTTTAACGGTCTACTGGGGCACATATCGGAAAGTGAATAACGCCAATGCCATTGTCCATTTTCTTATCCGCCCTCTAATGATTGGGCGAGTGAGCATATATTTTATCAAATCAGTCTTGGCGATTATATGCACCACGAAGGGCAACATGTAATGCCTTAACTTGGTCACGGTAAAGTATAGGGCTAAGAAAAGTTTCTCCATCGGAGAATATTTCCTCTCGGTGGCCGTTAGAATTCGGCTGAGGTAGTATACCGCTTGCTCTTTCTTCTCATCATTGTCTTGGGCTAGTAGACTTCCGCTTTGGTGGAATAAGCACCGGAGGCTTGGCCAAATATTCTTTAATGGCATCAAATGCTCGCTGGTGAGTCTCTTCCCACCAAAATTTCTCTTCATCTTTGAGTTTTAGCAAAGATGAAAAATGACTCAACTTTTCCTGCGGAGTTGGCTATAAACCTTCAAAGAAAGTTAATTTTGCCCAATAAACTTTGCACACCTTTTTTTGTTTTTTGGAAGGGGCACGTCAATGATAGCCTTAGCCTTATTTTTATCAATCTCAATCCCCCTTTGGTGCCCAAGAATCCTAAGAAATTTCGGGCGAACACCCTAAAAGCACATTTTTTTGGATTCATCTTCAATTGATGCCACTGCATTCTGTCAAAGGTTGACCGAAGGTCATCCAAGTGACCTGATCTAGACTCCGACTTTATAACCACATCGTCAATGTAAACTTCTAAATTTCGACCGATCATGTCATGGAAAATGGCATTCATCGCCCGTTAATATGTGGCCCTAGCATTTTTCAGGCCGAAGGACATCACCACATACTCAAAAGTTCCAATGGATCCGGGTCACCGGAAGGCTGTCTTGTGGACATCCTCCTCGGCTATAAAAATTTGGTTATAACCCGAGTGCCCATCCATGAAGGACAAAATTTCATGCTTGGCTGCCCCATCGGCTAAGAGGTCGGCCATGGGCATGGGGTATTCATATTTGGGAGTTGCAAGATTAAGATTGCGAAAATCAACACATATTCTTATTGCTCCCTTTTTTCTTTTCAAGTACAATATTTGAAAGTCATTCTACATATCTAGCTGGTCTAATAAATTTGGCTTTCACAAGCCTTACAATTTCCTTCTTAACCTGTAACTCTACTTCCGCCAACATCCGGCGAGGCGACTGCTTAAAGGGCTTGAAATCTTCCACTGTTCGTAGGCGATGCTCGACCAAGTCACGACTCAATCTAGGCATCTCGGTGTAATCCCAAGCAAAGCAATCCTTGAACTCTCTCAAAAGCTCTTCCATCTTGACCCGAAGTTCTGGCTCCATTAGACCACTGATGTAGATCGGTCGATGGTTGTCTTCCATCCCCAAGTTGATTTCTAACAAAGGGTCTTGGACTTCCGCCTTTGAATCATCTATCTCACTTGGCGCCAACTCTACTTCTTCGAGCTCAAGTGCATCATCCTCCAGACTTTCATGAAGAAATTCTACCAAGTTGGCGGTGGACCCATGCTCGACCGCTCTTTCGGCCCAAAAACCATATAGCCGTCTCAAAGTGTCTTCCACCGCGGCCTTCTTCTCTTCCTCTATGTTTGTATCATTCATTGAGGAAGAAAAAATAAGCTATAGTGAGGCGCTCCCCATCTGCTTGGGCATCATGTGCCCCCAAGTCTATCAACTTTTGGGCTGAGACTTCCATAGGTCGACCGTTCCTATCTGACCTAGTAAAATAAAAAGGCCCAATGTCATCCTCATAACACTTTGCCTCTACCGCATTGGCTGAGGCCTTGAAGGCCAGTGCATCGCCCTGAATAGTCTCTACACTTCCATCCTTATGCCAAAATTATAAAAATTGATGAAGTGAAGAGGGCACACACATGATTCCATGGATCCAATCTCGGCCCAACAAAGCATTGAAATAGGTCGTTGTCTCCACCACAAAGAAGGCAGTCATTCTAACTTTTTGCCCCACTCTAACTTGGAGTGGATAATCCCCTTTGAAGTCGTAGTGTCTCCCACGAACCCACTGATCGTTGTCTCGGTCGGAATTAACTCATTTGAGCCTTTCTGTAATTTCCTCATGATTGAGGCTGATAGGATATTGACTGTGGCCCCTGTATCCACATGGACTTTGCTCACCGGAACTCTATCAAAATGAGCTCCCACATACAAGGGCTTAAGATAGGAGGACATTTTCTTGGTGGGCATCTCATAGCACACATTCTCGGGCAAATTTTCCTCCTTTTTGGGCACCATGATGCAATGTTGGGCATTCCCTTCCTTTGGAATTTCTTGGGCCACCTCAATTTCTTTGGCCCCTTCTATTTGGACCATGGACTCAACCTCATCGAACACATCTCCGTCTATATAATTAGGTTGATCTGGCCGAGCTTTAAAAAATAGTGGGAGCGTAACCACCATGGCATTGCCCAAACTTCACTTTGACCTTGCCCACTTTTAGTTCATTCTCAAACCTGGCCATTTCTTCATTGCGCTCTTTTGCTAAGTGTTCCATAGCTTCCTCTGACAAATCCTCTAAGTACTCGTCATCAGCATACTCCTCATCATCCCCATAGAGCTCTTCGTCTTCGGCCATCGAACCTTCGAGATTTTCCAGTGGCTCTTTAGCTTCTTCTTTGACCGTGTGCTCGGCCTCTTTTTCTACCATATTAGCTTCGGCGTCAACCATGACTTGGTCTTCTTCTGCCCTAGGCTCGCTTAATATCTTATGGGGCTCATCCCCGGCTTCTTGGACCATGTTTTGGTCATTTTCCTCTTTCTTCTCAACCTTGGTGGGCTGAGCCACTTTGGTCACGGCCGGGGCCTTGGAGACCGGAAGCTTGACTTTTGGTGGAGCCGCCCTTGCCTTTTCAACCTTCAAAGGTTTACCTCTCCCCTTCTTGGTCGACTCACTAACTTCAACTTTCGAGTTATTTGCCTTAAAAGCCCCAGTCAAATGGGCCTCTAATTCCGAGATTGGCTCTTCTGGGGCCGTTACCAAGACTTGGCCATTCACCCGTTCTCAACGTATTTTCATCTCTTCGGCCGCGGCTGCCTCCAAGGAAGCAACGGCATCGGCCTTGGCCAGCTTCAACTCCTCCAATCGAAGCTTCACTCAAAGCTCGACCAATCGGTCAAGTTGAGCTTGCCCTTTGTCCGCCCATTCTAACTCCGCCTTGCAAGTGGTGGCATATTGCCTAAGAGCCCTTCTTGTTTGAGTCTTGCTCAGGGGTACCAGTAGGAGTTTTGGGCACTGCTTCTATACCATTGGCCCGCCTTTGTGTTCGGCACCTTGAAAGTTGGGACACCATTACCGTCCGCGGGGCGGGGTCTTGACACATAGGCCACATCTCGGCTTCTACCTTCTCCCACCGAAATCCACATGTTTCGGTTTTGGCTTAAGTCTGGGAAATCAATGTCTTCATACAATGACCTCTCGTACCTATCTTGGTACTCATACAATGACCATTTGTTCGGCCTTGTTTCCATCCTGCCCTTTGGGTTATGTGGGCCGTAATTCTCGGCCGGACTTGTTATCATATTCCTCTCAAAGCTTCTAGATCTGCCCACTTGGACTTGATCCTTGGTTTGCTCCTTAGGCAGCCCCTTGGTAGGTTCCTTGGTTGGTTCCCTGGGCTTTGGCGGAACCACTTCAAGAGTCACCTCACATTGGCATCGATTGCATAGCACAATGGCCTTTGGAGGTTCTTTCCTGGTCAAAACTTTCATCTCAAGAACCTTGGCCACCTCCAGACACATTTCGTCCTTGCCCTTTGCCTTAGGGTCTGTCGGAATCTCCCTTGCCCTTCTTTCTACCATAGCCGAGCCACCCGAGTCCAACCTTGGCCTAGGTTGGTCTGACATTGGGAAGTTAGCGTTCACCAGACTTGAGAATTTGGGAAGGATTCTGGTCAACGCCCATTGTAGCTTTCTCCGGAAATTTCAAGATCTTCCGATCGATGAGATCCTGCACAGCATTCCGAAAAACCAAACAATTGTTAGTCGTATGAGACCACACATTGTGAAACTTGCAATAAGTTTTATTTCTAAGTTCATTAGTCGACGGAATATCATGATCATTGGACAATTTTATGATCTTTTCTTTCAAAAGTTGGTCAAACATTTGTTCGGCTGTAGAAATATCAAACGTGTATGACTTTGTCACAACCACCTTTTAGGAGGTTCCACTAAACTTGGACGTTTGGGCCGTGATTGGCCTTTGATCTTTAGAGGTTTTAGACAAAGACTTGCACACATAAGGCCATTTGGCCATAATCTCGGCCAAGTTTACCCCGGCTAACTCTTCTTCCTCCTCTAAGTAAACTTCATCACCTCTTTTTTATGAGTCTATATCTTTAACGTCCACCGCATGGACCGCCGTAGTCCTAGACCCGGAAGGTTTGGTTGAATCCCAATAAATTGTCGGCCAAGGTGCCGGCCGCCCTTTTTGTTTCTCCTCCTTTAGAAGGGCTTCATATCGGTCCACTCGAAGTAAGAGATCATAAATGTTGCGGAACTCAATTCCTTTGAATTTCTTTTGGAGGTCAAGCAACAAAACTCCTTGGGCCAATTTTGCAAACTCGTGCTCTGGCATAGTGCAAAATCCAGTACCTTGAAACCCCTTGAAAATTCCTCTTGATCAAAGTGTTCCGTATATGGCCTCCGGTAGACCGGCCTACCAATCCTCCTAGCATGGGGCACCATATATTGAATCATTTGTTCGACCGCACCTTGGTCGATTGCTTGATTCCTTATCAACGGGTTATTAGCATTCCCGCTGGGATTATTCCAACCACCGACTTAGGTGAATTGGTTGATATGAGGCCTAGCAAAATTGGCTCCAGCTCCTTGGTGAGCTTGTGGGTGGAATTGATTATATGGCGGGAGCACTTGGAATTGGTTGACCGCCACATACAAGTTGTTGCCCATCGGCGGAACATTAACTACTAGGGCTGGGTTGCCCTCAGCTGGTGGATTAGGTTGGGGCGGATTTACTCCAAAGACATTTGGTTGGGCCTCCACTTGAGGCCCAGCCGCTAGTACTCCATTAGGCGCCCCTTGGTTCCCATTTTGGCCATTTTGTTGGCCCAACCATCGATCAAACCTCTCATTGATTTGAGCATTTTGAGTGGCCATCGTTTGTGCCATTGTCTCCATGACACGCATGAGTTGTTGGAGTTCTAATGAAGTGGCCGGATTCGGCCACAAGACTGGTCCCCCGACAGCTTCCGTAATAACTTCAACTAACACCTGGTCATGGCCGACGACCGTTTCTTGGCCAAGGCCATTTTGCTCTTGTTGAGCGATCGAAACATTTTGTGGCTGAGTATTCATAGGGAGTGAACCAGCCATGCCTGTCTCTAATTCCGACCGATGTCTAGATTCTTCAAATTCTTGATCTCTTCTAGGATTCCTCCTAGTGTTTACGACCATACAAAACCTAGTGGTCCCACTGGGCGTGCCAAATTATGTTTCACTCTTTTCAGCTGGGGCATCCGACGGAAGGAACTTTTGGTCCTTCTTCTTTTGGATGCGGGGCGTGCCATCACCAAGCCCCGAATGTGGGCTTGAATGGAATGTGAATAGATGGATGTGTTGCACTTCTAACTTCTGACCAAACAATTGATCGGCCAAGCAAGGAACCTCCTCTTGGCCTAGATTCTTTCACTTCCTCAGGCTCGAGGATGGTTAGGATTTTTACGGATGTTTTTGTGATTTTTATGGTTTAAGTAAAAATAATGCAATTAAACTAAATATGCGTATAAACGTAAAGACAAGAATTGAAGTGCAATAAAATAAATCAAAGTGATAAATAAAACAAGAACGAAATAAAGCGATAAGAACGATAAAATAAACAAACTTGAAATTGAACTTAATTGAAGTGCAATAACAATGAAAATTAAAGTAATAGAAATTAAATTGAATTTAAATGACAAGAAATATAAACTTACACTAGAAATATAAAGAACTCACTACATTAGGTGCTTGAAAAATAAAATCCTAAGTCTAGGAAAAGAAAAGTGCAAGACGAAAGATAAGTTTGTTTGTCTGATGTCTTCGTCGAGCAAGGTTTATATAGGGCACTCGTCAGCCCAAGGGCTGGCCATTGAATGGCCAAAGGTCAACTCTTTTAAAACTTCTTTCCTTCCAAGGCCCCCCTAAATCTGTAGAATTGCATTGATTGAAATATTCTGACATGATTGATTCTTCCTTGCTTTGGACCACTCGAAGTTACTATCAAATCCCTTGATTTCTTTCCTTGTGAGGCTTTTGTCAGGTACACATAATTTTTCGAAAATTCTGGGCTCGAATCAGTGTCTTGAACTTGGGCATCCGATTTCTCTTGCATTGTTACCCATATAATATATATATATATTAAATAAACATAAAATAATGTAAAGAGGGCACCACATATTTGCAAGAACTCAGCCGCATGCATATAATATATATATATATATATATAAAATAGGTAGATGAATGCGGCTGAAGCCCTTTGGGTGGTCTGCAAATGGGCTAAAGTGTTCACAGGTCAAAAAGCTAATGGTCACATATATATATATATATATATATATATATATATATACAGAGAGCTTCCATTGAGGGATCCCTCAAATAAGCTTATTTGAGGGATACCCCTTGTAGGGTCCATTCCGGATTGTATTTCATTAATCCAAACCGTCTATTTTGTAGATACACATTCAAAGATCATCTCTACAAAAAATAACTTGAATCCGATATCATTTGACCATTCAATTGAGTTATTGAAATTTTAGTACTTTCTTGAAGCACCGTGTTCATTGATTTTGTATGACACAATTGGATGTCGAAACGGTTTCCGATTTGTCTAATTTTTTGTAAGGATGATCTATGAATGAAGACATAAAAAATAGATGGTTTGGATCATTGGAAAAAAAATTATAGGGTACCCTAAAGGGCGTCCCTCAAATAAAATTATTTGAGGGATCCCTCAATAGAAGGGGACTGTATATATATATATATATATATATATATATATAATAAGACAAAAACTTTCAGCCCAAGTCGCAAAGGACCCGTTTCGGCCGCACACCTATATATCTCTGTATTTGAAATATATATATATATATATATATATCAACACAAAATAGGTTGAGGAAGGCTTCAATTTGAAAGCCTGGCCTCACATGCAACAATCTAAGGCAATTGCATTATATATATATATATATATATAAAGCAAAAGACAGAGAATTGTGAAACATTCAAAATACTAGAAAATACCCTTGATTAATTCAAACATTAAGAATTGAAATTATTAATTAAATGGGGATAATATGGTAAATTCACATTTTTTTTCATATTAAAAAAATTAAAATTAAAAACAAAATCAAATAATAGTTCCTACTTTTATGGAACATAACTACCCATGTTATCTTCTCTTAATTTTAAAAATAAAATATAAAAGAAAAAAGAAAACCAATTGGCACATGTGTGAGCATGTGCCAAGGGGGTAGTGTGTGTATATATACAGTCCCCTTCTATTAAGGGATCCCTCAAATAATTTTTTTTGAGGGACGCCCTTTAGGGTACCCTACAATTTTTTTTCCAATGATCCAAACCATATAGTTTTTAGGTCTTCATTCATAGATCATCCTTACAAAAAATTAGACAACTCGGAAATCGTTTCAACATCCAATTGTGTCTTACAAAATCAATGAACACGGTGCTTCAAGAAAGTACTAAAATTTCAATAACTCAATTGAGTGGTCAAATGATATCGGATTCAAGTGATTTTTTGTGTAGATGATCTTTGAATGAGTATCTACAAAATAGACGTTTGAATTAGTAAAATACAATCCATAGTGGGGCCTACAAGGGGTGTCCCTCAAAGAAGCTTATTTAAGGGATCCCTCAATGGAAGCTCTCTGTGTATATACAAAATTGGATGATGGAAATTCAATAAAGCCCCGGCCGGATATCTTGAAGTTTTAGCCCCACTTATTTGAATATATGTATGTATATATAGAATAAGACAATTAAACCTCCAACCTAAAAAACCCTTCAGCCGTTAACAAATCCAAAAAACTCTAGCCACCATTCTCCAAAGCTCTGTCTACTCCCAAGCTCTCCAGCATTACGGCCGCAAGAACCCCGACATTTCCAGTCGCTAACTCCTCCAATCCTGGCCTCCAAACCTCGGCCGAGATCTTCCGCTTCATTCAGACTGCCTGGCTACGTCTCGGAAGGCCCATATTTCTCCGGCCGTGCCCAGCCGTTTCACAAGCCCGGCTCCCCCAACGAACCCCAACTGCTATTCTTCTCATGCTCGGCCAATTCTCGTGCCCGGGTCAGGTGGATTTCTACCACCCTTAATCACAGCCACAGTAAAATACATTCGAAGCCCCAAAATCTCTCAACGTGTTCTGCTTCCTCTTCCTCCCATCACTGCAGTCACAGCACCTCTGAATCCGACGTTGCGAGCGAAAATTCTGGGCCACCCATCCCCTTGCACTTCAACAAGGTCAGTTTCTTTGCACTTGATTTTCTGATTTGAAATCCTTGGATTTCATGGTGAGGCTCATTAAAAAACAGGCCCAACCCACACGCCTATCAGCCCGTTTACCACCACCCAGGTCTATACGTATCCAATACGGTATTAATACATAAGACCATCTCCAACCTTTGGGGTGGAAACTCAAATTTTGAGTTTAGCCTCCCAAAACCATCTCCAACCCATGTATTTTGGGAGGTGAAAATTTGAGATGCCTCAAATTTGGACTGGAATTCCACCCAAAATTCTGCCTGGATTGGTAATTATGTGGGGCCCAATCTGCTTTAACATATAATTTTTTATTGTAGGAAAGCAGCAGCCCATGTGCCCAACTTTGTTCGCTGGCCCACTTTGACAAGTGGGAATCTTCATTCCTTTTCCGTTTTTGACAAGCAACGGCTAGTTTTTCAAATTTTTGTTATGCTGTTTTTATTTTTTATTTTTTTATTTTTTATTTTATAATAAATATTTCAACAGCTATAAAATCAACGATTCTGATTCATTTTAGGCAATCTCAACAGTAAAATTTCACATCTAACGGCTCAAATTTAAATCCAACGGTCAAATTAATATTTATAATTAATCTAAGTCAGATCCAACCCCAAAACTTATTCCAAACTCTAGAAATAGTCATTCATTTGGTAAATAATCCACCAAAAATCATTTTTTTCCTTTCTCCCTTTGTTATAATTTTTCATTCTACATTCATTCTTGTTGAGAATGGCCCCAAAACACCAAAGAGGTGTGAATTGGAAACCACAAGAAGATGAGGCATTATGTAGAGGGTGGGTTTCTGTCTCTGAAGATGGGACTATTGGCACGAATCAATCAAATGATTCATTTTGGTTGCGTGTGTACCAAAATTTTTTGGAAAATGATCCGGGCATGAGCGGAGCCGAGGTACGATCACCGCAAGCTGTTGCTTCTCGGTTCAACATCATCAACCAACAATGTTCTCTTTGGAAGGCATGTCTAACAAAGGCCAATGCAAGGCATGTGAGTGGCTCAAATCTTGAAGATGTGGTGAGTACCCATTTTTTTCAATGCTTAAATTTATAATTTTAATTGTTTTCAATTATTAACTTGATTTTTATTTTATTTCATGGGTAGGATATTAATGCAAAAACAATTTTCATGAATGATAATAAACCTCCAAATAGGCCTTTCAAGTTGTATCATGCTTGGCAAATCTTAAAAGATTGCCCAAAATGGAACGACCTATGTGTATCTCCCACACAATCATTCAAAGATTCTTCTCATAGTGGCAATACAATCAATTTGGAGGAAGATGAAGATGATGCGGTCATGCCCACTCCAAGGCCATTGGGAAGAGATAAACAGAAGGATGAAAAAAAGAAAGGGAAAGGTATTGAAAGTTATCTCAACCAAAGTGGTAAGTTCTTGTCTGAATTGGTTCAACAAGAAAATGAGGCAAAAGAGGATAGGCGGCGAAAGTTAGAGCTCCTACAAGAGCAACATGCATATCAAATCCAACAAGATAAGGAGGCCAATGAACAGAGGATAATGTCCATGGACCTATCCAAATTTACTCCAAGAAAGAAGAAATATTGGGGGAATAAGCAAGACGAAATTATTGAGGCCCAGATGAATACAAGTTCCCCCTACAATCCGGAAGACAACTCTGGAGACTATTATCCAAGCCCTCCACATAGTGGTTATTAATTTACGTTTATTTGTAATTGTTGTTTATCTTTATTTATAATTGTCGTTTATCTTTATTTTTAATTGTTGTTTAGCTTTATTTTTAATTATCGTTTATCTTTATTTGTAATTGTTGTTTATCTTTATTTATAATTATCGTTTATCTTTTTTTTATGATTGTCGTTTTTTTTTCTATGATTAGTTTATTTTTTAAATTCAATGATAAACCATATAATTCATTAAAATCACACAACCACTTTTATAATTTAACACACTTTCATAATTTAAACACACAACATAATTTAAACACGCTTAGATAATTTAAACACACGTACATAATTTAAACACACAACATAATTTGAACACACAACAGAATTTAAACACACTTACATAATTTAAACACACAACATAGCTCATTGCCCCTCTCCTTCGAATCTCCAAATGTGGTTGATCAAATCATTTCTTAGATTGTGATGCACTTGTGAAGCACGAACTCTATTATGACGGACCATGTAGTCTGAGATAGTTTGTCTGTCTCGGTTTATATCGTAGGTGATAGTTGGCTCAAGCTCATAAGCAAGTCTTGCTCTTGCTCTTCTAGATGTTCGTGGACAATTGTCTTCATCATCAGATTCTGCATCTAGATCCTCATGCTCATCCTGAACAATCATGTTGTGCAATATTATGCACGTCATCATGATTGAATGAAGTTGTTCTTTGTGCCACATACGTGCAGGTCCCCTAACGATTGCCCATCAAGCCTGAAGTATTCCGAAGGCTCTTTCGACATCCTTCCTATAAGCCTCTTGTTTTTGGGCAAATAGTCTTTTTTTTGGAGTATCCGGTTGGGAAATCGTCTTCACCAATGTAGCCCAACGAGGGTAGATACCATCAGCCAAGTAATAACCCAGATTATATTCATTTCTATTGACAACATATTGGATATGGGGAGACACTCCATTCTCTACATCATTGAACAACGGGGAACGAGCTAGAACGTTGATATCATTGTTCGATCCAACAACGCCAAAAAAGGCATGCCATATCCAAGTGTCGTACGAGGCCACTGCTTCTAGAACGACAGTTGGCTTACGCTTGTAGCCGGTAAACTGGCCTGCCCAAGCAGTGGGGCAGTTCTTCCATTCCCAATGCATGCAGTCAAGATTGCCTAACATGCCTGGGAATCCTCTGCGACTAGCCTTGTGCAAGAGCCTGTAAAGATCAGCCAGATTGGGGGAACGGAGGTACCACTGACCATACATGGCTTCAATAACAGAACAAAACTTTCGCAAACATTCAAGGGCTGTAGATTCACCCAATCTACAGTACTCGTCGGTGGAGTCTGCCGAGTATCCATATGCGAGCATTCGAAAAACGGCTGTTAGCTTCTGCTCTGGGGATAGACTTTGTCGTCCGCAAACATCTATCTTCTGGGTAAAGTATGGCTCATGTGCAACAACATCATTCAAGATGCGATAGAAAAGCTCTCTTCTCATGCGGAACTGCCTGCGAAAGTCCACTGGGGGGTAAAGTGGTCTTTCACAAAAGTAGTCCTTCATGAGACTCTTATGATGTTTTTCTCTCTTCCGATTCTTGTATTCACGGCCTACAACAGAATCACCATGTTTGGATTGTTGAGCATATTGCTCCAGCAAAAACGTATGGTGTTGAACAGCCATTGCAACCCTCTGTTGATGAAGGTCATCATCATCAGAATCATCATTGAAGAAATTTTGTATAGCCTTCCCACGTGAATTCATTGTAAGAAGGAGAGTTGAAGGAGATTGTGTGGTCAATTCAGTATAATAACCCTTCTTAAATAGACAAGAGAATGAGATAAGGGAAAGTGAGATGAATAGAGATGAACAATGGCAAAGTCATATGAATAGAGATGAACAATGACACTGAACAATGTCAAAGTCAGATGAATAGAGATGAACAATGGCAATGAACAATGGCAAAGTCAGATGAATAGAGATGAACAATGGCAATGAACAATGGCAAAGTCAGATGAATAGAGATGAACAATGGCAAAGTCAGATTAATAGAGATGAACAATGGCAAAGTCAGATGAATAGAGATGAACAATGGCAAAGTCAGATGAATAGTCACAAAAAATGGTTCAGAACGTGATTGAAACAACACAAGATGTGAAATGGTTCAGAACATTATTCAATGAGGATAAAGGAATCCAATGAAGTAAAAGTAAAAGTAAAAATGGAAGAAAATTATGGCAATGGCTTCAATGAAGGGTTCGAATTATTCTGAGCATACGTATGGTGTTGTAATTGTTTTTATTTTTAAGTGAAATTCTATTATGTTTTGAAATTTTAATTTTTTTAGGTTAAAATGTTTAGAAAATTAAATCATGAGTATTGAAACAAAAATAATATCAAGAAAAATTAACAAGAAAAAAAAATTAGGGGTTAATTATTCTTAAACAATTTAATAAAGTTGCGGACTCAAATTATGAGTCTGCAAGGTTGGAGGAAAAAAAATTTTGAGTCCTGAAAATACATGAATAGTTGTATTTTGGAGGGTGAAAATTTGAGTTTAGCCCCAACATGGTTGGATTGGAGATGGTCTAATCGATACGCGAAGGATATGGTTCTGATACGGTCAAGATACAAATAGGGCCTATTTTGAAATTATTTGACAATATTTGTACTCCTTTTGAAAATTACAGAACATTTGGGGTCAAAGTATGGATTTCAAACTTGATTTAATCATACCCAGCCTCGTCTTCTCGACAGAGCCTAGGTTTTTCACTGTAAAAGAAACGGCGGCAAAAGCACCAGAAGGAAGAAGTAGAAAGCCACCATAACTCAAAATACTGCATCTGCTCCACTTTAACAAATACGGCGGTCTCTTCTTCTCGACTGCGTCTGCAGCTCCACGAGGTTTTCATAGTGAAAGGAGGCAAGAGACAATGAAGCTGGACGTGAACATGTTGAGATACCTCTCAAAAGAGGATTTTAGGGTTCTAACTGCTGTGGAAATGGGAATGAGAAATGTAAAAGCCTCTGCTGCTCTTTTGTTTTTGAAATGCAATAAATTTCTCAGCATAGCTCAGCTTAAGTATGCATCTATTTAATTTAAAGCTTTTCCCTTTTATTTTCTTGCAGCATGAAATTGTACCCTGTGAGCTGGTGGAGCGCATAGCTTCGCTCAAGTATGTATTTAGTTTTGAACTTTTTGGTTGCTGAATTTGAAATTGCCCATCTTTTTCTGTAACTCTGATATGATCTTCCAATTTACAGGCATGGAGGAACTTATAAAGTTCTGAAGAATCTGCTCAAGCATAAGCTCTTGCATCATGACTCGTCTAAATGTAATACAGCTGTTGTGATTCTAACAATCAATAATATTTGTTTTGAATTTTCTCTTATGTTCTTTGCTGTTATGTGAATATAGATGATGGGTTTCGGCTCACCTACCTTGGTTATGATTTTCTTGCAATCAAAACTTTGGTCAACCGTGGAGTCTTTGCGTCCGTTGGTCGACAAATTGGTGTAGGGAAAGAGTCTGGTATGTTCTTTTCCTTTTTGTTGTATATAACACATGCTTGTGCCTATGCCTACCAATCCTATTATTATCCATTGTCATTATTCTTCATAGAAGTTCATTTTTGTTTTTAAAAAGATATCTTTGAGGTGGCCACGGAAGATGGTACCGTGATGGCAATGAAGTTACACAGACTTGGTAGAGTTTCTTTCAGAGCTGTTAAATCGAAGCGTGATTACTTAAAACATCGTAGCAGTTTTAGTTGGCTCTACTTGTCCCGCCTTGCTGCACTCAAAGAATTTGCTTTTATGAAGGTTTGCCTCTAGCTTTTGGCATTTTTATCTTTGTGTGTTGCCGTATTGTGTCTATCATGTTGATTTTGTCTTTACCCTTTCCTTCTCCTTGGGCAGGCCTTAGAAGAGCATGGTTTTCCTGTTCCTAATGCTGTGGATTGTAACAGGCATTGTGTCATTATGTCACTAGTACAAGGCTACCCATTGTAAGCTTCTTCTTTGCAAAATTACTGTTTGAAATAATTGAATGAGAAACCCTGGAAATGGCATGTTACGGAATGATATTAGCAGCCATAATGCCTTCCTTGTTCATTTCTTTTGGAGCTGACTTGCGTAAGAAAAAGAAGATTAGAAATAAATAGATGATCATGCTGCTTCATGGAGCTATGGAATTCACTTCTGTCCAATGCAGCGTGCAGGTGAAGCAATTGCAAAATCCAGAGGTGGTTTTTGAAACAATCATTGGACTTGTTGTTCGCCTTGCCGAACATGGTTTAATTCACTGTGACTTCAATGAATTTAACATCATGGTAAGCATTTCAGGCAGTCTGATATTACATCATTGCAACTTCCTAATTGCATTATGTTTCAAAATCTTGTCATTGTGTTTTCCTCTGCTCTCACTTGGTACAGTTTTTCTATATGATTGTTTTAATATTTCAATTAACATATGCGCTTCAAATGCCTTTTGAGCTTGCTCCTTCAACTCATTGGTAAACTTGTATTTATTTTTCAATTTCGGTTCTTTTAGATTGATGACGACGAGAGGGTCACCATGATTGATTTTCCACAAATGGTATCTGTATCACATCATAACGCACAGATGTAAGAACTGCTTCTTAAAAATGTCAGCCATTTTTCCGTTCTGTTTATTGTAACATCTGATTGCTGAAGTGATTTCATTTGTTTTCTTTCCCGAATATTTTGTTAATCAAATATCATATTCTCATTTTTATGATGTTTCCATGTTTCAGGTACTTTGACCGTGATGTTGAATGTGTATTTAAGTTTTTCAGAAAGAGGTTAGCGTTCTTTTTTTGTATCAACTAGTATTAATCTTTAAGTCATCTGCAATCGCTTTTCACTTTCTGAATGCTTATTAAATTCAAGGCTCACAAACCTTGGTTGATGGAATGCATACATATGATATTTGTCACCATCTTATTAATAATATACAGTATGATATTTGTCACCATCTTCTTAATAATATACAGTGAATATTAAACAATACGTTGAAGAATACTATGCACTGAATTGTGAAATATTTAGTAAGTGTTGAAAAACTAATTAAGCCTTTATTTATTATCTCTTATTTCATCATTTTTTATTTATAGATAATTAGTATATGGCATTGGCTTCTTACTTTTTCGTTTATCCTATATAACCCCTGAGTTTGGGTATTGTGCCTGGGGAATGACTCTCTCTTTCTCTCAGGTTCAACATGTCTTTTCAAGAATGCACAGATGATATTGATGGAACAGAGGTAGACACAGATGCAAGTGGTAGGCCTTGTTTTTCTTCAATAGCCAAGGATGCTGTTTTTCTGGACAAGGAACTTGCTGCTAGTGGGTTTACTAAGAAGGATCAGGAAGTCGTTGAGAAGGTATTATATTGTCGTGAAGCATGGTAGATTCAATTGCCAAATCCTCCATGTGTGTTTGTGGAGCCATATCCATGTAGTTCTATCATTGAATAGCGTGGCCTGTTGGGTATCCTTTATAGTCCCCTGCTGCTTAAAACACACACCATATTAGATTTTTTTTTTTAACTTTTGCATGGAATATGTTCCCTTCTTTTGAAAAATATTTCATTTGGATATCGAGAGTATACTCCACTGTTTGTGATCAATTTCATTTAACGAAATATGCTTTTTTTGTTTGTTTGTCATATACTAGACATCTATGACTATAATAATGTTTTTCAATATCTCATTGTCGCATGCAGTTCATTGAAGGAGGTCTGGAGAAGGATGCTAGTTCTGATGATGAAGGTACTGGAGATGGCGCACACATCTCTGAGGAGGATGCTAGTTCTGATGATGAAGATTCCGACGGTGCCACACACATCTCTGTGTTAAATGAAGCGAACATAAAGGGTGTTGATTCATTGCATTTGCTAGATCAGGTACATTTTTCACTTGCTATTGACGTCATCAAGAAATAGAAATGATCTGAGTCAAAATCTGAGTACAAAATAAAGATTAGTGAAATCATAACTGATGATATATTTGCCTAGTAAAAAGGAAGCATGTTGTGTTTGTATAATAAGAACAAATTGGGCTGTAATAAAAAAATGTCTTTGACTCGTACAATTTTCTCTTACGTGGCGAGACATCAGATAGGCTGTTCAGGAAAAAAACAAGGGTTTTTTATTTGGGTGATTATGTTCTTAATCCGGCTTAATCATATTGTGTGTGTCTATAGTGTATGCATTCTTGCTTCATACATTGTGACTTGGTACTTACATTTTGTTGTAATTCATCAGGGTCAGACTTTAAATTTAAAGCATGAAGAGGAAGGAGTAGAGAACAATCTAAGAAACTGTGAAGTAGGTCTAAGCAGTAAACCTGAATCTCAAGATGTGAGTGACAAGGTAGGTCTTGAAATTGTGTTTATATTGTGCTTCCGACACGGACTTGAAGTTAGGATTTATCTAGGCCTTGGAGTTGCTGTCAATTGTTTAGAACCTTGAGGGTAAAGAGCTTGTGGATCCATAATGCAGCTCTAATAGCAGTTGTCTTCCCTTTTGGTACTGGGGTGAGATGTGGAGTGGTCTGTAGCAAGATACTTTATCCTTTGTTTGACTCCCCTCCCTTCTGCTATCATTCGACATGAGCACTTTAACAAAATGGAAGCCCTCATAGTAGTTTTGTTTCCACAGGAGGGAGATGATGAGGCTGCAAATGACAATGATGCTGAGCTGGAAAAGCGCTTGAGCAAGGTGAGACGACGTGCCGTAACAGCAGCTCGTGGAAGACGGAAGAATCTTGCCTCCAGAAATACCTACAAAGACAAGGGCGGTAGATCCTCTCAGAGTTCCAAAGTCCAGAGCCAATTAGGCAACTGGTAGAATATGTGAAGTCCCACCGCAAAAACCAAGATGTCTCCATAATCAATTGGAGTTGGGTGCATACCAAAGAGAGGCTGGCAGCATCACATGAAATTTTGCTCTCTTAGTAGTCTACAGTGGTGCCCAAGGTCCAAAATAATAACATTATGAAATCCTTGTTATAGTGGCTATGGCACGCGTCTATTCATGTAAAGTACAATGTGAAATCTTTCTTTGGTTTTAGTTGTCTTCACAATTTCTCAATTAAAGTGACGTCTAATTATAAAATTTTGTCCTCTATAATGTGAGTTTTATTAGATCGGTTTTTTTGGTAGACGTTTAGTTTTTGAATTATATTGTGACTTAACTCGGAGATGTATACACTAATTAGTAATACTTTTATTTGTTGATTGATGATGGACAAAGACATCTACCTTTTCATGTACATACCATATATCCCTATTTTCAGTTTTTGTACAGGACAAGTTTCCAAACTCTCCCTCATTCATGAGAAATTGTTTGGTCCGGCGGATGGACACACACAAGAGAACGTCCTATATTGGGTTTAAGTTATAAAGAGGGTAAAATAAAAAAATAAAAAAATAAAAAAATAAAAAAATAAAAAAATAAAAAAATAAAAAAATAAAAAAATAAAAAAATAAAAAAATAAAAAAATAAAAAAATAAAAAAATAAAAAAATAAAGGATATAGCCGGGCGGCTATACTATTTCAAAAAATAGTATGGCCGAGCGGCTATACATCGCAAGGTGGGTCGCGAATTGCGATACCCGGTGTTTTCTGAATTTTTTTTAAAATACTATAGCCGCTCGGCTATACCATTTTTAAAAAACTTTACAAGAATCGAGTGTAGCCGCGCGGCTATACTATTTATGAAAAAGCAAAAGGGGATCCGCTCAGCGCTTAGTCGTCACGTGTCCAAAAACATAATGCCATGCAGCTATACTATTTTTTAAAATTAAAAGAAGCGGGTATGGGCTATGCCAAAAAAAAGGCCTAGCGCTTAGTCGTCACGTGTCAAAAAACATAACGCCACGTGGCTATACTATTTTTTAAAATTAAAAGAAGCGGGTATAGCCGCTCGGCCATACTATCCTCTGAGGTTTTTTGTCGATCATTACGGCCTCTCTTGTGGACCCCAATATAGAGGGTCCCTGTTATTTATGTTTTTGGCCCGATGAATGAGGTGGTTTGCCTGCGGAATCAAAGAATTTCTAATCATCTTGATGTTTAGCTGAACCGATATTTAAAACATTCATATGGTGCCAGTAGTATTTTCAAAAGATAAGTGGCTTGATATCTTTAAGATCCAAATTACACATAATGTGGAGAGCAATTCATGTCACGTTTCTAGTACCACAAACCGATTGCAAACTCACACTTGCTAATAACTAGAAAAATCAATGACTCAAAAACAATGTTATTGAAACAAAATTACGACAGTAATCCGATATTCAGCCCTGGTCCATCCCAATAATCCCAATAATATTTATCTTCATCCATGCCCTTATTTTGCTCCAAAACTTCTAGTATGTGTATGGGAGTGGGGCTTGGGCTAGAAGCAAATGATGATGGAAGCACAGTTATAGCAAGCTTCTGGCCACCAACTGCACAATGCATCGCAACACCACAAATGTACCATTTTCTCCCTGCGGTTGCAAGCTTGATCACATCCTTTCGACTTGTTAATGGCTCACTGCCTAATGGAGGTGCACATTGATGGAAGCCAATCCTACTCACTTTGACCACATTGTGGACTCCTCCTGGATAATTAAAAACTGCATATATAAACCAAATTGAAAAATCATGAATTAGTTTCCAAACACTCACGGTGTGTATATATATATATATATATATATATATATATATATATATATATGTCATTACGAGAATTTTTAATTATGATCATTTGATTTAGTGGCATTCAGTTTTCATTTTGTTGAAAGTATCCTGACTTCAAATATCATGTACGATAGTTGTCGTTGAATGAATTAAAACAAGTATATATGTATGTGAAGAGCTTGATTTACCAAGACTGTCACCAACATAGAACAGCTTTACCCGAGCCCAAGCTTGATAATCAAAGTTAATAGTCCAACCTTTGTTGTCACCAACAACATAATCTGTGGAAAGTTGAAGGGCCAAGGATTGCTAGAATGGGAAGGATAGTGAAGAGCTGGGAATAAGCCATTGTAACTAGTTTTGAGTTGGTTAGCAAATTATGGTCGTTTTGATTGCCAAATGGCAAATGGTTGGACTTCAAGGGCACTTTTATGCCTTAAATTTCAAGGTTTCCGCCATCCCAAGTTCATGTTGGCAAATAAAGCATTCTTTGGCCACACAGTCACACAACATATATTTGGCAAGGAAAGATATTGTTGCAACAACATATATTTGGCAAGGAAAGATATTGTTGCAACTTGTGATGGAGCTTAAACTGAATTTTTACGAGTACTCGCCAATGATTGTAAGGATCCAATGATATACACATTGTCTTTTTCTTCGTCAATGATTGTAAGGATCCAATGATCCCTACATATTAATTGGAAATATATTAGTAATAGTCATAAATATATATTATAAAAAAACAAACCACTTTACTTACCCAGGATTGTATGAGATCAAAAAGATGCTGTCAATACTAGCTTGGTTCAAAGCTTTCACAATGTATTGAACCCTCCTTGCCTCATCCGATGAGTTCGGATCATGAAAGGTACGACTTGGGTCCATAAATGCAATCATTGGTTCCCATTCTTGGTCTTTTACCAACTTATATAAATAGCTGTTAACCATTATCATAGAGTCAATAAACTGAAATACATAATTAATATCCAAATATAAACATAAAATTATAAAACACAAAGTGACTATTACCTAATATAAGCGGTTATTACAGCGTGTCCTATTCCATTCATTTGAATAAAGCTGATAACATCTTCTTTTAGGACATATATCATCTTTTCTACCCCAAATACATCCTCATCAATATATGAAGCGAGAGTCTGACCTTGGGACATCAGTTTTTGTGCAAATCCGTATAAAATCTTGCAAGACTTTGGTATTGTTTCTAGGATAGACTGAAACAATGACTTTGCTAATTTTTCCTTTGTAGTTTTCTTTTTCTTCTCCTATCACATATACCAAAAGGTCACATATATATTAGGGATAATATGAAATTAAACAAGTTCAAAAGTAAGGTTGCTTACCACTATATCGTCTAGAAAAACTATAAGATCCTCTGGCCAAGCTACTTGAGACCCAACAGCATCCTCAACAGTATTCAACACTCCTTTTACTGGTATCGGTAGTGGAGAAGCTCCATTTAAGGCATAATTAACAGAGACTCTTACATTTTCCTCTCCTAAAGGAACATTATGAAGCAAGCTGTTGAGGCACATTGATGTCAACAATTGTGCCACTTGCAACAATATTGTCCTTTGAGCCGAAAGCCAATTTGCAATCTTTACCCTAATACACATATAAAAGACATGTAAACAAAAAAAATAACAATCAAGCATACCTTAAACTAAATTAAGCATATGCATATTATAAAACTAAATGAAATTCAGTAAGTAATATTCAGTCTTAATATCAAGTTCAAAATCTGTTTTTTAGTTTGCAGTGCCTAAATCTAATACTACAATATTAATAAGTGCATGATATCAAAGTAAATTCAAATAAACATTACCTTGTTCGCCTCAACTTCAATTTGCTCCACCACATCATCACAACCATCCTCACAAACTTCTTTTCCAGCAGCAACTTCCATAAATTTTAATGGTATGTTTGTTGATGCTTTCTCAGACATGTGAGAAATATTTGGAATACGGGGTGAGTTAGATACATTACAAGTTTGACCGGAAATCGCCACCTTCAGCATCTCTATTTGCTTTTGAAGAAGTTCTTGCGCAGCTTCGTGCTTTTTCTGTTGTTCTTCCATCATCTTTTTGTCTCTTGCAGCAAAACATCTCGTTCTTTCACCATTTCCTTTGACACACACTCCCTCTTTTTCCTAGGAATGTTGAAGAACGCATTTGGCTTTACATAGCCACACCCCTCCCCCTTCCACCATGTTCAGGGGTCCCCAAAGCCATAGCTAAGACATCATTATAACCTGATATGGTTATAAGGCCTTCTTCTTTCTCCTTCAACAATTTCTCCTGATTTAGATTACACACACACACACACACACACACACACACACACACCACACACACACATATATATATATATATTAGAATGATATAATTTTGTTTTACAATTGACTTATTATTTTACAAATATACTTACAATTGTTCCAGCCAATTGAGCTGCCTCCTTATCAAGAATCTTCCCGTGCTACCTTCCATAGAAGAGCTCAATCTACTTCCTCATCCTTTGCCACTATCTTCTTATCTACCTATTCAAGATAAACCAAAGTTAGCACAAAGCAATTTACTCCTACTGACCCAACTATATACAGATTCTCCATATATATACTTACTAATTCTTCTACCACTCCAATATATCCTTTACGGCCAGTTCTATGATGGTATTTACATTTATTGCGCCTCTCCTTTTGGAGTTCATGGATTTCCTACATTATAAACAACAAGTTTATGTCATATTTACAAATCTGATCATATCTACCAATTTTGGAGAGCATAGATAATTTTTGGAGAGTAGATTGCAAAGTAATTACAAATTTGATCATACCTGCCAATTTCACTCAATCTAGAGATTACAAAACTTTGCCAATCTGATAATTCAATGAAGTCATACATTTTAGGAGGCTCCTTCAAGGCTTCTGGGTCATTTCTATGTGGAAGTACATACTCCCTTGCAGAGCTGGTCCTGGGTTTTCTAAGGCCCATGCCAAATTTTCTCAAGTGTGCCCCTTTATACAAATTAAACAAAAAAATAAATAAATTATCAACTAATTAATTTTATTAAAATTATAAGAATTTACAAAAGATAAGGAAGAACACTTTGGGGCCTCATTAAAACCTTGTTTGGGGATAACCCAATGGGACAAAACTCCAAGCCAAGGAAAAAGAGTACCCCGGATTGTAAACATTGCATTAAAAAACGAAAACTACATATTTGAGTCTACATACTTCCTCCCGAATCTCCATAAGCATTTCTTGATTTGATCAATCTTCTTTTCATCCTCCACAATTAATCGAAGCAAAGAATCATCACATGTACCTACAAAATAAAAATAGCAATGAAATCTGAACCACAAAACATCATTTAAAATGTCTTCTTGTTGCACTTTTAGATGCAAAATCATCAATTATACTATCATATTTAATGTTTTCTAACATATCCTTTTCAATGGATAATATCGCTAATCCATTTAGCCTATCTTGAGTCATGGTGGTCCGCAAGTAAGATTTCAATAATTTTAATTTAGAAAAACTTCTTTAAGTAGATGCCACAGTCACAGATATAGTCAATAATACCCTATAAGCAACCATTACACTAGGAAACAAGTCCACACTCTTTACAAACTCAAGAATTTTAATGGATGTCCATGGTTTATCTGTTTCATATTCTTCTTTTGGTAACATCACTTGCAATGCCTATAATTCTGAAAATAAGTCTTTTGCATCAACATCATAAACATCACCATGTTTTAAAGCATTTTCAAGGTTCACACAAGAACTTTTCAATTCATTATCATCAAACAAAGTCAACTTTGCAGCATCAAATAAGAACCCAAAAATAGATTCAAAGCAATGCAATTGTTCAAACCTACTCTTCAATTCACCAAGAGCAATATCCACTATAACAAGAAAATAATCAGTTCTAAATGATTCTTCAGCTGATTGTTGTTGCCTATCACTATTGGAAACCTCATCAAAATGCTTTTTTCTACAAACTTGACGTTTTTTCGGAAATACAGGCTCAATTCCCATATCAAGGGAAATTTCTTTAGCATCAATCATGGCAGAAACAAACCCATTTATTCTATAGTTTTCAAAAAATAAAACAAGTCCTTCTAATTGTCTTATAGCAGCATCAAGACGCATGTCTTCAGATTGTAACTTTTTACTAAGTTAATCTTATGCAAAATGTCATGCCAAATAACCAAACTTAATATAAATTCAAAACTTGAAAGCTCTCCTGATGCTAAACTTTGAGCATCCCTACTCAATTTGACATCTTCACTAATTTCTGTTAATTTAAATAAAGCTTCTCTGATTTGGGAAGCTTGAGATTTTATTGCTTTGACACTTTCAATGTGACTTTCCCAACGTGTAGTTGATAATGATTTCAAAGTCAAACCATCTATGGAATCAAGTAACACATTCCATCGCTTTGTTGAATTAGATAATACCGTATATATATACATTGACATGCTCCAAAAAAAGATTTTGCTTTAACACATGAGTTGGCCATATTACAAACTATTAAGTTGAGACAATGAGAACCACATGGCATGTAAAATGCTCTAGGATTTATATCAAGTAATCTTTTTTGTACAGCTAGATTTTTCCCTTTCATATTAGAGCCATTATCATAACCTTGTCCCCTCACATCATCAATATTAAGTGTAAGGGACTCAATTACATTTTGCAATTCATTAAAAATTCCTAATCCAGATGTATCTTCCACATTCAGAAACTCTAAAAAGTACTCTTCTATATCTATTGGAGTACTAGAAACATCTACACACTTCTAGGGCTGGCAATGGGTCGTGTCGTGTCAGGATAATAAATGTGTCAAGAATGCTCAACCCGAACCCAACCCATTTAATAAACTTGTCGTGTCGGGTTCGGGTCGTCTTTTATCGTGCGGGTTTCGAGTCGTGTAATGGGTTCATAAATAATAACATGTATGTTACGAAACTCACAACCGAAAATTTAAATTTAAAAAAAAAAAAAAAAAAAAAAAAAAGAGAAAATATAAGGAAAAGATAGAAAGAGGAGAGAGAGAGAGAAGGAAAAGAAAGAAAAAAAAATAGAGAGAGAGAGAGGAGAGAAGATTGAAGGAAAGAAAGAAAGAAAAAGAGAGAGATGAGAGAAAACTAAAGAGAAGGAAAAGAAAGAAAAAAAAAGGAGAGAAGAGGAAAGGAAAAGAGAGAGAGAGGAGAAAGAAGAAAGAAGGAAAAGAAAGAAAAAAAAAGAGAGGAGAAGAGAGACGGAAAAGAAAGGAAAACACAAAAGAAAAAGAAACATTATAAATATCAAAAGGCATACCATAAAATCACAAAGTTGTTTGTAGCATGGTGGATAAGATGTTTGAGAGAAATGAGGGTGGTAAGAGTTCAAAACCCCTTGTGTGTGTGTTGAAGTCTCCATCAACAAGGATCAACTGATCGCGGTGCAGATTTTGGGTTTGGAGTTTACACTGATCACCAGTGATATTCTTATGTATGTAACTTAACTAAATCAATCAGAACAATTTATAGCAATGGTAGTGAACTATACATCCACCCCTACCTAACCAAATCCTCCTCCTCCTCTCTGTTTCTCTCTTACCCTTCTCGCTTTTCTCTACTTTCATATACCAAATTGTCAAAGCTAACTTCACTATCTATGCAACACGCAAGACCAAGCCAAAACATTAACATCTATATAACTTTTCAATTCCTTTTCATGCCAAGAAAGATATGAGTTCCAAATAACAAGTTACAATGTTTTGCTTAATCTGATGTTCACACAGGAGAGACGTGCTCACAAGGAAGCGTTATCTTTAAGTAAAAGAAACCGCTAGTGGGTTTTCACAGCATAAAAAAAGAACTGAACGAAAATGCCATTGTAAAGAAAAAAGCTCTCTATTTTGATAATCTCATGTGCAAAAAGTTCTTTATCTTTAAGTTCCAGACACGCAGTTTTTTCAAGTCCATGATTTTTATATTAAATACGAATCTCTCCTGTAAACAATATTGTCAAGTGTAATTGATCAATACTCGCTACCTTCCATCTTGAAAGGCCACATTTAGGACAGCTTGTCAAATCATGATACTTCTTGCTATACAAAATGCAATCATTAGAGCATGCATGTATCTTCTCATATTTCAATTCCAATGCATTCAACGTCTTCTTTGCCTTATACATAGACAAGGGTAGCTCTTGACCGATCGGGAGCAAATCACCAACTTCGATCAGTATATCCGCAAAACAATTGTTGGTCATGCCATGCCTTGCTTTAAGATTGTACAACTTAACCAATCCTGATAACTTGGTGTGCTTATAACACCCACGATAAAGAGGCTTCTCGGCTTCCTCCACAAACTTCTTAAATTCCTCTGGATTTTCAGTGAAGTGTTCATGTGCACCTTCGCACATGTCAACCGTTTCACCAAAAAAATCACGTTCCGGCTGCGGTTCTTGATTTACAGTTTCACTAGCATTTATTTCAATAGGCTTGGCATGCCATATCCAATCCTTGTATGTTTGGTCAAACCATTAAAATACATATGCTCCCTTATTACTCTAATCGTAAACTCTCTTGTATTCCCACATTTCTGGCATGGACAACGAATGCGTTCATGATCAATAGCATTTTCTAATGCTATCCTTAGAAATTCTTCAACTCCCTCTTCATACTCTTTACTTCTCCTATCGGCAAGCATCCAAGATTTTTCCATAATTGCTTAACCCATCATTTTTACCAATACACAATAAAGTTAGAGGAAACACTAGTTCATATTCAAAACAAAAAGGGCAGCAGCCAATTGCATGCAACTCAGCTCAATTGCAATGATGTTACATGAATTGCATACCACATGCATATTTAACTTAAGCCTTGTTATTTCAAAATCACAATGAACATTACAGAACCTAATAGTAACACATTCACAGACCTTTACACTCTAACAATAATTGAGGTCAAGTATATGAAAATCAGGTAATGCTTTAGATCGAAAGGGCACTTAATTAATTAATTATGATGATTAACATAATTAAAAAGATTAGCTACTACTGTGACTAGTCTGCCAATAATTAATTTGCTGCCAACATTTACCCTCAAAAGCATAAATAGAAGCATACGAAACTCAGAACTCAAATAGTGAGAAACAAATACACTCAAAAGAGTAAAAGCATAAATTGAAGAGGAAGATGTTTTGTCTTACCTGTAGTTATCAAGATTCAATACAGGCAGAGATAAGAGACTCCACCAAAGGCAGTTGTGTGAGCTCCAAAGGGAATGCAAAATTTGGACTTCAACTGACCACCAAATGAGTTGTTGAAGGTTATTGCGGTGCCCTTACTCAGTCTCTGAAAGAAGGCACCCATTTTCAGTAAACAATGTCAAAAACCCACAACCCTTAATAAACTGAAAAATAAGCTTCAAATTGCAACATGCAACATCTATGAAAAATAATAGAACTCAGATGAAGAATAATCAAACCCTAAACTTAAAAATTCTATGTATAACAAATTACCCAAATCAAAAAATGTCGTGTAAAGATCTGCCAAACTATGACTTTAACTTTACTAAAATTTTGAAAATAGAAAGTAATTCACAACACAGAGAACATGAGCAATTGCAGAGCCCTAAAACAGATAGAGCAATTAAAACACAAAAGCAAGCGCGTACCGATAAAGGATCGGAGTTACAAACCCTAGCTGAAGAAGAAGCGTCGAGAGGAGTGGAGGAGACGACCGAAGAGCACAGATCTGAAAACGAAGAGGAGGCAGATAGAGAGACTGTCTGTGACTGGATGAGAGAGTGATGAGAGAGTGTTGGTGACTGGGTATAGCGAGAGAGGGTATAGGGTGAATGGGGGTATCATGAGAGATAAGAGAGGGAGTTTGAAGGTGAGAAGATGGGAGCTCAGTCACTGTCATCTCTGTGGGTATCGAGAGAGATAAGAGGGAATTTTTTTTGAGAGAATGGGGAATCTGAAATTTTCACAAAGGACCAAAATTTTTTTGGGGAAAAAACACTGTAGTAGTCAACTATAGGCTTTTGGCATCGGAGCTAAATTGGCGCTTAAATTTATTTTTCACCCAACAATTTTACACATTAGTATAATTCAATCATTGATGCTAAATATAATCAATGGCATCATTAGGAAAAACCAAATATTTGTGTTGATGCCTTTATATACTTTTAGTCCTATTATTTATAAAACCGATGCCTAATATACTAACAACATCGGTATTTCATTTCACTGATGCCCAGGGGTGGATGCACGTTGGGACAAGAAGGGTCGGACAACCCCTTGGAAGGCTGGAAAATTGGCAAGGGACTCCATTGAAGCCCCCTTGCACAGCTACTGGAAGCCCCCTTGGATGCACGCCAACTGGTCGATGAAAGTCCCAGGAGGAGGAGAAGCTTGTTGGGCAGCTGCGCTGCGTGTGATTTTTTTTTAAAACAGCCTTGCCAAACGACGTCGTTTGGTCCAAGGCTCAGTCAATTTTTTTTTAAATGACCTGGCCTTAAAACGACGTCGTTTTGGGCCAGTTTTAAAAAAATAATAATAATAATAATAAATAAATAACAGAACAACACAGCCTTCGAATCTGCACAGCAGCCCCAAACCCTTCATTCCCAATTTCACACCTCCTCTCCCCACCCTCTCAAACCCTAACCTCTTCCCCAACCTCCCAACCTCCGATAACCTCCATCATCAACTCTTCGCTGGGCTACCAATCACCGCTGTTTGCCGCCGTCCTCCTCCCTCCGCCCTTCAACTACAAGTAAGCTTGGCAATGAAATTTATGGATATGTTGATAATATATATTGTTGTTGATATTGATTTTTTTTTTTAATGTAATGAAATTTATGGATATGAATCATATTGATTGATTGAATTTATGCTTTATTGAGTTTATGCTTGAAATTTATGGATATGAATAATATTGATATTTTTTGTATGTAATGAAATTTATGGATATGATATGAATCATAGTGATAATCATATTAATGTAGATTGATTGAGTTTATGCTTGATTGAAAATGTGAATTGATTGAGTATATTGAATATTAATTGATATTTGATATGATAATTTAGTATATTGAATATTGATTGATATGGGTTTAGGGAGTATATTGAATTTTGAGAGTGGGTTATTGACATTTTCATATTCATATGATAATTGATAAAAATTAATGATTGATTGAATTAATTGATTTGTAGATTTATGGAACGATTCTTTAAAAGAAAATTATCTACGGATAGTCCTTCTCCGTCTAATCCGGGTAGTTCAAATGCAAGACCAATTGAAGTAGATGAGATCTTAACTAATCTTCAGGCAAACCCTGGACTAAGAACTCGAATGGCGGATTATAATCCTAATATTCGGGATGAGATCCGAAGAGCATATTTACAAAAGGGACCTTGTCAACCTAGAAGTTATAAATTCCCACAAACTAATCAATCAGGAATTAATAGACGCTTCATTGCTAATTGGTTTGATGATCATGATTGGTTGGAATATAGTATTGCTAAAGATGCTGCGCTTTGTTTTCATTGTTATCTCTTCAAATCAAATTTTGATCAAGTGGGTTGTGATGCATTCACTAGGGTAGGCTTCAATAATTGGAAGAAGGCGAAAGAAAGATTTAACCTTAATGTTGGACCAGTTGGTAGTGTTCACAACCAAGCTAGAGAAGTTGCTTACAATTTGATGCATCAAACTACACACATTGAAACAATTGTCATCAAGCAAACAAGCCAAGCTCGCACGGCTTATCGCACTTGCTTGAATGCATCACTTAAGTGCACTAGGTATTTGTTGCGACAAGGTCTTTCTTTTCGTGGTCATGATGAAAGTGCACAATCAAGTAATAGAGGGAATTATTTAGAGCTTTTGCAATTTCTTGCGGATCATGATGAAAAAGTTAAGGCCATTGTGTTGGAAAATGCTCCAGGAAATTTAAAGTTAATAGCTCCTTCAATTCAAAAAGATCTTTTCAATTCTTGTGCTAAAGAAACCATTGGTCTTATCTTGAGTGATGTAAAAGATAGATATTTTTCAATAATGATGGATGAAGCACGTGATATTTCAATAAAGGAGCAAATGGCGATGGTGCTTCGTTATGTGAATGACAAAGGACACATAATTGAAAGGTTTGTGGGGGTTCAATATGTAACCGACACTACTTCAAGTGCACTAAAGGAAGCCATTGATGAATTCTTTTCTTCCGCGAATTTGAGCTTTTCCAAGCTACGAGGACAAGGTTATGATGGAGCTAGTAATATGAGAGGTGAGTTCAATGGCCTTAAGACAAAGATTTTGAGAGAACAACTTTGTGCATTTTATGTTCATTGGTTTGCTCATCAACTTCAACTAGCTCTTATTGTGGTAGCAAAGAAAAACATTGATGTCAACTCTTTTTTCACAACAGCTAATAGTTTGGTTAATGTTGTTGGAGCATCTTGTAAGCGTCGGGATGCACTTAGAGCACAATACCAAGAAGAGCTTGTGAGAGCTTTTGATTGTCTGATAACGGGGCGGGGCTTAAATCAAGAAACTACTCTCAAACGTGCCGGCGATACACGATGGAACTCACATTATGGTACGTGGATTAGTATTATTTCTATGTTCCCATCTGTGGTGAATGTGCTTCAAATGATTGTTGATGATAATCCTAATGATAGTTCGGGTGAAGCCTATAAGTTATGGAGAGAAATACAATCTTTTGAGTTTCACTTATTTTTAATGAAAGCTATATTGGGAATAACAAACACTTTGTCTCTAGCATTGCAAAAGAATGATCAAGACATTGTGAGTGCAATGAGTTTAGTGAAAACATGCAAGGAAAACCTGCAGTTGATGTGGGATAATGAGTTTGAAGAATTGGTTGTGCAAGCATCTTTGTTTTGTTACAAACATGATATTACAGTTCCTACCATGGATAAGGAATATGTAATTCCAGGGAGGTCACGTTGTAATACTCCAATGAAGACAAATTATCATCGTTATCATGTGGAGATCTTTATTCATGTAATTGATGGACAACTTGCGAAATTAAATGATCGCTTCAACGAGGTAAGTACTGAGTTACTTACTTGTTTGGCATGCTTGAGTCCGAAAAATAACTTTGTAGCTTTTGACAAACGAAAACTAGTTCGTCTTGCTCAATTTTATCCTTATGATTTTTTCGATAGAGACTTATTGATGCTTGAAGATCAACTTGGTGTTTATGTTCATCATATGCGTTCGAGTATTGATTTTTCTCAATTGGAAGGGATTAGTAGTCTTGCGGAAAAAATGGTGGAGAAAGGAATGCATGAAATATTTCCTTATGTGTATTTGCTTCTTACATTGGCTTTGGTTTTACCGGTTGCAACTGCTTCAGTGGAGAGGGCATTTTCCGCCATGAATATTATTAAAAATCCACTTCACAACAGAATGAGAGATCAATTGTTGAATGATAGCTTGATTGTTTACATTGAGAGAGATGTTTTTGCTTGTATTGATAACGAAACTATAATGCAACATTTTCATAATATGAAAACTCGTCGTGAACAATTGTAACTTGTATTATTGGTTTTGTTATGAATTATGAATGGAAGTATTGTCTTTCTATCTTTTTAGCATTATTTTCTTTGTAGAAAAATTTCGGAACTTTTACACTAAGTCCCCTTGGCCACATAATCCTGGATCCGCCACTGCCGATGCCTATGTGGTGTTGCGTAAAGTGAAATTTGGCATAGTGAGTCAAGAAGATTTTTAGGTGTCATGTATACAATTATGTGATTCTTTCTATTATCACAGGACTAGTTATCTTATTTGATTAGAGAGTGAATTTTGATATGTGCTAACAGTACGTATAAATATTATGGAAGAATAATCCATACCATATATATAATAATGTTTACAATAGTATCACATAACCTGTTAAAACTTAAAACTCACACCTCATAACAGGAAAATAAGTAATTAATTAATTAAATACTGATCCAAAACATCAAGCCACGAGCATCCCAAGAAAGCCAATAGTAAGAAGCATCATCAAAGCAAATCTTGTTCCAACAGTTATAGTTGCTGCAGATGCCTTACTAGGCCATGAGCTAGGGCTTGGACTTGGAGCAGATGAAGATGAAGATGGCAGCACAGTTATAAGAAGCTTTTGGTTCCCCAATTCACAGTGCTGGCCAAGACCACAAATGTACCATTTTCTCCCTGGGGTTGCAAGGTTGATCACATCTTTTCCACTTGTTAATGGCACACTGTCTAATGGAGCTGCACATTGTTGAAATCCAGTGCCGTTCACTTTGAGCACAGTGTGGGCTCCTTTTGGATAGTTAAAAACTGCGTAAAACCAAATCATATAAGAAAATATTGAGTTCATTCTCATACAAATAATTTTATTTAAAAAAGCTGAGTTTGGGAACAGGAAATTAAATTACCAAGATTGTCGCCAACATAGAATGACTTTCCCTGAGCCCAAGCTTGGTAATCGAAATTAATCGTCCAACCTTTATCGTCGCCTACGACATAATCTGTTGCCAAAACTGAAGGGGCAAAAATTGCTAGAGTGACAAGGATGATGTAGAGATTGGAAGAGGCCATTGATTGCAGCTACTAGCTAGTATGGGAGTAGGTAGTTTCTTTTCTTTTTCTTATATGAATTCGGTTATTTTTTCTTTTCTTTTCTTTTTTAGGTCTGAATGAATGTGTTTTGAGATGAGGAGGAGCTCAATTGATTTGCTTACCGAAATAAGATGAAATGCTGCCAATTTATAAGGTCTGGTCTGGCCAATGGCCAAGGTCGGCACTAACTCAGCCTAATGGCACGAAAGTATTTGGGTTGAGCTTAGATTTTATTAGAATAGTAATATTTTGTTGGAGCTAGTCAAAATCACTTTACAGTCAGGCTCTTTTATTTTGTATGACCGAGTTCTATGAAGTTACTGGTGGCCTGCCTGCCTCCCCACTCCATAAGAAAACTTCTTAACGCGTATAAGGTGGTATTTTTCCCCAGCATCAATTATTTGTCTTGTCATATATGGTCTTGTCTCTAACTGTCTTCATTGGATGCATGGAGTTTGTACCTCAAGTACAAGTAGCTATTACTACACTTGAGGTCCTGAGATTGAATCTTTCCACCTAAATATCGCTTGCACAAAAAAATAAAAACAAAAAACAAAAATTTTCTTAATTGGATAATTATATCAAATATTAATGCCTACAAACCATCTATTTTCTTTGGCCCATGGATTAAACTTCTTGGGGATAAACTTCCTATGTCTAATCCCATGAGATGGGAATGAAGGATGCTCATTCCCATGTTTGGGAACGCTAGGAAATAAGGACTTTAGGAACTGTCATTTTCTCTCATTCCCATGTTTAGTTTGTGTCATATTATGAATGAAATGTTGTTCGATTTTCTAACAATACCCTTGATTTTTAATTATTAAAAGTTATTAATTTGAAGAGTTTTTTTAAGGGTCAAAAGTAGTGTTTTAAAATAACAAGATGGGAATGCAATTTGAAACCCATTTCCAAGCTCCTAACCTTGAACCAAACGGGCCCTTAGAACACTAAAATAATAACCACTAAGTGCATGGTTGAATGATTTTGGATTCTTATGATTGTTTGCATAGATGATTTTTGAGTGAATAACTAAAAACTGAACCGTTCATATGTTGAAATACATAAACAGTTCTAATTGTTGAAATACAATGCAGATTAGACCCCAGAAAACTCACGTGATATGTGGGAAAGTAAGGAGAGGCTTGGTTTGAGTAATGTAAAGTAGATGTTGTGTCTGATCGATCTTACGGTCAAATTGGCTTTATTTGATTTATGACGTAGTCCGGTTTAGAAAGACTCCATATTTGATGTCGCCCTTTTACAAATCTTACCAGCTCAAAGGATTGAAGGAATTTTGGACTATCTTTTCATTCACTTTGGTTAACGTTGTTTGATTTCACACGAAATATGTGCTATGATTTCATTAAGATTCAAATTACAATCGATGTGGATGAATAATAAAAATGTTTGTGGCATCACAAACTGATTTGAAACCTCACGCTCAATAACAAGAAAGAATGAATCAAATACTCAACAACAAAAGAATGTACAATCAAATATCAAGTCATGAGCATCCAAAGAAAGCCAATAGTGAGAAGCATTATCAAAGCAAATCTTGTTCCAACAGTTGTTGCTGCTGATGTACTGGGACCTGGCCCAGCCGTGGCGCTAGGCCATGAGCTTGGGCTCGAGCTTGGAGCAGATGAAGATGAAGATGGCAGAACAGTTATAACAAGCTTTTGGTTCTCCACTTCACAGTGCTGGCCAACACCACAAATGTACCATTTTCTCCCTGGGGTTGCGAGGTTGATCACATCTTTTCCACTTGTTAATGGCACACTGTCTAATGGAGCTGCACATTGCTGAAAGCCAGTCCCATTCACTTTGAGCACAGTGTGGGCTCCTTTTGGATAATTAAAAACTGCACAAAACCAAATCACAAGAATCTTTCAATTAGTTTTAGTTCCCAAACCAACAATTAAAAGAAGAAAAAAGAAATTACAAGTTTGAGAATGAAGAGTTGCATAATTTAATTACCAAGATTGTCGCCAACATAGAACAACTTTTCTTGAGCCCAAGCTTGGTAATCGAAATTAATCGTCCAACCTTTATCGTCGCCAACGACATAATCTGTTGCTAAAATTGAAGGGAAAAATATTGCTAGAATGACTAGGATACTGTAGAGATTGGAAGAGGCCATTACAATTTGTAGTTTCTAAATAAAAAATTAAAATTTATTTTTTTTTTTTTTTTTTTTTTTTTTTTTTTTTTTTTTTTTTGTGTGGGGGAATTTGGTTGTTTTTGAGATGAGGAGCTCACTTGATTTGTTTGCCAAAAGAAGTTGAAATGCTGCTCATTTATAGAGTCTGGTGTTTTGTCAAGTATAAGCCACAGAAGTATAGAATCTGGCCAGGGTCGGCAACATTGACTCTGCCGAATGGCACGAAAATAGCTAGATTGATTTAATACACCTATAATATTAATGTTTTGTTGGAGCTATTAAAAAACACTTAACAGAACATGCTCTTTTCTTTTGTATGACCAAGTTCTATGAAGTTACTAGTGGCCTGCCAGCCTGCCTGCCTTCTCCACTCCAAAAGAAAATTTGTAAACGCGTATAAGGTGGTATTTTTCCCCAGTATCATTTATTTGCCCTCTTATGGCTGTTTCTAATTAACTTTCTTCATTGTTTTGGCTTGGTTTGAGTATTGCAGAGAAACACTTATATGAAACGCGGATAGCACTATTTTGCTATCCCCGGCTAATCACGGTATGCCATGCGTGATAACGTTTTCATGTGACATTCTGTGATTGGCAAAGAATAGCAAAACATTGTTATCCTCGTTTCATACAAGTTTTTCTTACAAAGATATTTGTGGCACAATTAACGCTGTGGCTTATCCTTCCGCTAAATTGGCTTTATATTCTGGTTTGAGGAGACTTTAGATTTAATCTCTGATGGTTTTTTAGTCAATTGTATATCGTCATAATCCTTCAATAAAATCCTATCATCTTTCTTCAATTAAAATAATAAAATGCCAACAAAAAATGCACAATATTATATCTTTCATTAATCCATCTTTCGTACTCCTTTACCGATCTCTTAGCTATCTTAAATTTGTACCCTTTTTACTTAAAGTTCCACTGCGTTCAGGGTTTAATAGTAAAACTCAAAAATACAAAATAATATTGAATTTATAATAAAAGGCTTAGATTGAGAAAGAACCACAAGTAACTAGGGTTTCATAATGGTTTGTATGCAAATAACATTCATGTCTGCCTAGTTCGGTCCTCTAAATTAAAAAGTTTAACGACTTTGAATATCTTTTAACCTCAAATTTTTTTTTATTAACTTCTAATGATTGTGTTGATCCCTATAGGTATAAATAAGGCATAGATACTACCAACTCAAAGGAGTAAGCGAAAGAAAAAGTAACAACTACAAGCTCGTATACCGTTGCGAGCTGCACCAAATACTTCTACAAATCCTACAAGCTCAAATGATTAAAGGAAATAGAGTATTGAAAGCTAAAAAGCATAAGGTCGAATTGATGATTTTGGTCATCATAGTTTGGACAATCTTTTCATGCACTTTGATATCTTATATGATTTCAACTTTGCAAATGGTGTTCTTATAATTTAAAAATTGTCAATCGAGGCTAAATAAACAAAATGATCATGCGAGGGAGGTATTTATGTCTCTTTCGGTTGTTTTCGTACGAAAATTGCTTTGAATTCACACTCAGTCAAAATTATAAATCATGTGGATGAATAATTCATATAAATGTTTCTGGTATTACATACGGATTTGAGACGTCACACTTAATAAAACAAAAGAATCAATCAAATACTCAACAAAAGAATACTAAGCCATGAGCATCCCAAAGGCAATAGTAACCATCGTCAAAGCAAATCTTGTTCCAACACTTGTAGTTGCTGAAGATGTACTGGGGCCTGGCCCAGCTGTGGCACTAGGCCATGAGCTAGGGCTTGAGCTTGGAGTAGATGAAGATGAAGATGGCAGAACAGTTATAACAAGCTTTTGGTTCCCCACTTCACAGTGCTGGCCAACACCACAAATGTACCATTTTCTCCCTGGGGTTGCAAGGTTGATCACATCTTTTCCACTTGTTAATGGCACACTGTCTAATGGAGCTGCACATTGTTGAAATCCAGTGCCGTTCACTTTGAGCACAGTGTGGGCTCCTTTTGGATAGTTAAAAACTGCATCAACACCAAATCACAAAAGAAAACCTTGAGTTTCGTTATCATACCAATAATATAAAAAAAACAGAAAAGAAAATGTTAGGTTTGGAAATGAGAATTTAAATTACCAAGATTGTCACCAACATAGAACAACTTTCCCTGAGCCCAAGCTTGGTAATCGAAATTAATCGTCCAACCTTTATCGTCGCCAACGACATAATCTGTTGCCAAAACTGAAGGAACAAAAATTGCTAGGATGGGAAGGATAATGAAGAGCTGGGAAGAGGCCATTATAACTAGCAGTATTGAATTGGGTTGAGCTGGTTTTTAGTTTCTGTGGGTTGTTTCTTTTACAGATGATGAGATCAATGGATTTGCTTGTAAAAATAAGTTGAAATGCTTCCAATATATAGGGGTGGTTTCACTTGACAAAAAAAACAAGAGTCTTGTTTGGAGAATAGTTCCAAGTCTGGCCATGGGTCGGCACTGAATCACTGAGCCTGCCGAATGGCAAGAAATGGTTTCAGCCAGAGTTAAAAACACTAACAAAGTATATGACTCGCCATTATTAAAAGATTTAGAAATTTCTTGACGCGTCAAAATGGCACATACCCTTCACAACCATCAACGCCTAGTCAAAATAATTTCCATCGATTATTTTTCATGACCATTTTTATAAATATTACAGATAGGAAATTTAGTTCTCTGCTTGAATTTCCGCGGATTGCTTAAGGAGATCCTCAGCTAATTTGAACTGGGCTTCCACTTTGACCACGACTTTCAGCATTGCCCGGTGAAAAGTCTATATTACCCCTAAAAGATGAACCAAACCATATACGAGGAAAATAAATAAATAATTTAATAATAAAATGACTAAAATAATAACTGAATTCGTGTATAATTAAATAATTTAATGACAGTTTGATAATTAACCCTAGTTAATTAACAACAACCCGATTTTTAGGATTGTTCTTCTTTGAGTTGAAAATGTTATGGTGTTGTCTTCAAAAAATAAAATAAAATAAAATAAAAAGACCTAAGTTAAGGAAATTGAGGATGAGTGTCCAACTCCTTTCATGATTTTACTGTTTGGATTGGGAAGGGTCCACAACAGATATAACCTTATTATGTTTAAATAAAAACCCAAAATCCAATTTAAGTTAAACTTGATCCGGATATCAAAATCAGTTAGGATTTTAATTAGGTTTACAAATGCGGATAAGATTAAGTTGATAGACTCTCATTATCTAACTTGTACTAGTAATCCTGCTAGACACAGGACGTTTTGAACTATAAATACTTCATCAAACCCACCTAATTTTGTACGCTTAATTCCATCGGTCCTTCAAAGTTTGTTTTCTTAGCTTTCTTTAGATTGATCTTTGAGTGAAAGAGAGAGAGAGAGAGATAGAAAGAAGAAGGTAACAATGGCTGGGGGTGGTATAGCTCCGTCGAGTGGTGGAAAACAATACCCTGGTAAACTCACAGCTAGGGTTCTTATAACGTGTATTGTTGCGGCTACCGGTGGTCTGATTTTTGGGTACGACCTTGGAGTTTCAGGTATGTAACATTTCGTTTTTTCACAACCCAGTTTTATTTATTGTATACATGCTTCCTTTAATTTCTAGAATTACCATGCACTTATACATGACATCGAATTTGATTTGGTGATTATGCAGGCGGCGTTACATCCATGGACTCTTTCTTGAAAAAGTTCTTTCCAGCGGTTTACCAGAAAGAGTCTTCGATCAAGCCTTCCGACGATCAGTACTGCAAATTCGATAGCCAGACACTTACACTTTTCACATCTTCGCTATATTTGGCTGCTCTGGTTGCATGCGTTTTTGCATCAACTATAACCAGGGTGTGTGGTCGCAGGCTCACAATGATCTTGGGTGGAGTTCTTTTCTTGGCTGGTGCCTTGGTCAATGCCTTTGCTAATGCTGTTTGGATGCTTTATGTTGGTCGTCTACTTCTTGGTTTTGGTATTGGATGTGCCAATCAGGTAACCATGATTATGATTTTCTTTTTTGATACACAGATTATACTTTATGAATTTTAGGTTATTCGCATCCCAGTTTGTTATTTCGTGTACTTTTTACGAACCCTAATTCGTTTTTTTTATGTTCTTTTTACGCAGTCTGTGCCGATCTATGTCTCCGAAACAGCCCCATCTAAATACCGTGGTGCTCTCAACATGATGTTCCAATTGTCCATCACAATAGGAATCCTTGCTGCTGGTGTGCTTAACTATTTCTTTGCAGAGATCAAAGGCGGTGGGGGATGGCGTTTGAGTTTGGGAGGTGCTGCAGTCCCTGCCATTATAATCATAGTTGGAGCATTGTTTTTACCTGATACACCAAACTCCTTGGTCGAGCGTGGCAGGCATGAGGAAGCCAAAGCTCAGCTTCTTAAGCTCAGAGGAGTTCCTAATGTTGATGAGGAGTTCAATGATCTAGTTGCGGCCAGTGAAGCATCCAAGTTGGTAAAACACCCATGGGTTTGCTTGCTGAGCAGGAAATATAGACCCCAGCTTGTGTTTGCAATCGGCATCCCCGCCTTCCAGCAACTCACCGGCATGAACGTGATCACGTTTTATGCTCCTGTCTTGTTCAAAACAATGGGGTTTGGAAGCAGTGCTTCTCTCATGTCAGCTGTCATCACCAATCTCGTTAATGCTTTAGCTACATTTGTCTCAATTCTCACTGTTGATAAGGTTGGAAGGAGGAAGCTTTTCTTACAGGGTGGTTGCCAAATGCTCCTCATGCAGGTATGATTCAAGTTCCTTTTTTCTTTCCCTGTTTTGTTTTGTTTTCTTCTATGTATATGTTTTACTTCCTTAGATTTCATAAATTTAAAATAAAAAAAATAAAAAAACCTGAATTTAATGTTTTTTTTCTTCTTTTGTTGGCATTTTTAGGTGGGTGTTGGAATTGCTATGGCTGTTAAATTTGGGGTCAGCGGCAACCCTGGAAAGTTGACACTAGGGTTTGCAGTTCCCTTGGTGGTCTTAATCTGTGTTTACGTGGCTGGATTTGCTTGGTCTTGGGGCCCTCTAGGATGGTTGGTGCCCAGCGAAATTTTCCCACTTGAAGTAAGGTCTGCTGCTCAGTCTATCAATGTCTCCGTCAACATGATTTTCACCTTTGCCATAGCCCAAGTCTTCACAGCCATGCTCTGCCACATGAAGTTTGGCTTGTTCTTCTTCTTCTCTGTTTGTGTGGTGGCGATGAGCATTTTCATCTACAAATTGTTGCCCGAAACGAAAGGAGTTCCGATTGAAGAAATGCACACTGTGTGGGAGAATCATCCATATTGGCGTAAGTATGTTATTAAAGAGGAAGGCATTGCCATGGGCAAGGACAAGGGAGGACAGAGTGCCTAAAGATTTTATTTTTTCCTCTTTCGAAAAACAAATAGTTCATAGCTAACCACCTTTGCTTTCTTTTAATGTAACCCCATTAAGCCAACTAGCTTATCTTCTATAGTCTAGCTTGTGATAACGTCTATCGCTATAGGTTTTATCAGATGTGAAAAACCATGAGTTCTCAAACTTTATATTACAAACCACAATTTCGATCGCCATGTATGATTATCTGATTAATCCCCTTATTTTGTCCCTCATTCTCTCTTGTGATTTCACCCCAATTAAAGGGAAAACACTTCAATTTGTTGGAAGAAAATTAACTTGAATTGTAATTAACACCTCAATTTGATCGAATCAATAGAGAACATCCCTTACAACAAGACAGCAATATAAGAGCACCAAAATCGATGTTCGGGTTGGTTGTAGTGTCTTTTAGATTTGGTTTTGATTTTGTTGCTGTTTGTGCAGGAGTGTAGCCAAAATTATTAGGTTAGTTTAGTTAGGTCAAAATTTCAAACACTACTAAAAAATACATAAATAGTAAAAAAGTGATGTGATATGTGGGTTATCTGTAACCAACTCATTGTGGTCACGGGGTAAACACTGTCCTTTATTAGTTGGTACATGTTGGCTCTTTTTCATGACATAAGTCTCACACTTAAATTGTGAATCACTAAGCAAGGGGCTTGAAGCTTAAGTGGTTAAGAGCAGTTATCCTTGCACCTGAGGTCCTGTATTCGAATTCCCCCTCCTCAATATCGCTTATGTAAAAAAGTGTGAATAACTAAAATTAAAAAACAAAGATGATGAATGAAGGGTGCCACAACCATACTTTTTGTTTTTGTTTTTGTAAAAGTACCACAACCATTTGATTCTTCTTCTTTGTCATGGATCCTCTCACATGATAAGCCTCTCGCCAACATCGTTATACCATGTGGCCATATTTTCATATCATACAATAATTTCTCCACGTTCAGGCAATACAACCTCCTCTCTTAGTAACTCGATTAATATTAAACATACGTAAGGTGGATTATTGTCACTTTCTAAAGGTAATGTGTGATTTTACTTTAGGGGCAGCAGTATAATTAGCCTTGATATAATTTATGTCACAAAAGAGAAATGTGTAGGATGCCAAGCACTGCATCATGAAAATCATGGAGTCAAGTGCAAGCAAAGTCAAGTTGGTAACATCCATGTATATTCTGCATGTTCAATGAAATTATGCAATGTATATCTCACGGTATAAAGCTATATGTTGGTCAAAATTAATAAGAAAACTGCCTTGAATATTTCTTTTAAGATCCAAATGTGAAAAATCATTCATATAAATAGTGGTAGTGTCACAAATCCATTTCAGAACTTACACTTATTATTTCAGTAAAGAATATCAAATACACAGAATCAATGATGAGACCTTAGTCCAAATATTAAGCCATGAGCATCCCAAGAATGCCAAAAACAGCCATCATCCACCAATATTTTGTTCCAAGACTTGCACTTGCTGCAGAGGTGTAGGGGATTGAGGTGCTAGGGCTTGAGGCAGTGAGACTTGGGCTAGGGGCAAGAGAAGATGGCAGCACAGTTATCAGAAGCTTCTGGTTCCCTACTGCACAATGCTTGGCAACACCACAAATGTACCATTTTCTCCCTGGGGTTGCAAGGCTGATCACGTCATTTCCACTTGTTAATGGCACAGAGTCTAATGGAGCTGCACATTGTTGGAAACCAGTCCCATTCACTTTGAACACATTGTGAGCTCCTTTTGGATAGTTAAAAACTGCACTAAAACCAAATCACATTGTCTTGAATTAGTTCTTTGACTAAAGATTAAATACTAAAAGAAAGGGACATGGGCTTAGCCAAGTTGGCTAGAGCGAATGTGCTTCCCAGTCTGCACCTGAATTCGAATCCCCCTCCCCGTAGCTTAGATTAATTTAAAATAAAATATTAAAAAGAAAAAAAAAGGAAAATAAATAAATTTCAAGTTTGTGGAATGCTTCATAATTTAATTACCAAGTTTGTCACCAACATAGAACTGCTTTCCCTGAGCCCAAGCTTGGTAGTCAAAATTGATGGTCCAGCCTTTATCATCACCAACAATGAATTCAGTAGCCAACATACAAGGGGAAACTAGTGCTAGAGTGGCAAGGATAATGAAGAGCTGGGAATTATAGGCCATTTCAACTGGTTTTGAGTGTTGGCTTTGGAATTTCTATGAACCTTGGTTGTTTTGAGAAGATGAGTTCAGTTGATTTGGTTGTCAAAATGAGTTCAAATGCTGCATTTATATAAGATTTGGTCTGGCTAGGGACGGCACTGCCACTGCCGAATGGCATTAAAAGATTGTATACTTAAAATTACAATGTAATTATAATATTAATTGGTAAGCAAAGTATATGACTACTAGAAGATTAATTTTGTTTGAGCTATGTATTCCAAATTGGGTTTCTTTAATAATAAAAAATAAAAAATTTCTCAGAGGCCTGCCTCTGCCGCGTATGAGGACCTTCTTCCATCAATCAATTTTCATGGCAATTTTTCATTATTCTATTAGAGGCGTAAAACGATTGGCACCATTTTGTTATTGCATGGTCTGATATTAGTGCTTCTAAAATTCATCCAAAAATTTGATCAACGCACCCATCATTTGAGTTTTAAGAAGTTTTCACATTAATTTCTCTCCACTCTCCTATAGTTTAGACTATCGTATATACTCAAAAAGAAAAAAAAGTTTTTGCACTTTCCCCACTTTGAAATTGGGCCTGAAATGGCATTGTTTGGGCCTGAATACACCAAACAATTTTATTGAGATCTTAAGCCACATACTATTCAAAGCTTTTAACCTTGCATGCCATAGTTATTGCTCTCAATGTCATAATCAAGTAAAAATCTTACACCACCAAAATCATTTGATTTTCCCTCACGGGATGTCCCTCCAAAAACCCACTTTTTCTCAAGAAAAGTATTGGCTCCCATTTCATCGTCCAAACCCACCACAAGCAGAACCCACGTACCTTCTAATTTTCCCACTTTTTGTGAAGACACCTAAAAAATACACAAGGAACAAGCTTCCAACAAAATATCAAATATAAAGAACTTATGAGACTTAACATGAAAACTAGTCCAAGAACTAAGTCTTAGTTTCACTCTAGCATCAGCAGAAGCAAAATGGATCCGAGACCACCTTCTCCAAGTTTCCTCAACTCACATTTTATTGATATCCATGAAGTCTTGCCAGAAGAAGACGAAGAAGAAGAAGAAGAAGAAGCAGAAGAAGGGAGTATTAGCAGAGAGAACCCATTTAGCAGAACCATTAAAATCAATAGAGAGTTGAAGAGAAGTGATGGGAGTTTCAATAGGCAAGTTTCACTGGAAACTGGATTTTCAGTGCTTAAAAAAGAGTCCAAGGCTAAAGATGAGAAGAGGGTTAATCTGCCCAGGAGTGGAAGAAGTTTCGGAGGCTTCGATTCGAGTAGCAGGCTTGGCATGGAAGGAAGGAAAGGAGACTTCAGTATTTTCAAGACCAAATCATCAACTCTGAGTAAGCCGAACTCTGTGTTGCCATCAAAGAAGGAAAGAGATCAGATGGAGTCTCAGAGGACAACTGATGGCAATGGAGAAGGACTTGATGAATCTGTTAATCACAGTGTTCCTGCTGGGAGATACTTTGCTGCGCTTAGAGGACCTGAACTTGACCAAGTCAAGGTAACACACTGATCAAAGCAGGTTCCAATGTCTAGTGTTGAACTAATTGTTCCAACATTTTCATATGTTAATATAATTTTACTCATTTGATAGAAGTTATTCGAAATCGCTTTCAGTCATTTTTTAGATATCCGACTCGTTATGTTGCCAAATTGTCAATCTAACATCATACATTTAAATCAGAATCAGCCTCTTCAATGACTCAAATTAACACTGTGAAAACATATCATATCAAATTATAGAGCAAGAGAACAATATCTGTATATGTATATTGATCACTATTATTTACCAGATTTATCTTAACTAATTAATTTATGAGTTACTATATGGTTTGCAGGATAATGAGGATATTCTCCTCCCAAAAGATGAGAAATGGCCCTTTCTCCTCAGATTTCCAATTGGATGCTTTGGTATTTGTCTTGGCCTTAGCAGCCAAGCTGTGTTATGGCATGCCCTGGCCACCAGCCCAGCCACCAAGTTTCTCAATATCTCACCCTTCATAAACCTTGCCCTCTGGTTATTAGCAGTGCCAGTCCTGCTCTGTGTCTCCTTCACCTACATCCTCAAATGCATCTTCTACTTTGAAGCAGTGAAAAGAGAGTACTTCCACCCGGTTCGGGTCAACTTCTTTTTTGCTCCTTGGGTTGCCTGCATGTTCTTAACCCTTGGTGTACCACCTGCAATAGCCCCAGAAAAATTTCAACCTTTCATTTGGTGCACTTTCGTGGCACCCTATTTTCTTCTTGAGCTAAAGATCTATGGACAGTGGCTTTCAGGTGGGAAGAGAAGGCTTTGTAAGGTTGCCAATCCATCTTCTCATCTCTCAGTAGTTGGGAATTTTGTCGGGGCAATTTTGGCTGCCAAGGCTGGGTGGGATGAGGCTGCCAAGTTTTTGTGGGCAGTTGGCTTTGCACACTATCTTGTGGTTTTTGTGACTTTGTATCAGAGATTGCCTACTAGTGAAGCATTGCCTAAGGAGCTACACCCTGTGTATTCCATGTTCATCGCAGCCCCGTCAGCTGCAAGCATTGCTTGGGAAACTATTTACGGGGAGTTTGACGGGGTGTCGCGGACCTGCTACTTCATTGCATTGTTTCTGTATGTTTCACTGGTCGTAAGGATCAATTTCTTCACAGGGTTTAGGTAAGCTACTCCTTTGTTTTACATGTTATGTTATCAAACTATTAATCATGACTGGACATTGAAACATAATTTCATCTAACTAATAGCTCATCCTTTTGTAGATTTCCAGTGGCTTGGTGGTCTTACACCTTTCCGATGACAACTTTCTCAGTAGCCACCATCAAGTATGCAGAACAAGTACCGTCAGTTGGAAGCAAGGGCCTTGCAGTTACTCTCTCTCTCATGTCATCTGCTATGGTGTCAGTATTGTTCATGTGCACGCTTCTTCATGCCTTTGTTTGGCACACATTGTTTCCAAACGATCTTGCCATTGCCATAACAAAGAGAAGACTTGGCAAAGAGAAGAAACCCTTCAAAAGAGCCTATGATATAAAGCGCTGGACAAAGCAGGCTCTAACCAAGCACAATTTGATAACCAAGGATTTTGATGGAGGGAAAGAAGAGGGCTAGAGAGAGAGAGAGAGAGATCAGCAGTTAAATGGAAATTACATATAAAGTTCTATAATTGTTTTTCAACATATCATCCTATTGAGCACATAACTGCAAATTGTGTATATTCTTTGACGAATCGCAATTACATGTGTCTGGGTGCCACTAAAGGAAAATGTTGTAAGTAAGAGGTGGCCTTAACAGCTATACAACACCGGCCTTCGACATATTTATTCGATTTCAACTGAAATCAATTGGAGAAATGCAAAAAAAGTTGCTGGTTTTACATATATCAGAAAGAACACCAGCCATTGTGGATTTTCCATTTACAACAGAAGGAAGGGCTTCATAATCTTTCCAAAGAGTTGTGCAATCATCGGTCGAAAACATATTTTTACCGGTCTTTCATTTTGACAGCAGATAACCAAATTTGATGCCCCTGTAGGCTATTTCAGAACTTTGTGCTCCTTCACTTTCAACGGACGCCAAAACTCCTGCAGCAATTTCAGGGACAATAATTGAATAAGAAAAATATAGAAATGAGAATAGCATCAATTATCCATCATTCAGCTGGCACACCTCATCCTCAATTTGTTATCAACATCAGTGGTGCACCTGTCACCCCCATATTGAGCCTGCTTTGCACCAAACAGAGAAGGTTTTTCTTTGACCATTATCTACAAGAGGATGTGAGACCACATGCATAGAAGATGAGAGAAGGAATTAAACGAATCTCAAGCACTCATAAGGACCAAAAATAAATAAGCGATGAAGATTATATTAACAATCAGTTCTATAAGGTACTTTACCTTGTGTTCTGGTTGGAAAAAATTCGATCTATTTTCTTTTGAGTCCTTATGCCAAAAAAAAACCAAATAACTCAATAGTTACTAAGGAACGTGAATTCTAATCAATAGTATATGTTTGACATTTAATGAATGGGGAACAAGGATAACCTTCATAGATAAAGATGTAGGCTGAGACACTTTCAACCGTGATCCATTCTTTGGCTGGAGCTCAGATGTCAAAGACAGCTAGGATTCAACCAAAGAACAAATGAGAATTACAGGCATGTAAAGTTATGGAAATGGTAATATGGTTACAATATAGGAACAATAAGAGAGAATTACTACAAAAGGGATACAAAGAACTACAAAAACTTGTCAGCATCTACCTTACTGAAGAGATCCGTTGGTGGAAACTGCTGATTTTTCCTCTCTGTCTGAAAATTAAATTCCTTTATATGAAACAAAAACATGCTGTTAGCTTAGATGATGTTGACAACTGGGAAATATAAACAATATGTTGTCACTAAGCAATATGATAACATCTTTGAGCTACCATTGGTACAGTGGTTTCCCGCTTGTTATTCCAGAAAACACCAATATCTCCTTTGCTAGATAAAATCTGCACTAAGATAGGAAATAATCCCATAGTTGGTATCTGCTAGAATGAATATCTAGTAAATTAGCAGTAAAACATTACCTTTTTATTAAGAGGACGAGCTTTGAATTTTTGCATTACTTCATTTCCATCCTGCTTGGGACCATCCACCGTACTTGGTCTAATCAAAGTAGATCCCAGAGTAAGAACTAATTTTCAGTTATACTAAAACATTGGAAAATGTAAACTGAGCATTCCTTTTTCTCATGTGGACTAAATGTGAACTGGGCATTCCTTTTTTCTCATGTTGACTTTGGTTTAAAAGATTCTTTCTGTTATTACCTTCTAGATTCTCTGTTTCCATTTTCTGCAACAGTAGAAATACTACGTTTGTCCAAACCCTGCAAAATGGACAATAATAATCATGATTCCATTAAAAAAATTTGGGCACAAGGTTTCACATTTGACAGTAGGGATCACTTTGACTTCAGATAACAGTGAAAACTACTTAATGAAAATAACAGCTAACCTTCTCAGGATCATTGAAACAATGTGAGGATGATGAAACAGCAGATGTATTTTGCATGGCCCTTTCCATTGTCTTGAGGTGAAATTCCTAAGAAGAAACGTAACAAAGGGATTCTGACCCACAAGACTCCAAAACAAAATTATTTATATAGAACCTTCTTCTTTATTTCGTTTCAGTTTGAGCTACAGAAGTCATTATCTTCCAAGCCACTGGTGCAGAGATTATGTTAAGAACAAGCAAATTATAAAATATCAAACACTCACTTGAAATTCTGGCAACTTTGGAGTGCTCCTTGTTGGGAGTGGCAATGAAGGAGCCTCGAAAATCTGCAGTTTAGAAACAGAAAATTGAGGGAAGAATGACAGTGAAAACACTATTCAAATCCCGATTTAATAACTTTAAGTACCAACTTTTCGGTTCAATGGACGAGCTTTGAATTTTCGATGAGCTGATGTCACTTGTTCTAGCACGGACACATTCTTAGGCCTGAAATATAAACATATAATGACTACCTTGCAGACTGGTAAATAAAGCTATGTGCTTTGTGCCCTGATAGAATGAACTCACCTTATCCTATGTGCCCTATATGCTGTTTCAAGGTCTGGCTCTCTTGGAATAGTAAGTCTCAACTTGGCATGTGCAGTGGTTTTATCAAAAGTTTCATCCTGAAATACCAACGCATAAATATTGTAATTTTATAAACTTTACTGATAACTTGGGCGGATCTCTTATTTAGTACATTATCTTTGTACAACACTATAGGCCATCTTCAGTTCCCTTTTATGTATCACTTCAGCAATCTAAGAACAAAATCACAAGTAAGAAATATGGAAGACTTATGACACCCAGAATTACATTAAAGACTTCGCTAACAATGTAAAATGTTCTGAAATACAGGTAGCAGTTGCATTTTGACAAAGGTAAATTGATCGAAAGTTTCAATTTGGGAGGACAGTTTTTGGCATAACCTTTAGTGTTATTGGATGTAATTTTGGCAAGGCTTGGGTCACAGTTAGCCACACAAACAAAAGCTGTTGGTTTATCGGAAGCATGATTTCATAAATAAAATCACAAATTTCAGAATTTGCGAAGTTTTAGGCATTACTTATCAAACAAATACTGGACAAATCTAAAAAAATTTTTTTTTTTTTTTTTTTTTTTTGTGGGAAAATAAAACACCAAGCAGTAGGTAGAATACCTTTTTAGGCACCTTGTGAACCAAATTAGCTTGCTGCTTTGTGTCAGTAACCTGAAATGCAGAAAAAAGAATGATGCTCAATTCAAAGGAACCACTAGTTCAAAAACCAAGTGTAAATTTTCTATCCAATTTTAGATACATATGAATTTACAGTAAGTCAAAAGCACACCTGACTTAAATAACTATTTAGATTTTAAATGAGAATAATACACATTCAAAAGAACATACTCATCATGCGGTAAGTACTGGTTCAAGTGTGTGTAACGGAAGAATACTGATCCAAGTTCTATAGAAAGACGATAAATTTTTGGAATATCCTCAATACAAATTACTGATAGACTAGTAAAACTTACATACCTTACGCAAATGACCTCCATCTAGCTTTTGCCTCTTGGCAGCTTGACTTTCAACCCCAGAAGAACTACATAAGCTCTTCTCGTTGTTTTCAAAATGCAGCATCTGAAATCTAACAGTGACGTAATAAAACATCAGAATGCGGTCAGTATGGGACGTAAGGGTAATCATTTGGGTATACAGGACATAGAATGCAGGGATTTATCATATTGAATTAAATACTTTATTGGACAGAGTAATGCCCAACTTAACAACCCCAGTAGCATTTTCACAAATAAGAACCCCACCTAGAATATCTGGGGTGAGAAAGTAACTTAATGAAAACTATGCTGGTATGCATAGATGCAGAACATTCTGAATTACCTGGAACCGCCAATTTGAGGTTTCAGATTTTGCTTAGCGAGCTGACTTGCCGTAGGTTTCATCAAAGTTGAGCTCCTGGGGAAAGATGGCTTTACAGAAGATTTACTTTTACCTTTTAGCTTATCACCGGCTAAGTGATTGTAGAATGTCATTCCTGGAAAACAATTATATAAATTAAAGAGGGAGAAAAAACCTAAAAACAAAAGATACATTATGTTGGACCCATGGAATAACTTAATCATAGTTCATGATAACATCGTACTCAATATTTGTGTAAAGCTTAATTTCAGCTGAAAGTCTTCAGATTTTAAAATAGGTACAGTAAAATTAATCATGAATAACGTATGTTGCAAAATATAAGTATTCACTAAATCATTATATCATGCTCTTAATTTATTCGGAAACCATTTGGGAAATCCATTAGTGAACACAGTACTCACAAAGGTATCAGAATGATCACCTGTACCCGTTCCATGTGGTTGATTTAGAACTTTTTGTAAATTTCCAAATATCCCTCTATTCATTCCTCCGCAATCTAGAAAATAGACACATTACATTTCAAAATTTAGACTTCAAACCAAGACAAAGATGCTCAAAAGACTTTGCTTTCTAAATCCTGCCTCTCCACCAGGCACAAACCAAGAAGTTTGATCGATACCTCTGTTATTTACATCCATTGCACATACTTCTTCGCCCCCACCCATATCACACTCGCCGTCATTTGTATTCTCCACGGCTCTGGATTTTGGGGAGATGTTTACATTTTCCCGGAGGATGTCCGCTCCTAGTACTAACCTTGTCACAAAAGCTGAAACAGATAAAAATGGCATAAGCTTGGTAGTTTTTCCCTTCTATCCAATATATATAACTTCATGCATTGCTAAAATTCCTTAAACCACAGATATCTGTTTTGAATAAGGTTATGTATCACAGAGTAAAATCAATTTTTGAAAAGAAAAAAAAAATAGAGTAAATATATCACCAAAATAATCACTTTCAAATGGAATTGTCGGAATATAGATACAACATTGAAAAGAATCATTTTTTAATTTTAGCAAAGAAGAATGCTAGGGTTTGTAAATGCTTTAAAAAATGGATAAAGCCGAGCTTACTATAGCTCAACTTAATCAAACGCACAAAAATATTCAAGAAGAAATAGTTCCAAAAATATAAATTTCAAGAAAACGTGTCGTCTAAGGTAGAGAAGCTCACGAGACGGCGGGTAGCTCTTGGCAGACTCGAACCAGAGCTCGGCTCGGCGAGCCTCCGCCGGAGTTTCCTCTCTGGTGAAGTTAAAGCACCGAGCGGCGTCGAACTCGTAGTCAATGTCAACTTCTTGAGCCAAAAACACTTGCTCAACCTCCATTTCCATTCCCTCTCTCTCTTTCTCTCTCTTCCACTTTCACTCTCTACAATGCACCACAACCAGGGCCAAAGAGCATGGATCCAATCACCGAAAAGCTCTAATTCGGGACTCAGAGCTCAGAACCCGACCTGCTAAAGCCCTAAATCTGGAGGTTTCGGCTCCGTTTTGTAGCAGCAGCCAGAGAGAGAGAGCAAGTTCCGCTCACCGCACTGTGGCACCACCGGTATAAAAAATTTGTAACCGAAATTTAAGCGCAAGGTACAAGGGGTCAAAAGCGCAAGGCCGTAGGGTGCAAGCGCTTTAAAGCCGGCAGAGTGCGTTTTGCAGGAGCGTTAGGCCTTTGGACATATGCCAGGCTTCTCTTTTTGTTTTGTAGCGTCGAAGTTTTTTGTAACGATCCGCAAAATTTGAACTTATGGCCCTGGAGAATTTATATATTATTATTTTTCATTGGGATTTGGATTGGCGAATGTGCCCCTGGGGTTTTTGGGGAATTGCGAGCTGTTTGGGTTTGAAATTTGAATAGAGTGGTGGATAAGAGCGTCATTTCGGTTGTGTCCTTCGACTGAGGGGCAGTGTTATCGGCTTTTGCGCTCTGTTTCGGGTGGCGAAATCCTGTCTACGACTCTGAAATTTCGGCGCGTCTTCAGTATGCCCTTCGGGTTTCGTGGAATTGCAAGATTGTCCCTAACGGTAGTGTTTGTTTGTGAGGTCATATAGAGGGAAAAATGGGGCCCCTCTTTTCACAGGTTAAAATAAGACTGTGATCAAAGGGCAAGATAGGCAATATCAGAATTTGGTGCTGCAAATTGTATTGTGAAGTTCTTTTCATCTAGGTGTCCAATACCTCCAGATTCAGAACTTAACTCAAACTTAATTAAGGTTTAAATATGGTAATAAACTCATATCAACTCATTACAAATATATATTGTCATCGTTGTTTATGTGAATTTTATGTAAAGGACCCACTAATATAGTAGTTTGGAGTACTTGCTCTTTCAGAAAAGGTCATTTGTTTGAGTTCTAGCATCCGTGCAATATGCGTAAGTTTAATATACTATCGCTCCAATGAATAAAAAAATCCCAAAAAAATAAAAAACTACTAAATGACCTGAGATTTTGTCTAATAAAATGACGAAAGATACCGCTAAATCAAAGCCCGGTCGGTCACTATGTCTCTTCAATTATGTGATTTGATAGTTTGTCTTTCACAAAACAAAATATTTATAGGCACCTCTTTGTCAAAGAGGAAATCATAAATGTAGACTTTATGGCCATAATGAAGTGTATATGCAAATCTTAGTCCAATATTCCCAATGAGGAAAATTCAACACACAGCACAATACAATGTCACACCAAAAAGAGGATGTCATAAACTTGGGATTTTGAATCAAGACACAAATTGAGTAGATTATTTTTGTGTAAAAGATTTAAAATGCAACACCAACCAGGCAAAGTCGAACATTGTTTGTGCTTATGTAGTTCCTATACAGGAGGTGACTTGGTCATGGGTGCCTAGGAGTGCAAATCATGCGGCTCATGCATCAGCGTTGCTAGGTAACAGAGCTATGGAACCGTAAAGTTGGATTGACAGACCACCATTGTCTCTCGTTGGGGTGTTAACTTATGATGGTTTGCCTTGTCCACTGCATGTTGCATCTACTGTTTAGTTTTAATTCCTATTAGTAGTTAGTCTGCTGGGTAGGGACTGTTGTTCTAGGCTCCGATGGAATCTAGCTATGTCTGACCCTGCTTTTGTTAGTTTGTTCTTGTGTTCTGCTGGCTCTTTGTGGCTTTTGCCTTCTGTTTGTATCTTTATTCCCTGTTTTGGGGTTTTTTTGAATACAAGATGAATTTCAGACCCAAACAAAAATGTAGTTACTATACACAAAATTGTGTACAGATTACTGTCCTTGATCTGAACAAATTAAAATATGGGTCCATCGATCACTGAGGAAAGAATTGAATGCGCATTTGAGGTGCTTGTACTGGTCTATAGCATCCGAGGCTTTTCTAATTGAATGGGAAGATTACTTGGTAGCTCAAAGTTTCAGAGATGTGACAGAAAATATAAATGATAACCATTTATTTTTTTATTTTCTTTTTCTCGTTCATCAATTCAATATGGGATTTTTTCCACATTGGATGCCTTTCCTTCACCTAACTTGTACTTTGCATCAACTAAGAACATACAACCTGGTTCTGAAGCAAACGGTGGAAGATGGCCTCATGTGCACAGGTGCTTTTCTTTGTGGACATAATGGCCTAAATTTGGGTATGGGGCTGGGGCTCTGGGGAGCAATCAGCTTTTCAAACGTGCCCGACATTTGACAAGATGCAGCTTAGGCTGTAAGTAGCCTACAGTAGCATCCATCATATATTAGATTTTGCTAAGGTCCATAATGCAATAATATATGGTCACTCGTTAACACAGGGTTAAATGATTAATTCACCACCCAAGACAAGAATTCTGAAATTGTTTAAGAGAGTATGTGGATTCCAAGAAAAACTTGCATAAACCACCTATATACACCGGTTGTAGGTAAGTTTTTCTCGTTGTTTCTTCGCTGTTGAATAATTATATATTTATTTTCTAAATCTAAAGTTGTATGCATATATATAATTGTAGGGGCTGGACATTCGGACCGGAAACTAATCAAACTGATTGAACCAAACTGATTGGCTTGATTAGTTTGTTTTTTTGTTCTTTTAATTCCAGTTATAAACCGAATTGGACCGGCTCGATTCCGGCCTCCTAGTGCGGCTCGTTTCGGTTGCCTCGTCCCTACATAATTGTACCAAAAAATTACTACCTATAATCCTAAATTCTTTTTATTTGGCCATTAATTACTTTCTTTTTAAAATAAAATCCATGACCAATGACCATGATGACAATCAGCTTCTCTCAGTCTCAAGAATCACTACACATTATACTCTCAAGAGGCATTCTGAGGTGTGGAGGAAAATGATCATGTAATTTGCAATTACCATTAAATATATTCTTGCTATTTACACTTTCGAGTAAATTTTATTTTTATTACCTTTTGAACTTTGACCCCTGGGACAGTTTGAATGTTTTCTCCAAATTTATCTGATTGATCAGTGTAGTTTTGCGGCTCTCGGACCTTTTTCCCCTCTCTCTGGACTTGTTATTTTGTCAGCTTCACTTTCATAGCTTTATTCCGTCTTCTCTTTGGTCCATCAATCTTTGTGCACATCTTCTCATTTCAAAATGTAACTTTGTTTTCTCTTTTTCTTTTTCTTTTTGGCAAGCCCAAGAGGAAAAAAAAAAACTAACAAAGAGCACTTGGAGGTAAAGTCCGACTTAAGCTAGCATCATGCAAAATATGCTCCAGAGAAGAAGGCACAAGCACAAGTGGCGGATCCAGCATCTTGTCAAAGTGTGGGCATAAATATTATATAATAATATAATAATATTTATTTGTGTAACAATATTATATATTTATATAACTATTTATTTTATAAACACAAAATGCATGTGCGAGAGAGGACAAACTAAGTCATTTCTTGAACTGGGTCTTGATATTTTGTCAATTTTGAGGCCATGATATTTTGAATATGAGAAATTTGGGTTAAAATCTTGAAGGTTTTATTTATTTGTTGACCAAATGTCTTATTTATGGTAGCCTACATGGTTGAAGAAGAAATTAAGTGTAGGCAGCTACCCACACTAGGCTCTATGTAGGTCCGCCAGCTGCACAACATCAAAACTATGCAAACCCGAAGATAAATTGTGACCCATAGCAGCAAGGTGATCAACAGCACGATTCTGTTCTGTGTCCACATGTGACAAGCGATATAACCAATCCTTTCCCAGAAGCTCTTTACAACCATTAATTAAACTGAACAGGGAATGTGAGTCCGCTACATCATATGTGCTCATATGAGCTTGAGGGTCACATTCAATCTCAAGTAATCTGCAGCATTCATTCCATGCAAGGTGTAACCCACGGAAAAGGCCCCATAACTCAGCTTCCATGACAGTACCAGAACCGAGATTAACAACAAAGCCTTTGATCCAATTGCCATTAAAACTCAAAATAAAGTCATCGACTCATCGTGCATGTTTACGTGATTCACAGAGTCTATGGTTACAAGGTTTAAAACCCCAATAATCAAATCTAAGCTTCAACTCATGAACAAAAAAACCTATAATTTTTGCAACTTGGAAGTTATTGGCTCGTTTGACGGATTAGACTATAAGTGCCGATGGAATGAAATTATAAGGGACAAAAATGAAAAAGTAAAAGGTAAAAGGACCAAAATGAAAATCCGGATAAATTATAGGCATTTAATGTTTTTGTTTGTTTCTTTTACAATTCATTTGTCTTCTTTTGGCGTGGGATTTTTCCTTTTTAGCAATATATCCAATTTCATTCCATCCAATTCTTATGAATTCTCCTTAATTTAATTTTCAGTTATAGATGGGTTAAGGGATATTTGTTGAAATGTCACCTGAACTTATACCTTAGTTTTAATTTGTCACCTGAAAAAAATTTTTTTAAGAGAAATGTCACCTAAACTTTTCAAAATCTATAATTTGTCATCTGACTTTAACATCATCCAATTTTCCATCCATAATTAAGGGTATTTTAGTCTTTTCATTTTAGAGTGTTTACAAATAAAAAAAATCATTATACAAGCCTTTCCTACCAAACATTAAAAGATTTTAAAATGCATTTTTTTCCATCCCCCTTGTCGTCTCTCTCTATTCTCCCTCCCTCCCCAACCACACCTCCCCTCTCCTCTGTTTTTTTTTCACCCCAAAAGACCTGAGCATGGAAGGGATGGGCTGCCATATCTGCCAAGCTGCAATCAAAACCACACCTCCCCTCTCCTCTATTTCTCTGTATAGTTACAGGAGGTATGGTGGGAATTTCTTCGTGAATTTGTTGGGGAAGTGGTAGGAGTCTAAATATTTCATTTAGGTGATCCAGTTGGTGGTCTTGCCTACTATGTCATTGCTCCATCAAGGTGATCCAGCACATTGATTGCTTTACCTTTTAAATCTTCTTTGCCGTTTCTTATTCATTTAGTTTGCAAAAGAATTTACAAGAATCACTTATTCATTTTTCTGTCAATGTGGTTTTGATTGCAGCTTGGCAGATATGGCAGCCCATCCCTTCTATGCTCAGGTCTTGGAGGGAGAAAATAAATAGAGGAGAGGGGAGGTGTGGTTGGGGAGGGAGGGAGAATAGAGAGATGACAGGGGATGGAAAAAAAAATGCATTTTTTAATTTTTAAATTTTTAATTTTTTAATTTTTTAATGTTTGGTAGGAAAATGAAAAATGAAAAGACTAAAATACCCTTAATTATGGATGGAAAATTGGATGATGTTAAAGTCAGATGACAAATTATAGATTTTGAAAAATTTAGGTGACATTTCTCTTAAATTTTTTGTTCAGATGACAAATTGAAACTAATGTATAAGTTCAAGTGACATTTCAACAAATATCCCATGGATTAATGTACCCATTCTTTTAAATTCAAAATTACTATGTGCCTATTTGTAATTGTATTTGCAAATATATGTAAATCATTGTATTTAAAAATATAGGTAAATTAGTATACATACGAATACACTTACATTAATGTATAAAATAAAATAAAAAAGTCTTAGTGAAAAAACAAAAAGAATTATAGGTAAATAATTTACTTATATAATCTGGGCAAATTAAGGACTTGAAAAATATAAGTGCGTATAGATAAATAGTGCACCTATATATTTTTTTACCTATCTAATATGAACGTAAATAATGTACCTATCTTTCTTTTTAGTTTATAAATTATGCACTTACTTTTTTATATCTAAATAATGCACCTCTTTTTTTCTACATGAATATGTATCTATCTTTTTTCTTTTTTCTTTTTCCGAATGTGTGCCTATCTATTTACCTATCATGTATTAGATATGCAGGTTTTTTTTTGGGCTTATATCACCATAATTTTCCGATGGACAATTACCTGATCAATACTTTTTAAGCAAAAAGATTAATTTGTATGAGGCATATTTTCATTGTTTGTTTGGCTATATTATTATTATTGTACATATGTATTAGATGTATTATTATTTATGTATATTGGTGTGGTCATTGAATATTTTTGGCTGAAACGTCTTCTTATTGAATAGGTTCCCCCAAAATTAAAGGGAATTAAATAAATGCTAAAAATAAGGGATTGACAAGTAAGATAGAGAGTAATGCTACACTTACCACATTTTTATCCCACATTTCTATACTACATAATGTGACATGTTCATATCATATGCCACATCAATTAAATCAATGAAGTGTATTTTAATTAAGGCAATTAGAAAAACAAATACTAGAATAACTCATAAAAGAAAAGAAAATATTAAATAATTTTAATTGATGTAGATGTCCACCTCAACTGCCACATAAGATGGTATAAAGATATGGTATAAAAATGTGGTAAGAGTAGCATTATTCTAAGATGGATGACATAGTTTGTAAATATTTTATAATACTAGGACAATTATTAACCTACATTCAAATTTAGGTTTTTCATAGAAGTTAATAAATAGGAGAGTTTATGTCTAGAATATAAGAGTTATAAGGGTCTATCTCACAAATGCTTTTATTTTCCAATCTAGATACTTTATAGGCCAGCCCAAGGTTTCAAATCCTTGGCCTAAGCCTTACTCAATCTTAGAGCGAGCTTGGCCAATCGGGCCTAAACATTGGGTCTCGCCTTGCGTTACATGATTTTAAAAGGAACCATGTTGCAATGGACAAAAATGTTGTCAATTGTTAGCAATCTCCTCTTGTGCACGGTAATCTCTTTCGCAACCTTCTCACGGTTCTCGCCTTCCAAATTTGGAAATCGTTTCACCGCTTTCATAAGCTTTTACAAAACATTGTGAACAGCCTCCTATATGGCTTTTTCTGGCCAGCTAGACGAGCTCAAAAGAGAAGGGTCGTGGATTAGCCCAATGCTTTGAATCCTTGGCCCAAGCTCTACCCAATCTTAGAACGGGTCGGGCCGATCCAGCTTAAACATCACTTCACTTCTACTCTCTACAAATATAGTTGGGTTTAAGCAAGCATTTCCCCACTAATTACAAGCATACGAATTCTACTGTCCCACTTAGTATGATATCAAAAATATGTTCCCTAATGGTATTAAAACATATAGACTACTCCTCATAATGGTCAGGGGCCACATAAGCTTCAAGCTGACAAGTCTTGGCTTTGGAGACGAACTCAATCTTTGTCTCAGTAGGAAGCTTGCCATCCGCAGTTACTCTGTCTCTTCACTCAGTTCCACTGACCAATGTTGTGACAACAAGTACCTCATCAAATTCGTGGACAAAGATGTTGTCCATAGCAAGGAGCCTCATCTAATTCCAGGGGATCTCTTTCTCGACATGGAAGTTATCAGCTCATTCGACGTATTGGATTAACAGTACCCACAAATGATGATAGTAGTTGATTAATTTGTAAAAAGAGAGTGGAAGTTTTTAAATCTAATTTTATGTTGAAATGTAACTTTACATCCATCCTTAACTAGTTGTATCATAGTGTTATTGTGAATCTATATGATCCAAATAATAACATATTGAATTGAACACAAAGAGTGAGTGTAGGGATGCCATAAATCCAAATAATAACACATAGCGAGAAGTGACCTATATGGGTTTTTTCTAACGTTAACATGTCTTTTGCTATATATGGCGCCCTTATCGCAAGATATTTTCAAGAAGCTGATAAAGGCATTGAAACGAGTACCAAAATTGGAAGGAAAAAAATAATGAGAAGGTAGTACAAGAGATCTCCTCGCACAAGAAGAGGATGCTCTCAATTGACATCATATTTTTGGCTCGGTTAGCCGAATTGCTTTTTGTGGTGGACTTGGTTCGTGGATCCAATTTGGGAGGAAAAATTATAGTAGATGAGAAACTAGCTGTTAAGAAAGGAGGAGTTGGTCGCCCAAGCAGAAGTCGTCACTTTAAGGTTGAGATGACGCCTACCCACTATAAGAAGTAAAGCAATAAAAGTCCATCATTATTTGAACATATATTTTAAATATCAGAATATGTATAAACATATTTTAGTATTCTCATAACATATATTTTTAATTTCTTAGTAGGTGGATGTTTAGTGTTTGTAACTAAATGGTGTTTTCACAACATATAGATGAACTTGATGCTTTTGGTGTTTGTAACTAAATGGTATTTTAATAACATATAGATGAAGATGTTGTCCATCAAAAAGAGCCTCCTCTAATTCCTGGCGATCTCTTTCGCGACCTGGAAGTTATGGGCTCATTTGATGGATTGGATTAACAGTACCCACGAACGATGATGGTAGTTGATTAAGTTGTAAAAAGAGAGGGGAAATTTTTAAATTTAGTTTCATGTCGAAATGTGAACTTTACATCCATGATTAACTGGTTGTATCACATTGTTATTGTGAATCTATATGATCCAAATAATAACACATGAATTGAACATTAAGGGTGAGCATAGGGATGATATAAATCCAAATAATAACACATTGCGAGTAGTGACTTGTATGGGCTTTTTCTAGCATTAACATGTCTTTTGCTACAGATGGCGCCCTTATCGCATGATAATCTTAAGAAGCTTATGAAGGCGGTGAAGCGATTTCCAAAATTGGAAGGAAAAAACAGTGAGAAGGTAGTACAAGAGGTCGCCTTGCACAAGAAGAGGTTGCTTGCAATGGACATCATTTTTGTGACGCAGTCAGCCAAATGAACTTTTGTGGTGGACTTGGTTCATGGAATCAATTGGGGAGGAAAAATTGTAGTAAACGGGAAATTAGCTTTCAAGACGAAAGAGTTGGTCGCCCAAGTAGAAGCTCATCACCTTAAGGTAAATGAAAGTATTTCTCTACTTTTTGTTTTGATGCGACAACTATTCAGAAATTGGATTGGGCACCGCTAACTGCTTTTGGTCCCAAATCTTTGGGTTTTTTTATTTTCCGATAATTGTGCATAGATACTTCCTTCTTCCCTTTTGGTAGGTTTTTCAGTCTTTCCTCTTTACGTTGGATATTGGTTTACTTTTATTGTGGAATATGAGTCTGATTATTTTTGTTGAATTCTTTGTTGATTTGATTCTATATAACCCATTTGCCAAATTCGCATTGCTATCTATAATCAAGAGTAGAGAGACGGAGTCAGCTACAAGCCTATATTTATGTTTTTACTCTGACAAACTGTTTATGGCTAAATGGCTGGATATTGCACTTGTGTTCTTTCATATCTTTGTGATTTTTTGGTAGGAACAAAAAACCAGAAAATCATAACGCTATATTAGTGTGTATATCATGAGAGTCTAAGGTAAATCCCATAGCCAACTACAAGCCCATAATTCTGTTTTTACTCTGACAAACTGTTTATGGCAAAATAGCTAGATTGAGCACTTGTGTGTTTTTTATATCATTCTGATTTTTTGGTAGGAACAAAAAATCAGAAAATCATAAGGCCATATTAGTGTATATATCATGAGAGTCTTGAAGTAAATCCCATAGTCTTGTGATTTTATGGTCTTTTTGGCTTTCATATATATATATAGAGACACACACACACACACACACACACACACACACACACACACACACACACAATTGCATACACTTAAATCCCATAATTCTGCATTCTCAAGTGCTAACGTTAACATGCCTTTTGATACAGATGGCACTCGTATCGCATGATACTCTGGTGAAGCTAATGAAAGCGGTGAAACGACTTCCAAAATTGAAAGGAAAAAGCAGTGAGAAGGTGGCAGAAGGGATCGCCTCGCACAAGAAGATCCTGATAGAAATGGACAGCATATTTGTGGAGCAGTCCGATGAACTGCTTTTCGTGGCGGAGCTAGTTCGTGGAACAAATTGGATAGGACAAACTACAATAGCCTCGAATATAGCTACCAAAAAGGCTATGTTAAACATGGGTTCGTACCCATTTAGCCATTTAGCTAAGAATATGGGACAAGTTTATTCATGGGCTTCAATTCACTTACCCTAAAAAAAATTATTTTCACTTTCCTATAAGAGCATCAGGGGGGGGGGGGGGGGGGGGGGGGGGGGGGGGGGGGGGGGGGGGTGGGATGTAAGTCACTTTTACACCCCCGGGGGCTTTATGTGCTTTTTTTTTATAACTCCAATAGGGAAGATGTAAATCCAAAGATGTATTTTTTACTCCAATAAGGAACATTTTGGGCCTTTGGATCAAGTTAACGTTAACATGCCTTTTGATACAAATGGCACCCATATCGCATGATACTTTGGAGAAGCTGATGAAGGCGTGTGAAAGGACTTCCAAAATTGAAACGAAAAAGTAGGGGCGTGTATTTTCAGGGATGTAAGGCCACTTTCCTATAAGAGCATCACCTTTACACCCTCGGGGACTTTATGTGCTTTTTTTTTTACTCCAATAGGGAAGATGTAAATCCAAATATGTATTTTTTACTCCAATAAGGAACATTTTTGGGCATTTGGATCAAGCTAACGTTAACATGCCGTTTGATACAGATGGCACCCGTATCGCATGATACTCTGGAGAAGCTGATGAAGGCGGTGAAACAACTTCTAAAATTGAAAGGAAAAAGCAGTGAGAAGGTGGCAGAAGAGATCACCTCGCACAAGAAGATCCTGATAGAAATGGACAACATATTTGTGGAGCAATCCAATGAATTGCTTTTTGTGGCAGAGCTGGTTCGTGGAACAAACTGGATAGGACAAACTGTAGTAGCCGCGAATATAGCTACTAAAAAGGCTATGTTAAACATGGGTTCATAGTGTACCAATTTAGTCAATTAGCTAATAATATGGGCAAAGTTTATTCATGGGTTCAATTCATTTACCCTAAAAAAAAATATTTTCACTTTCCTATAAGAGCATCACCAGTGGGGTGTGTATTTTCGGGGAAGTACGGCACTTTTACATCTCCTTTACAACCCCGAGGGGTTTATATGCTTTTTTTTACTCACATAGGGAAGATGTAAATCCAAAGATGTATTTTTTACTCAAATAAGGAACATTTTTGGGTCTTTGGATCAAGCCAACGTTAACATCTCCTTTACATCTCCTTTAAGAGCATCACCTTTACACCCTCGGGGACTTTATGTGCTTTTTTTTTTACTCCAATAGGGAAGATGTAAATCCAAATATGTATTTTTTACTCCAATAAGGAACATTTTCAGGGATGTAAGGCCACTTTCCTATAAGAGCATCACCTTTACACCCTCGGGGACTTTATGTGCTTTTTTTTTTACTCCAATAGGGAAGATGTAAATCCAAATATGTATTTTTTACTCCAATAAGGAACATTTTTGGGCATTTGGATCAAGCTAACGTTAACATGCCGTTTGATACAGATGGCACCCGTATCGCATGATACTCTGGAGAAGCTGATGAAGGCGGTGAAACAACTTCTAAAATTGAAAGGAAAAAGCAGTGAGAAGGTGGCAGAAGAGATCGCCTCGCACAAGAAGATCCTGATAGAAATGGACAACATATTTGTGGAGCAATCCAATGAATTGCTTTTTGTGGCAGAGCTGGTTCGTGGAACAAACTGGATAGGATAAACTGCAGTAGCCGCGAATATAGCTACTAAAAAGGCTATGTTAAACATGGGTTCATAGTGTACCAATTTAGTCAATTAGCTAATAATATGGGCCAAGTTTATTCATGGGTTCAATTCATTTACCCTAAAAATATATATTTTCACTTTCCTATAAGAGCATCACCAGTGGGGGGTGTATTTTCGGGGATGTAAGGCACTTTTACATCTCCTTTACAACCCCGAGGGGTTTATATGCTTTTTTTTACTAACATAGAGAAGATGTAAATCCAAAGATGTATTTTTTACTCAAATAAGGAACATTTTTGGGTCTTTGGATCAAGCTAACGTTAACATCTCCTTTACACCCCCAGGGGCTTTATGTGCTTTTTTTTTTACTCCAATAGGGAAGATGTAAATCCAAAGATGTATTTTTTACTCCAATATGGAACATTTTGGGGCCTTTGGATCAAGTTAACGTTAACATGCCTTTTGATACAGATGGCACCTGTATCGCATGATACTCTGGAGAAGCTGATGAAGGCGGTGAAACGACTTCCAAAATTGAAAGGAAAAAGTGGGGGCGTGTATTTTCAGGGATGTAAGGCCACTTTCCTATAAGAGCATCACCTTTACACCCTCGGGGACTTTATGTGCTTTTTTTTTACTCCAATAGGGAAGATGTAAATCGAAATATGTATTTTTTACTCCAATAAGGAACATTTTTGGGCATTTGGATCAAGCTAACGTTAACATGCCTTTTGATACAGATGGCACCCGTATCGCATGATACTCTGGAGAAGCTGATGAAGGCGGTGAAACGACTTCTAAAATTGAAAGGAAAAAGCAGTGAGAAGGTGGTAGAAGAGATCGCCTCGCACAAGAAGATCTTGATAGAAATGGACAACATATTTGTGGAGCAATCCAATGAATTACTTTTTGTGGTGGAGCTGGTTCGTGGAACAAACTGGATAGGACAAACTGCAGTAGCCGCGAATATAGCTACTAAAAAGGCTATGTTAAACATGGGTTCATAGTGTACCAATTTAGTCAATTAGCTAATAATATGGGCCAAGTTTATTCATGGGTTCAATTCATTTACCCTAAAAAAAAAAAATTTCACTTTCCTATAAGAGCATCACCAGTGGGGGGGTGTATTTTCGGGGATGTAAGGCACTTTTACATCTCCTTTACAACCCCGAGGGGTTTATATGCTTTTTTTTACTCAAATAGGGAAGATGTAAATCGAAAGATGTATTTTTTTTTCTCCAATAAGGAACATTTTTGGGTCTTTGGAGCTAACGTTAACATGCCTTTTGATATAGATGGCACCCATATCGCATGATACTCCGGTGAAGTTGATGAAGGCGGTGAAACGACTTCCAAAATTGAAAGGAAAAAGTAATGATAAGGTGGCAGAAGAGATCGCCTCACACAAAAAGATCCTGATAGAAATGGACAACATATTTGTGGAGCAGTCCGATGAATTGCTTTTTGTGGCAAAGCTAGTTCTTGGAACAAACTGGACATGACAAATTGCAGTAGGCGCGAATATAGCTACCAAAAAGGCTATGTTAAACATTGGTTCATAGTGTACCAATTTAGCCATTTAGCTAAGAATATGGGCCAAGTTTATTCATGGGCTTCAATTCATTTACCCTGAAAAAATTAGTTTCACTTTCCTATAAGAGCATCACCAGTAGGGGGTGTATTTTCGGGAATGTGAGGCCACTTTTACATCTCCTTTACACCCCCGTGGGGTTTATATGCTTTTTTATTTTTATTTTTTTTTATTTTATAATTCCAATAGGGAAGATGTAAATCTAAAGATGTATTTTTACTCCAATGAGGAACATTTTTGGGCCTTTGGATCAAGCTAACGTTAACATGCCTTTTGATACATATGGCACCCGTATCGCATGATACTTTGAAGCTGATGAAGGCGGTGAAACGACTTCCAAAATTGAAAGGAAAAAGCAGTGAGAAGGTGGCAGAAGAGATCGCCTCGCACAAGAAGATCCTGATAGAAATGGACAGCATATTTTTGTAGCAGTTTGATGAATTACTTTTTGTGGTGGAGCTGGTTCGTGGAACAAATTGGATATGACAAATTGCAGTAGTTGCGAATATAGCTACCAAAAAGGCTATGTTAAACATGGGTTCATAGTGTACCCATTTAGCCATTTAGCTAAGAATATGGGCCAAGTTTATTCATGGATTGATTATTCATGGGCTTCAATTCACTTACCCTAAAATAAATTATTTTCCCTTTCATATAAGAGCATCACCAGTGGGGGGGATGTATTTTCGAGGATGTAAGACCACTTTTACATATCTTTTACACCCCCGGGGGATTTATATGCTCTTTTTTTTACTCCAATAGGAAAGATGTAAATCCAAAGATGTATTTTTTACTCCAATAAGGAACATTTTTGGGCCTTTGGATCAATCTATCGTTGGGTTTGAATAGAATGAATCCTGGTTGTCCACTTGAAAGGAGAAATCATAGCCGTTAGATTTTGTAGGTGTTGGAATTTGTTTCCAAATTGAATCAAATATGGGCCCACCACAAGACTTTGTATGGCGAGTATTCTGTAGTTCCGCGTACTAGGCGAGTTGGAAGTGTGATTCAACTTTAACCCTCTATTTTGGGCTTCAATACACTTACCCTAAAAATAAATTATTTTTACTTTCCTATAAGCATATTATAGGCTAGCCATCATCTTTTTAATTATAAATTTGTAAGCTTATTAGTAATACTAACTTATGGACTCTAAATCACAACATGAGACATATATCAAAATGACTCACTGAAAGAAGTTAGTTTATGAACACATATCAATAAATAAATAGTTTTTACTCAATTATTGAAAAATTGAAAAAAAAACATAAGTGCGCATTCCAATTTCTAAAATCATTGTCACATCAAAAGAAAAGGTTAAGAAATTAAAAGATAAAGTTGTGTCTTGAAGTTTGTGTCACCGTTTTCATGTTTTTAGAAGAAAAAAAGTACATCTAATTTAGCAAAAAAAGTTCTTAGCAAAAAAAAGTTGGAGGAACTGACGGCATGAAGGTACAATTATGGAATGATTGGATAGGGGATTTGGTAATGATCAATGGGTTACACTATATCTGTGAGTTTCAATGCATCATGTGGTTTTGGCTTTGACCATATGTTACTCTTGCTACAAACCCAAGCCCTAGTCCGGAAGTGGCATAAGAGATTTATTTTTTATCCCCATTAGGGGGATTCGGTTGGGTGTCGCAGAGTTGTAAAAGAGAGATGGACCAGACTGTTTTCGGGGTCAAGGGGTCTACATAACTATTATTCAGCTCCCCCAAACATGCAATCCTAACTCCGCCCCTACCAATGGTGTTTGGGATTAAATATGGGTTCATAGTGTACCCATTTAGCTAAGAAGATTGGCCAAGTTTATTCATGAATTGATTATTCATTTGCTTTAGTACACTTACCATAGAAAAATTTATTTTAGTTTCCTATAAGAATATTATAGGCTAGCCATCATCCTTTTAATTATAAACTAGTAAGCATGTTTATTACTACTATTGGCAACACTAACCTATGAACTCTTAAGTCTCATATTACTATGGTCTCTACATCACAATATGAGACATACCAAAGTGACTAGCCACAAAAGATAATTTATGGGCAAATATAAAAAACAAATGTGTAAATAAAAAGTTTTTACTCAATTATCGAAAAATAAAAAAACACAAGTACTCAATCCAATTTCTGAAAAAGTTGTGACATCAAAGGAAAAACATAACTATTATTCGATGATGGTAGTTGATTAATTTGTAAAAAGAGACTGGAAGTTTTTAAATTTTATTTTATTTCGAAATGTGAACTTTACATTCATGATTAATTGGTTGTGTCATAGTGTTATTGTGAATCTATATGTGCATTCCAATTTCTGAAATAGTTGTCACATCAAAAGAAAATGTTGAGAAATTAAAAGATAAAACTGTGTCTTGAAGTTTGTGCCACCATTTTCATGTTTTTAGAAGAAAAAAAGTATATCTAATCTATCAAAAAGAGTTGGAGGAACAGACGGCAAGCAGGTGGAATTATGGAATGATTGGATAAGGGATTTGGTAATGATCAGTGGGTTATATTTTATCCGTTGGTTTCGATGCATCATGTGGTAGTGCCTAGCTTTGACCACATGTTACTCTTGCTACAAACCCAAGCCCCAGTTCGGAAATGGCGTAAGAAATTTATTTTTTTATCCCCGTTGGTGGGATTCGGTTGGGTGTCGAAGAGTAGTAGAAGAGAAATGAAGCAGATTATTTCCAAGGTCAAGGGGTCTACCAATTTCAGGGAAATTATGCTAAGGAAAGGTATCTTGGATTGGAGAAGAGAGGAATGAAGAAGTTATGAGGCTACTTTTGCACCTCTTACGACAACAATTAAAAGCTACTTATCTGGCTCCCGAATTCGATCGTGATGAAGTCATGCAGTTGGAGAGTATCCTTAAGGGGGATTTGTGGGAGGAAGAGGGGTACTGTAAACTTAAATCTAGAGTCTAATGGCTCAATAAAGGAGAGAAGAACACAATGTTTTTTTTTCACTCTAAGACGATTGTTTGACGACGTGCAAATAGGATGTTAGGCTTAGAAGATTCTGAAGGATGTTGATGCACGGATGATAGCGAAATTAAACCATTGATTATTTCTTATTTTCAGGAAATTTTTACCACATGCCCTCCCACGAATATTGAGTCTATTACTGATTGTGTTCAACTGCAGTTGACTTTGCAGCAGAATTCTTGCTTGGCGCGGCAAATTTCTTCTGAGGAGATTTGGCTAGCTATGAAATCTTTAAATCCTACAATGTCGCCGGGTCCATATGCTTTTACTGGGAGATTTTTTCAACAGTATTGGGACTTAATTGGTGAGGGTATTATTGGAATGGTAAGAACTTTTTTCATTCGGGGAGGCTCCATAGAGCTCTTAACCAAACGCATCTAGTCTTGATCCCGAAGGTTGCTATGCCAAGGAAGATGATACAATGGAGACCAATCGCTTTATGCAATTTGGTTTATAAAATTATATCCAAGATTTTAACAGCTAGGCTCAAAGCTCTGCTACCTGAGATCATTAGTCTCAACCAATTTGCCTTCACATTTTTTGTCCATCTCTTCAAGATATACTGAGCTGGGATACTTTTAACATTTCTTGTAGAAAGAATCTTCAAGGCATGTGCACATAAGATTTTTGCAAACTCAAACTTCTTACAACTACATAAAGTTACATTATTTGTTGAGTCAAGTGTAACTATATGTTGCCAATTCTTCCCATACGGGATAACTTCATGCTTGCTGATTGTTCCCATCTCATCATTGAAGTGCAAAGCACAATCATAAGCCTTACATAGCTCACCTTGAAACACTTTAAACACTTTCGGTGTATACACATTTGCTGCATGCTTCAATATCTCTACGGGAAACGACAACGTTGGGGAACTTTGACTTGCTTTAAATTCAGCTTTCAACTCTTCGTAACGACGATCTTCAACAAGCCTTTGAAAGTGTTGAAAAAATTTGAGCAAGTCATATTTGTAACTAACAAATTTTTTTATACAACTATTCATGCTTTCACTCCGCTGGGTAGTAGTAATATGTGCACAAAAAGTTTGTCGCCCATAAACTAACACCTATTTCTCCCTTATTTTAAACAAGCGACTCAAGCAATCATTGCCCACGAGAGTATATTTTTCAAGTATACTATTCCAAGCATTTAGAAAATCATGTTCATCCTCATAATCATATATGCAACTATTAAAATCTTTGCTAAAATCTTTGAACTTCTCAAAAACACCGCTAAGGTGTTTGGCTGCATTCTGATATATGTGCCAAATACATAAACGATGAGATGTTTCTAGCCATTTTAAAGCTAATGTTGCAAACATTGCTACATCTTGGTCTGTAAGAATGCTCTTTGGTTTTTTTCCAGACATAGCCTTCACAAAAGTATCAAACAACCACGTAAAAGTTTGAATTGTCTCATCATATAATAATGCGGCACCAAATATAATAGTTTGCTTATGGTGGTTGACACCAACAAACATTGCAAAATGTCTTCATTCTTTATTTTTTCTATAGGTAGTATCAAAACATACTACATCACCAAAATAATCATAATCTACCATCATCCTCGCATCAGCCCAAAAAAATATTAGTGATCAAATCATCTTCATCCACTTGTATAGCATTAAAAAAAAATTAGGATCATTCAATTGCATTTGTTGTAGATACTCTAACACACCACTTGTATCTCCTAACTTCATTTCTCTTGTTCGTTTTGAATGTAAGTAGTTGTAATCATTAGGAATAAATCCAAGAATTTCACGACGACCAGCTTGTTTACCTAAAATTTCAAGGGCTGCATTGTGAGCAATTCCTGAACTATCAACCATATCAACTTCAGCTATTTGTGCAAGAGTGATCTTCCTATGAGACCTAAACAAATGAGTCTTAGACGGACTTGTAGTCATATGGTTATGCTCATAAACAAATTCTATGACACGATACTTCTCATTCAAATGACAACTAATTTTCATCCTTGCTAAGCATCCACATCTTGTCTCAGCACGATGATATTTCACATTAGAAACACGCTTATCAATTTCACGCTTACCTTCAGCGAAGCAAATAAAAAGCCTGTCTCTCAACCGACCACTTTTGAATTTATGACAGCTACTTCTTCTAATACTAAAACCAATATGGTGTGCATATGCATTGTAAAATTTAAATGCTAAGTCTTCTATCTCAAACTCCATCTTAATCACATAAATTAGTTGTTTTCGAATGCTAGAATGAACCAAATCTATTTTTTCATTACTTTTCATAGCTTGTGATGACTTTTCATTGCTTTCACCTTCTGAAATGTTCAAGCTAGGGCTTGTTTCACCGTCTCCATCTTCCATACAATTATTTTCCATTCATATCCTTCAAAATTTGAATCAAACAAAATTTATACATCTAAAATATCTTCCATAACAATAAAAAAAATTACAATTAATTCAATAAAAATTAAACAGAGCTGAGTACTGTACAATCATATGTTCATATTAGTTATTGATGAAACTAGAAAATGGACGTAGATGAAAACCAAAACATCGAGCTCCAATCCCTTATATTTAATATCAGAAAAAGCAAACCAAAACACGCAAACTATAGGAAAAATTGTGAAAAGAAAAATCAATATATTTTATATTAGTTGTTACCGTAGATGAAAACGAAAAGTCATCACAAGATTGAAACCAAATGAATTGCATATTGGGTATATGATTGTCGCAAGTTATATGTTTATAAGTTTTTCATACGATGTTAAAAAACCAGCAATCAAAAAGCAGAAGAAAAAAACATGAAGAGCAGAGCTTGTTTACCTGATGAACCAGCAACCAACGAGCGAACTAGAAAAACAAACCATATGCAGGGGTTCAATTTCGTAGATCGGAGAAGATGAAGTGGTTGAGTTTTGCAGTGTAGAGAAGGTGTAGGGGTTGATGTGTAGCGTAGAAGATGAAACGGCCTGCAAAGTGTTTTTGTCAAACGTGTGTTCTAATATAATATATTTTAATTCTTTTAATTAAAGAAAAAATGCTAAAAAAGAGTTAACAGAGTTAAACTCCTATTAAGTTGTGTGCCACATATCACAAAACTAAGGACGAAAGATAGGAGCATAGGGACTTTGGTAAATTTTTTTACTTGTGGGGCCCACTTTGAAAGAAATCCCACAAGTAACATTAATTGTATGAATTTAATAGAAACTAGCCCCTTGGCACATGCTCACGCATGTGCCAATTTTTTTTTTTTTTTTTTTAGAAAATATAACATGGGTAGTTATGTTTCATAAAAGTAGGACCTATTATCTAATTTTTTTTTAATTAAAAAAATGTGAATTTACCATATTATTCTCATTTAATTAATAATTTCAATCTTAATGTTTGAATAACCAATGGCATTTTATGGTATTTTGAATGTTTCACCATTCAAAATATATATATATATATATATATTTTTTTTTGAATGTTTCATTTTATGGCCTTTTACTTTATATATATATATATAGAGAGAGAGAGAGAGAGAGAGAGAGAGAGATAATATTGCTTATTTATTTTTTTTAATACAAAATAGGGAAAGTTGGCATTTAAGGAACGCATATTAAATGTTAGAATTATATAAATGGCGCATTTTTGTTCATCACTTTAACCTAAGGTGTACCCTCACCACCCTTCCCAAAAGTTGACACATGTTCATGAGTTTAACTATAGGTCATTCTTTATTTTATTTTATTTATTTGATGACATTATTATGAGAGAGAAACAATACTTTAATAAGATTTTTTTTTTTCTGATTTACCCTTCTTCTAACCTAGCAAACTTTCCACTCTTCTAAATTAATTACCCATGAAGCTAACAACAACCCAAATAAATAATTGACAATTGGCTTTATTCACGTACTTTAACCTGAATCTAAATTCACAGACTTCAATTGCAGGCTTCCTTGCTTTGATTCATTTGACAGTTGAAGTCTTTGAACCAAAAAAAAAATTAAGGGAAGACGCCACTCCTCTTTTATAACCCAACGAAAAACAAATCAAATACTAATTAAGAGGCTTTAATCCACATTTAAACTAAATCCAACACCTCTAGCATATGAATTGTAATATTGATATGCCTCCTGTTCATTATCAAAACTCATGCCAAGTGTTGGAATTCAAGAGATCAAGACTTTCAGAATCAGAATCTAAGTGTATACAATCAACAGATTCTTTACCATAATTGGAATATGTAGCATGAAATTCATCCTCTTCATGGTCCATGAGGACATTGACACTAGCAGTATGCGCCTGCATATGTATCATATTACTTGATATTCAATGATTGCTACATCCATAAAGATTTTTTATTTTATTTTTAAAACTTAATCTTCACATCCTATTGCTTGTTGTTTTTGGTTTTGATGGAAGTTTATTTCGATTTTTTTTAAAAGACATGAATTGTTAAATTCGAATTTGGTTTGATATTCAGAAAACTAAATAATGCAGAGCAATCACCAAAGTATAAAAAATAATAAAGCAATACAGACTACTAAAAAAATATATATAAAAAAAGCAGCATAGATGTTACCTATCTTTCGCTTGACCAAAGGGAGGAAGCCTGCAATTGAAGAGCAGTGTGACTCTTGGAGCTGTTAAGTCTTCAATTCGGATAACAGTATTTGAGCGTGGATAAAGTAGTTAGGTCCAATTCGTATTAAAACCTGTGAATTCATATTCAGATTAAAGCACGTGAATAAAGCCAATTGCCAATTAAACTTGCCAATTATTTATTTGGGTTGTTGTTAGCTTCATGGATAATTAATTTAGAAAAGTGAAAAGTTTGCTATGTTAGAATAAGGGTAAATCAGAAAAAATCTTATTAAAGCATTGTTTCACTCTCATAATAATGTCATGAAACAAATAAAAAATAAAGAATTAACTATAGTTAAACCCATGGACATATGTCAACTTTTGAAAGGGGTGGTAAGAGTACACCTTAGACTAAAGTGGTGAGTAAAAATGCTCCCCGATATAAAACACACACACACATATATATATATATATATATATATATGGACTGCTCCATTATCTAGCAAATGGGTCTTTTGGGCTATCTCTCTTAGATATTCCATAAATGAGATCATGTCTATATCCCATTACTTCATCTTAATTTGATTTATGTGTTACAACTTTCAAGTTTAAATTAGCCTAGAGAGACAATAGAACTTTCGTTTTTCCGGTCTATGACAATGTATGCATTTCATTTTCTGGTGGCACCCAAACCTAAATTGTAAAAATCAAAATATTGATAAATGCAAGACACGTTTTCTCATGAATTCATAACATTTGAAGCCAATACAAAGCCGACAACTATTTGAGAGATTATTGCTATACTTATTTTGAACAAAAGCCAAACCCAGTAGACCAAATTACTACCATCAATCTCCAATCACACTTGAGCTTTTTTGTTAGAGCACTTCCAGCAGTTTGCCCTTTGCCATGGCAAGGGGGGGGCTAGGGCAGCTACTATTCATGTGAATAGTGGTTGTCTTTGCAAAAGGTTATGGTGCTAGCCCATGCTGCTAGAAACATTTTTTGGCCCCCAAACCACCCACCCCCCCCCCCCCCCCCCCCCCCCCCCCTCTGCTAGAGCATCTTCCAGCAGCAGCAAGGGCCCAAGGGGAGGGCTAGGGAGGGGCAAACCCAAAATGGTGTTTCCAACAACAAAAATATGCCAGGGCAAGGTGTGGGGCCCAGAGAATTGGGCTGGCCCTTGGGGAGGTTTGGCCCGAGCACCAAAACTCGTTTTAGGCTGACGTCACAACGACGTTAGCGCTGTGGTTTAAATTTTTTTAATGTTGGTGCATGCAACGCACGCGCCAACGTTAAAAAAAAATTGACGCGCCCGCTACAGTGCCCCCCCAACGGGTCTATTCCACGTGGCTGGCAAGGGGCTGTCCGATCCACTTTTCCTACCAGCAATCCAACGGCAGCCATTTTTTCGCCAATAAAAAAATGAAAAAATTCGGAACTGCCCCCCTAACAGCTCTCTTCCACGTGGCTCCTTCTGGGCTCTCCGATCCCCTTTTTCTAGCAATCCAATGGCAGACAATTTTTTCCCAAAGAAAAAAAATTTAAAAAAATACCCAAAAATTACTGAATTTTTTTTGTATAAATATCAACCAATACTCTTCACTTTTAACACCAACTCCTCATGCATTTTCTTCTCCTTCTACTATTATTCACTTTCTACTCAATATTTTTTTCACTTTCAAGTTGTATTTTTCTAGAAAAATTTATGGGTTCTTCTAGTGAAACCGGAGGGGCATGGAGCATCATGGAAGATGTTAGCTTGTGTGAGTCTTGGCTCCACATTAGTCATTGTCCTGTAACAGGCAATGAGATGAAATTATGTCATATGTGGAAAAAAAGTCATCAGGATTTTTGTGAAAGGGTAATTGGTTCAACCCATACGGAATGGCATTATCTAGTAGGTGGAAAATTCTTAATAAAGAGCTGGCGAAATGGAGAGATGCCTTGGCAAAAGCGATGGACAACCATAGAAGAGGGGAAAACCTTACCAGTGAGGTAAATTATTTGTAATTTTTGTTTTATTAATTTCTATGTCATATTAAATTTTATTTAAATATTTCTTGCAATTTATATATTTTGTTTATATTTCTTGTATTTCAAATATTAATATGAATGTTTGTTGCAATATTTATATTTTGTTTTGCATTTCTAATAAATTGTTAAAGTTTCTTGTATTTCCATTAATTTTTTTTTATACTTGTTGCATTGCCAATATTTTTTAAAGTTTCTTGCATTTCCATTTTTTTTAATTTATAGATTATGCAAGCAAAAATGTTTTTTGGTGCTACTGGGCAAGGCAAAAAAAGTTTCAACCATACCCTATGTTGGGAGGTGGTGAAGAATTGTGAGAGATTCCAAATTATTCCAACGAGTCCGACGGTAGTGTTGAACGAGACGCCACTCTATGAGACACCGGCATTGGATTCACCTATGGATTCCCCGATGAGTCAAGACTTACCCATCGAAAAAGAGCCAAGGCCTATCGGGAGGAAGGCGGGGAAGGCGAAGAGAGGGAGTAATTCTACCAAGAATGCATCTAAATTTTTGGAGGACATTTCAAAGATGCAAGCCATGAGAATTGAAATGGACATGAAACAACAAGAGTACGATAGGGCAATGGAACTAGAATATGCAAAAGAAAGGGAGTATGTACGCCAACAAAGGGAGTATGTACGCCAAGAAAAGATTGAAAAAAAGGACAGGGAAACCATGGCCATGGATACAACCCATATGTCCCCTGAAACAAAACAATATTGGAAGCTAGAACGAAGGGATGTTATGAGACGAAGACTTTTTCGTGACGATGGACCTAGCAACACGGATTGGTTAAATGATCAAAACCATTAAGTTAGTTTGCTTGCCTTTCATTTCATTGTACCATTAAGTTAGTTTGCTTGCCTTTCATTTCATTGTATTTTTTGTTTTGTTTAAAAAATTAGTGGTAATTCATGTATTTTATTTTATGAGTTGTATTGATTTTTTTTTAGTGAATGAAGAAAATATTCAACAAAATTCCTTTTTATTTAAAACATTCCATACATAAAAGCAAACCACAACCAAAGCTTAAAAAATAAACAAACCACAACTAAAGCATAAAAAAACAACAAAGCATAACTAAAAATACAACACTTCACTTCATTGACCTTCATTGCCTTTCACCGCCCACAAATGCTCCATCAAGTCAACTTGACGGTGTTCATGAATATACGACGATTGCATCTCCATGTAGCGCTCAATCATACGATGCATGAAACTACCGTCTCTAACCAACGGATCATGCTGCAATGGTTCTCCATTTGGCCCCATAGGTTTTTCATAAATTCGTGTTAAGACCGTGTTCATGGGATCTGGTTCATACACTTCATCAACATCTAATCATACTCATCTTCCACAATCATGTTGTGGAGGATGATACAGGTCATCATTATACTTCTAAGCACCTCCTCGTCAAATAGACGCGTCGCGCCCCTGATAATAGCCTACCGGCCTTGAAGGATACCGAAGCACTTCTCCACATCTTTTATGTACCCCTCTTGATAGGCAGCAAAAAAATTTCCTTCTGGGATCGGGGATGTGGAATTGATTTCACAAATGTTGTCCATCTCGGGTAGATACCATAAGCTAGATAATACTCATTCTGGTAGATGGTATTATTGATTTGATATGTGATATTTGGGCCTTCACCTCTCAGAACATCGTTGAACACCAGGGATTGACCTAGGACGTTCAAATCGTTTTGAGAGCGGGTAACTCCAAAGAAGGCGTGCCAAACCCATGTATTAAAACCAACAACTGCTTCGAGGATGATGTTTTTCTGTCCTTTTCGATTCCCATAATCCCCTTGCCAAGCAATTAGACAATTTTTCCATTGCCAATGCATGCAGTCAATGCTACCAATCATTCCAGGAAATCCACGAGACTTAGCTTTTTGTAGAAGCCGTTGCAGGTCCCTGGGTGTAGGTCTGCGCAAGTAGTCCCTAGTGTACAGATTTTCCACTGCATCACAAAATCGCACCAAGCTCTCCAAAATAATGGACTTCCCCATCCGGGCAATCTCATCCACCTGATCAGCAGATGACTCATACGCCAACATTCGTATCACAGCTGTGAACTTTTGCTCAAGAAGCAGCCCCAAATTTCCAGCACAATTTTTCTTTTGAACAAAGTAGTCATCATAATTGCAAATATCATGCATGACTTTATTGAACAAATGGGGTTGCATTCTATATCTTGCTCGAAAATGAACATCAGAGTACAGAGATTGTGGGATAAAATAATCTTCCAGAAGATTCTTACACCAAGAATGTCTATGTTTGTCCACATTCGATGCCTGACCTTCTTGTGAACCACGGTGGCTCTGGTTTTCTTCCTCCAGGAAAGCAACGGTCATGCCAAGTTGCTCATCTAGTTCTCTCTGCGCCCTTTTGCTTGCAGCTCTTCTACGCATTCTTTGTCGCATTTCTTGCTCTTGCCTCTCCAAAACCTCTTCCATGTCTGCCATTGAGAATGGAGAATGAAATCTAAAATCTGAGAAATGAAATCTAAAATATGAGAAATGAAGATGTAGAGAAGATATGGTGTGGAAGGTATGACCTGAGCCTATGGTTTTATAGAAAAATTTAGGCAAATAGAGATGACACGTGGCGCAATTTTAGAGGGTGAAAATCTTATTTGAAATTTGAAATTTATCTGGAATTTGAATTTCGAAATGTATTTGAAATTTGTCATTTTGAATTTATCTGAATTTTGAATTTTGAAATGTATATGAAATTTGAAATTTATCTGAAATTTGAAACTGAAAATCTTATCCGATATGAATAGTATTGACACGTAGGAACCGAAAAATCTTATCCGAAAATATTATATAAATTAATTGTTTAAGTAAACAAAGTTGTGAAAAAAACAAAAACATGAATAGTGTTTGCCATGGCAAGCCTAAACTGCTGGAAACACACTTTGCTAGGAGAGCTAGGACAGCCGCTATTCACGTGAATAGTAGCTGCCCTAGGGCTCCCCTTGCCATGGCAAGGGGCTAACTAGTGGAAATGCTCTTAGAGCAACTCCACCCATTTGCCCTTTGCCCTTTGCCATGGCAAGGGGGAGGACTAGGGTAGCTACTATTCATGTGAATAGTGACTGCCCTTGCAAAAAGCAATGTGTGTTTCCACCCGTTGCCATGGCAAAGGGCAAATACTTTTTTTTTTTCTTTTTTTTTTCACAAATTTGTTTACCTAAACAATTAATTTGGATAAGATTTTTGGGTTCGTACGTGTCAATATTTATTATAAAATTCATATCTCAATCAGATAAAATGATAAATAAAAATACAATTTAAAAGTGAATAAAATGTTGGGTAAAAAGTGAATAATAGTAGAAGTAGAAGAAAATGTATGAGGATTTAGTGTTGAAAGTGAAAAGTATTGGTAGGTATTTATAGAAAAAAATTCTAGAATTTTTTGGTATTTAAAAAAAAAATTCATAATTTTATAGCAAAAAAAAAGCCCAGCCGTTGGATTGGAGGAGAGCAGGCGATCGTAGCGCCCAAACAACGACACATGTCTTCTAGCTGTTGGTGGAGCGTAGGGCTGACATTAGCGCACGCTGACGTCATCTTCCCCCTCGGGCTGCAAGTCGGGCGAGACTTGTCTTAAGGCCAGCCCATCTTCGTGGGTCCCACATCCAATCCGGGCAAAAGTGGCCCGCTGGAACTGAATTTTTCGCTTGAGCTCCTTGGTGGAGTTGCTCTTAAAGGATATGTACGTGACTAGCTAGGTTTTGCACCTAAGCCTCAAACATCCACGTCAATCACCAAAAAAGCGTATGAACTTTGCTGGCCATTCTATACCAATTATGCATTCATTAGTCAAGATTTTCTTCTCATTTTAGCTTAATTATTAACACCTCCAAGGTTGTTAATTGAAAATAAATAAATCTTCAAGATTTGACACGTATTTTTGAGCGATTTTACATATTTGCGTAGCGGTAATTTTCTATTAATACTATACCATATATATATATATATATATATATATACAGAAAGCTTCCATTGAGGGATCCCTCAAATAAGCTTATTTGAGGGACACCCCTTATAGGGCCCACTCCGGATTGTATTTCACTAATCCAAACCATCTATTTTGTTGATATTCATTCAAAGATCATCTCTACAAAAAATCACTTGAATCCGATATCATTTGACCATTCAATTGAGTTATTGAAATTTTAGTACTTTCTTGAAGCACCGTGTTCATTGATTTTGTAGGACACAATTGGATGTCGAAACGGTTTCCGATTTGTCTAATTTTTTGTAAGGATGATCTATGAATGAAGACCTAAAAATTAGATTGTTTGGATCATTGGAAAAAAAAATTGTAGGGTACCCTAAAGGGCGTCCCTCAAATAAAATTATTTGAGGGATCCCTCAATAAAAGGGGACTGTATATATATATATAGGTGAAAGACAAATTACACTTTCCCACTTATATATATACCTTTCTGCAAATTGCCTTTGTAGAAGAGCATACATTCATTTGATAAGCCTTTATATGCATTTGACTCGTGATAAGGAAAACCAGTTTTCATAGGCTAAAGATAACAATTTTAAATCTTGGTTATGTGTTTATCATATCTAAAAGCATGTTTGAATGTTTGAATTCAAATCTGAATTAATTTTAAAATCTATGAAAATATTTTCTTTTTTCTTAACTCATTTTAGCCTGGAAGTTCCTTTCATGAAAATCTGTCATTTAGTTTAAAAATGCAACGAAGTATTGGATCACGAACCATACGTCACATTCAAAAGCAATTTTTTTGGGCAACCACAACCAAAAGGATGAGCATTAACTCATTTATCTGAAAGCTCTTGCTTGCTCCCAAATAAATATATACCCGGGAATAATGTAATCAACCTTGTGCAGATAACCATCTATCTAGTGGTTCAACTAAATTGGGTTGCTTGCAATACTTGCCTGCGTTGCCTCCAAACTCCCAGTTTTACACTCAAAGCTTGATGCTCATATAATTAAATATCTGTTCCTCTTGTTCCTTCTCTTTTTTGTTTTAAAGAAAGTATATATAAACTACTTTAGATCATAAAAATGGAGACTTAAACTCAGGTATAATAGATCCGATACACTATCTTGACCAATTGGCATACCCAAAAGCTCGCAGTTCCGAGAAAAACAACAAGATCACTAAAAGCTTGTAATAATGAGAATTCATGGATAAGAGAGGAGATCTGTAGCCATGCATGTAGACGTACTAGGAGAATAGAAAACAAGGAGAGCTTCATTTTCATTTTGGTTGCTTGACTTGTGGTTTGTGTTGGCCATGACAAGGGACAAAACCGAAAGCTTGTTTCTAGTGCCAACGAAGGGACGGACTTTGGTAGCATATATCAATTATTTAGTCTATAGATTCCAACCCTTTTCTTGTATGCAGATTCCTACCTCACTTGGGATTTCAAATCATGGGAGAACCGTACAAGTGAGTCAGATATAAACAATGTTTTGTTGTCTCCTAATATATTGTATAATATTTGTATATATTATTAAATTAGTGTGGCTGAAATTACTACAAAATCCAAAGTTAATTTTGTTTTTTGAAAGAGTAATGCTACACTTATCACATTTTTATCTCACATTTTTATACCACATGATGTGGCATGTCCATATCATATGTCACATCAATTAAATGAATGAAGTGTATTTTAATAAATAAAATTAGAAAAATAGAAACTAGTACTTTACATGATGTGGTATGTACACATTAGCTGCCACATCATGTAGTATGAAATTGTGTTTAAAAATGTGATAAAACTAGTATTATTCTTTTTGAAATCAATGGTATGGTAAATTTGGCATGAAATTGACAATTATAATATTAGGGATGACCTAATTGGTGTGTGTGTCCATTTGACCGAATTGGTCAGCGCAAAGAAAGAAATGGGGAATTCAACTTTTAACCTAATTGGTGTGTGTCCATTTCACCACTTGTTTAAAAAAGAATTAATTCCATGTGAGGAGATGTCTAAATAGGCAATTAGTCCATGACTAGAGTATCTCAAATTCAGTTATATTCTTTCTTTGCTATGTTCATATCACTTGGTTTTAGACTTTAGTTGTCAACTGAGACTTGAGGTTTTCCTTTTTGGTAATCTGAGACTTGAGGTTTTACAATCAGATTTGATAATGCTCAAATTTCCAAGTAGGATCTAGAATGCACATTCACTTATTAAAAAGACAATAATGTAGCATTATTGTTAAAAAGATGTGTATATTCTCTTTCTTTCTAATCACTCTACAATGTAGTTTAATGATTGAAATTATTTATCTTTTAGGTACTTTATCTATGGTCATTCCTACAAATTATTTGATCATCAAACGAATACATTTCATCTGATAAAATAAAATGATTATGATAGTAATTAAGTGGTTTAATTTGTCCGATTTGATCCCATACTCAAACAATTTTGTTCAACCTATCCAAATATGGCTTAAACAAGAATAAGGATTTAGTTACGTTTCAAGAAGCAAGCAAAGTAAATATAACTTACACAGTACTAAAATAGTGAGTGTTGTTTGAACAATAAACGTCATAATTCGAACTCTTAAATTCTCACAAGCACAAAAACACTCAAATATATATATATAATACATATGTTATTAAATGCACTCAATATGCATAGTTTGCGAGTGATTAGACATAGGGAAATTCTATATGAACCCCATAAATTACTCTTTACACCCCATAATTTTTTACATCCCACTAAATTTTAATAAAATTTCAAATTACTCATTAAACCCTTTTTTTTTTCCCTAAATTGCCCTCATAAACCCCATTCCCTAACCACCCACCGAAAACCCCTTCCATTTCAGCCGCACCCCATCTGAAATCAAACCCCACCCCAAGATGCATACAAGTGTTTGTCCATGCGGCCACAAACCTATCTTTAAATGGATTTAACCAATTTCATGTATGTATTCAAGAGCTTTTTGAAATTCACTGAACTTAAACTTAATCTGTCGCAAACAACACCAATATTCCTCCTCCGTTTCTGAACCAACCAAAGTATTCCAATCCTCATTAAATTGCTTCCATTGTTTGAGGGTCCCAAATAACTTCTTGCAGTTTGCCAACACTCCTTTGTTAATATGTCATCTACATAATAAATGTCGTGCTTTCGAAAATATAGACGTAATAGAATTCATGAGTGCTAACTCTCGATCGGTGACAATAACACTAGGAAGACAATTATCATCCAACAAACTCCTCAACGCAGTCAATGCCCATGTGTAATTGTCTTCCTTCTCGGCATTCATATACACATACGCAACAGAGAATGTCATATTAGTAGATGTCACCCCCACAATTTGCAATAGTGGGAAACGATACCTATTAGTCTTATAGGTGCAATCCATGATAAGTACATGTGGAAATGCGCGCAAAATATCAATATTAATGGGGTGTGTCCAAAACAGGTCAGTTACAATATCACCAGATGTCCTATGCCACTCAATATAATTGTGTTCGGATAACTTAGTAAGCAATTGTTGCATTTGGGTTCTCCCAACAAATTCTTTGGTTCTATTTCGGATCCTAGCATTGTATATTGTCTTCATAGTTGAAACATTCATTGCATCTCTATTTTTAATGGTGACCAAAATATCTATGGGTTTCACCAAACTCTTAGACATGTCCACCAACAAGGCATTCTCCTCTTCAGTAAGTCGCCCCACAAATGAATGACCTTGAAGATACTCTGAAATAGGATGGTTGTGTACTCCACAAACCACCTCCAACTTCCAATCATCCACATCACCAATATGGACACCTTTTAACAAGAATGGGCATCCACATTTCTTGGTACCAGTGTCCCTAGCACATTTTTTTATATTACTATTTGCATTCGACCTTATATCAGTTGTCTCACGAGACTTGCAAGACTTATAGTTACCGTTTCTCTCACAAGCAAGTATTACACGAGGTCTCCTCTTGCCCTCACCTCCATAATCATACCTTTTAATTACAATGACAATATTATTCAATTTTCCTTGTTCACGAGCCCATCGAAGTAATGCATCTCTACCATTGAATATCTACACATAAAACTCATATTATTTAAATATAAAATTTGAAACATTAATGCCACGTTAATGATACTAAAAAGGATTTCAGACAAATAATTACCAAATAAGTTGTGAATTGATCACTATAGTCCATTACACATTCTGTTCCCACATTGTTGCCTTCAGTAGGGGCGTCACCTTGATTTTGTTTCTTCAATGGGAGTAAGATCCAAAAAACTTGGATTAAATTTGTGGTTGGCAATAAGTTACTGAAAAAATAAATAAATTTTGGTTGGATGCCACTGAAACGGGGGTAAAAGTTCGGTAGTACACCACCAAACTATGTTCCATCTTACGGTGGATCCCCACCGAATATTAAGTTTCTCACCGGTGAAATCCGACCGAAAACAGTGCAACTTTTCGGTGGCATCCCACCGAAATTATCTGTCGCATTCGGTACTGATGTGCTGAACACAACCAGTGACTGTTATGAAATACTAAACTTGCAAAACACCAAAAAAAAAACTTGTACCTCATTCGAAGCGTTTCTAACTTCAATCTCACCCTTCGTGAATAAATACAATATATTTTTTCACCAATATAAACTTATAAATCTTGGGTTTAGGGTTTAGGAACATGATAGTTTGAGAAAAAAGTCAAACTAGGGTTGCAGGAACATATGTGAGGTGTAGTGCGCAATTTTAATTTTAATTTTAATTTTAATTTTTATTGTCCTTAATGGTAATTGTGTACAAGAGTAAAATAGGTTATTTATAACACGGTTTTCTTTTTTCGTTCCAAAAATAAAATGAAGGAAATAAAAAAAAAAAAAAAAAAAAAAAAAAAAAAAAAGAAAGCTAGTTTTGAAAAGCTATATGAAAGGTACACTCTCCACAGCAAAATCCCACCCAAAAATCCCAACGACTAGATCCTATCTTCGCCTCAAACAAAGGAACGGAGCATATACTTGAAACGACACCGCTCGAACCCGAACCCGCCCACGCCTCCGCCTTCTCCCGACTCCGAGCCGGCTGGGCAGTTGGTGGAACTACCCGTTCTGCCATAGTCCCTGTCTCGGACCCTCCTCTCCCCAAGATGTCCCGGAGGACCCGTTTACGTTTCGGCTCGGGCCAATTCGGTTTTGAAAGGTGGGCCAGTCGCCGTACGAGGTTGGGTTAAGGAAGGTATCGGAGGATCCGTATGACGAGTTGGGGAATCCGGATGGGGTCATTCAGCTGGGTTTGGATGAAAATAAGGTGGGTCCAGACTCGAGGTTGCTTCAAGTCTTTTGCTTTAGCATTTTTCATCTTTTCAAAATTTAAATTTGAAAAAAAAAAGAAAAAAAACGAATATTGGTGTAAGGGGTTTTGTTGAATTTTGGTGTGTGTAGCTATCGTTGGACTTGGTTCGAGATTGGCTTGTGGAGAATGCAGAGGACGCAATTTTGGGTGGCGGGGAGCCGGGCATAAGTGGGATTGCTTGTTACCAGCCTTTTGATGGCTTCATGGAGTTGAAAGTGGTATATTTCATATTTTCTCTGACATCATTATATGTTTGTGTGTGTAGAAGAATACAAATGCGAATCCATATCGAAAGTTATTTATTTTCATGCAAATGTTTTAATTGGATTTTACATAACTTTGTACTTTTGGAGCATATTCTGTAGTTTGCATATTGCTGAGTGCTTAAAAAGAAATCGACTTTTGTCTTTGGCTTTCTGTTTGAATAACTCTTGATTTGATGACTGAAAATGGTTGAGGTTTTGGTGGAATATGCTTCTAACTTACAAAATTTACGTCCAGCACAAGTTGCAATTCACAAATTTTGTGGTTTATCGAAATGGGAAAGTCTCTTGACTGAATAACACTTGATTTTTGGGGTGACTGACAATGGTTGAATTCTTGGTGGAATATGTACCTTACTTTTTCGACCAAAGGAAAAAAAAAGTACCTTACTTCCAAAATTTATGTTCAACTTTAGATGGTATTCAATTTTTAGCTGTATCAATGTGGCAAAGTCTCTTGACACAACTTCTGTTAAGGGGCTTTTTGGAGTAGTTCAATGTTTATCTGAATGATTTATAACTTGATGGTTGATTATTTGCACCTTTAACTAGATCAATTTGGGCTGGTATTTTTTCTTTTTATTACCTCTCTAGAGGAATTATAGGTCGACGGTCAGACATTAATCTGTTATGCAATGTGCAGGTTTGTTTTTGTGATGTATATGCATTTACTTTTATACTTAAAAGATATTGCAATTGAGATCCAATATAGAATTTATTCCCATGAACAGTATTTCTGATGTCTTCTTTGTTGAAGATAATCTCTTTGTATTGCATTGAGATTTTATGCCCTCTCTAATATTACTGGTCCTACAGGCTGTCGCAGGATTCATGTCTCAAGTTATGAAAAATTCAGTTTTCTTCAACCCCTCACAAATAGTATTGACAGCTGCCATTGAGATAGCGGGTCTAAGCAATGTGTCAATCAGATGCAGAGTCTAGAAATAAATCCTTACATTTCTAGTCTCAATGTGGATATTAAAAAGTAAGGTAATAAAGAAAATTTGAATTTTTTGGAATTCATCGTCAATGCAGAAATAGATAGGAATGGTTAGAGGAAGCAACAGACTTCTATTGAGTTACTCCTTGTAATGGGGAGGGGCCACATCAACCTTCAGGTGATGATCTTTTGCTTTGGCGACCAATGCCTTCTTCTTTCCGGTAGCTATATTAGCGGCTACTCCAATTTGTCCTTCCCAGTTTGTTCCACGAACCAGCTCCGCAATGAAAAGCAATTCGTCAGACTGCTCCACAAATATGCTTTCCATTTCTAGCAGGATCTTCTTGTGTGAGGCGATCTCTTTTGCCGCCTTCTCACTGCTTTTTCCTTTCAATTTTCCATTCACTGGTGCTGATGAAGGCGCTGAAACGACTTCCAAAATTGAAAGGAAAAAGCAGTGAGAAGGCGGCAGAAGAGATCGCCTCGCACAAGAAGATCTTGCTAGAAATGGACAGCATATTTGTGGAGCAGTCCGACGAATTGCTTTTTGTTGCGGAGCTGGTTCATGGAACAAACTGGGAAGGACAAATTGGAGTAGCCGCGAATATAGCTACCGAGAAGAAGAAGGCATTGGTTGCCAAAGCTAAAGATCATCACCTGAAGGCTGATGTGGTCCCTCCCCATTACAAGGAGTAACTCAATGGAAGTCTGTTGCTTCCTCTAACCATTTCTATCTATTTCTGCACTGACGATGAATTCCAAAAATTCCAGTTTTCTTTATTACCTTACTTTTTAATATTCACATTGAGACTGGTAATGTAAGGATTTATTTCTAGACTTTGCCTTTGATTGACACTTTGCTTAGACCCGCTACTGAAAATTGCCTGAGTTAAAGTTTGAAAGAGCAGTGGAGAAACATAGCAGTGTGATAGTTCAATTCTACCGAACAAGGTAATGTCATCATATGCATATCCCCTTCATCTCAATCTAATCTTTTATCATACATGAAAGCTTAGTACAGGCATAACAAATATACAAAATCTGATTGACTTTATTGTATAACCAACTCACTAATTGGACGAAAATATATATTTTAGTGTCACTCAATGCAAGTAGAATTTGTCTCCAATAGTTTTCAGGACAGACTGACTAAAAATTACAAACATGAACAAGATTTCATTTTCATCTGCAACAAATTGCCATGTATATTACATATACCTAGAGGATAATCCACTTGCTGTATCAAGGATCTGCCCCCTCTTTTCATCTTGCTCTTCTGGCTAGGGAGGGAAACCTATCATAAGTGTATTTGGCACCTGATCCTAAAATCCATAGAAAATGAGGAAAAAAATTAACACCATCTCAAGCTTAATATCTGTAATATCTTCTTCTCTGGACATAATTTTCAATCTTCAATAAACAGCAAATCAAATTCACCTGATGCTCCCACGTATATGCAGTTCTTATAATCTCAGGCTCTACCAAATTTGAGGGCATTGTTAAAGAAGGGTGCAAAGTATGTTGTTGTCCAAGGGCTGCCAATGTCAGGGTGCTTGCCATTGGACATGAACTTAGCTCCCGAAGACGACAGAGACGGTATAGGATGTGTGAAGAGTGCAAACAACCAAACCTATGGCCATAACCTTGTCCTCCAAGCCAAGTTGCAACAACTCAGGACACAGTTTCCACATGCTGTCATCACCTATGCTGATTACTGGAATGCCTATTTCACAATCATAAAGAATCCAAACCAGTATGGTTTCAAGGAGAGCTTCGAGGCCTGCTGTGAGACAGGCGACCCCTACAACTTCGAGGTGTTTGCCGTGTGGCACGCTGTCTGCTAGTGCCTGTCCAAGCCCTTCCCAGTACATAAACTGGGATGGAGTTCATCTCACTGAAGCCATGTACAAGGTGCTTACTGATATGTTCCTCAATGGCAAGGCCACTCACCCTCCCTTCAGTTACTTGTCGGACATGAAACTGCATTGCGGATGAACTGCTTGCCTTTGGATCAGCTTAATGTTTTAGTACTTTGCTATGTTGCTTGTGATCTCAACTGAGTAGATTGTAGTTATGAAGCAAAAGAAAAACAAATCGGATGGTATAATCGGTGTTAGTTACTACAGCTTGAGAACATTTCTCAGGCTTCCATAATTTAGAACATCTAAAAAATGTATATGTTGAACTATTCATCAAATCGTACTTGTTTCTAAATATTCATTGTTTAGGAGGAATTGAACCTACGAAATCGCCAATTATTTCTCATCGAAAGCTAATGAATCAGATTCAACAAAGGAAATGATGCACTCTTGGTGCCATGGGATTTAATCATCCAACAAAGGTTAAAAAAGAAAATTTGTTATCTCTGTGCTACATGGGAGTCGCATGGCCTGACAGCATTTCCATCACAAATTCAAAATTGCATGATAAAAGAAGTGACTCTTCTGATATATATAATTTTTATCTCTTACACAAAGCATGTACATTACTGCCGCAGGCGGCAGGTCAGAACCCACAAGTCCCCTGAATTCACTCTCTTTATACTTCCCCGGCAGAACAGGCAAGATTCCGATCTTGTGTTCCTATAACACATAAAGATGCAAAGATGCAAATACTTCCCCGGTGATACTGGATGAGACTAAAGCAGAAAATGGAAGAACAACTATTTTGGGGATTAAGGAAGAACTAGGTTATTCATACCAATCGCGGTAGCACTTAACGCACATGGCATGGCAACAGTTTGGCAAAACCATTTTGGTACAAGGCTCCAAGCGGATGCCACACTCATTTTCTCTCTCCAAGTCTACATCTGAAGGCTTTATCTGATCCTCATATCTCTTCCTAACAGCCATCTCTAGAGCTTCCTCATCTCCAACGAATCACCATGGAGATGCTGAAGGGATGGTAATATAACATCTGCAGTTTTAGGTTGGGAAGAAATATGAAAGCAAACGCAGAAACCCTCAAGCACTTGGATTTCATTCTTACGAGGGGACAAACATTAAACTACTAATTTGCTCTAGAAACAAATGAACCGGCAAGCAGAAACCAACCATATATACAATTATGTGGAAAATATTTACGTAACTTGAAAGTAAACATGAAGAGGAGCAATCAATCCATTGAAGCAAAAACAGGATAATGGGTGCCAAGTGATCGTAAACCAATTTCATTTGAAGAACCGTATCACTCTTGCGTCTGGGGATGGAAACTGCCCTGCAAACATATATTTATTCAAGTAACATCAAAAGTCACTTAACTTCATCAACCAAAAAAAAGGTCTATTAACTCAGCAAAACATTCGAAGGGTCAGCAACAAATTCATAAAACAAGGTAAGCAAGGAACCAGACAGCGTGCTCTTAACACTATGGACTGAACCTCAGGCCATTTTTAAAATTGCAAATATTCAGCAAACCCCCAACATTAGTTCAACTATAGCCAGCAGAGAATGTAATGATAAAATAACAGGGGGAATCCAGTAGTATATATCCAAGATTATGTACAGAAGACTTGCAAACTTCCTAGCATGCTCATTATCCACATAAAGATCAAAGCTTGTGAATTGGGGTCAACATGACAACAAATTTTGGAATTCATTTAGCATAACAATGACAGCGAGAACAAAAGGTGTTGTATGCAGATTATGTCCATACGCAAATAGATATTAGTTTCAGAACCGAAAAAATACTGAAATGCAAAACAACCATATTCTTTTTCTCTTTTTCTTCCCCAATTATTTTTTGCAGAAACAATCCATCAAAACCAAAACCAAAATTAATAAAGAAATAGAAACCCATGCATTATTTTGACCCTTCTGGATATTGCAGAGTAGGATTCAGCCTCAAAATAGTAAATGTAGAATATGGAATGCTGAATATCAGAGTACAAAGTTAGAAGCCTATAACTTTATTTCACGTTTCTCAAACCCAGTTTCAAAACACAATATAAACAGAAAAAAGCAGATTAGAAAGGAAAAAAAAGGAAGGGGGTTACACTCACAGATTATTGGCATGC